ATAAAATCAGATAATGGCAGCTTCGGTGGATTCATGGACAAAGGAATGCGACGAAGCAGAACGACTTGCTAATGAAATCAGTAATATGATATCCGAAAGGAGTTCGATGCCAAATTCAAGCACAGAATCACAGCAGCATTTATCTGCCATAAGGGCTAAAATCGTCATTTTAGGAACCATGCTCGAAAGCCTACAACACTCTCTTCCGTCAGCGCTTAACGAATCTTCGTAAGTTTTTTAATTGCTTCTTATTATAAAATCTTGAAATTGCCGTTCGATGGAAAGATATTTTTTATATTTACGATGCCAAGATTTTTTTTTTTTTTTTTTTATTGAAGGACCGCGGAAGAAATGAAAATTCGCAAAGACATGGTTACTAAATTGAGGTTAAACGTAAACGAGATTAATTATGCATTAAACATGTCGAACTTTGCTAATCGAGACCGATCACTCGAGCCGGATTCTGATGCCATAAGCCGAACAATCGGCCTCGATAACCAAGGCATTGTTGATCTTCAAAGACAAATCATGAGAGGCTAGTTCACCGATTTTTTTTTTTTTTTTTTTTCGTTTTCGAATTTTTTGTTTTCGATTTTTTTGTTTTTTCGTTTATACATATAATTATATTTCGATTTCCGTGCAGAACAAGATGAAGGTCTCGGGAAATTGGCGGCGACAATGATAAGCACAAGGCACATTGCACTAGCGGTCAACGAAGAGCTTAGTCTTCACACGAGACTAGTTGTGCGTTTTCTTGTTGAATTAAGATCTAATTATAATTAATTAATTAATTAATTAATCACGACTTAGCTTACAAACCAAACGAAAGTATTGACGTGCAGGATTACACTGCGAACGAGCACGTTGAGGTTACAAACTCCAGACTACAGGTTACATTTTCTCATATCATAATAAATTTTGCGTAACTTGTGATCTTAATAATTACGGTCATTGTAGATTAACTTAATCTTTACGAGTAAAATAAATAGTTACATTGAAAATAATACGTGCAACGTGATTTTTTTATATATATTTTTCTTCTTCATTCTAACGGGGGAAGAGCAAGTGCAGAGGAAGCTTGCACTGTTGAACAAGCGGAACACGGATCGATGCTCGTGCCCGTGCCTCGTTTTATCGGTTATAGGGATTATTGTTTTGATTGCCATTGTATATATTATGAAAAAATACTTGTGATTTTATGATAAATATGTATGCATTATTAAAAGTTAGAACTTCCTATTGTATTTATTTTCTTGGTTAATGTAATTATAATGTTGTTAAACGAAGAGGAATTTTTTTTTTAATTATTTTATATAAATCATAGTGTAAATTAAGGTCACCCATGTGGTAATGTCAAATTACGAAAAAAAACCCTAATGTATGGGTAATTCAAATCACATCCTTCAACTATGAATTTTCTTACATGTCCACCCTTATGGTGTTAAATTCAATAGAATCTTCTAAATTTCGTGGAATATTATCTAGTTTATACTTTTTTTGTGCAAAAATGCAGTTTATGATGCACCAGAATCTGATATTTACAAGTCAAACACACATCTTATGATCATATTGTTTCAAAACGTGGAGCTCGAATTGGATAAAACGGGTACAAACTGGAGATTTTTTTACATAATCGAGAAGATTTAACTAAATTTGATACTGCAAAGGTGGACGTGTAAGCAGATTCATTGTTGAGGAGGTGGTTGTAATTACCCAAACATGAGGGGTTGTTTCATAATTTAACATTACTTAAGGGGTGGCCGTAATTTAGCCTGAATTATATGATTAGGTATTTTGGTTAATGCTACTTCCTAACAAATCTCGAGATTGCTACTAATCAAGTATCTTAAATGTTAATTACCCCTTAATTAATCAATTTAATTAAATAATTTTCAATTAATTTGGCAATAAAAAATGCTCAATTAAATGGGCTTTCCTTCAATAAATGGTACTCACTTCTTATTATAAAAATCCCACACAAAATAAATCAAATCACAAATCATTAGAAAATATCACAATATTTAATTACTATATAACCACCACGCGCCGTTGCAATGACGAAAAGAACAACCACCATCTGCCTGTCAGTCGCCGCCGTGATTGCGGCGGTGGCCGTGATATTCCTAATCCTCGGCGTCACGGTTTTCAAGGCGAAGGACCCAATCACCACCGTCGACTCCGTCGCCCTCAAAGACCTTGACTTCTCCGTTGACGTACGCAAACCAACGGTCCACTTAACGGCCGTTATCGAGACCGCCGTCACCGTCACTAACCCTAACGTGGTCGGATTCAAGTACGCGAACTCCTCCGCTTTGCTCACGTACAGAGGCAAGGAAGTCGGGCAGGCACCCATCCCCGCCGGCGAGATCGGCGGCGGCGCCGCCCGCGGCATGAACATGACGCTGACGCTGATGGCGGATCGGCTTGTCGGGGACTCGCATTTCTTCACCGACGTCGTCGCCGGGACGCTGGCGTTGAGGACTGACGTCAGACTTCCGGGGAAAGTGCAGATGCTCGTCGGAGTTCCGGCGGTGGCGTACGCCGCCTGTGATCTGGAAATCCATTTGGCCAGCCGGGGCGTTAAGCAAACTTGTCACTATAAAACTAAGTTGTAGGGGTTTTTTTTTTTTTTTTTCTTTTTTTTTATTTGGAGAATTTACATTTTTATTATTATATATCACGAAAATTATAAATAAGAAAAACTAATTTTGATTTACTAAATTATTTTTTATTTACTCCCTCCATTACTAAATAATTGTCACTTTTCACAAAGATTAAAAAATTAAATAATTATATATTGATTTTAGAAAAAATCATATAAAAATGACTAAAACAACTTTTATTATTTAATGATTTATAAGAGAAAATTAATGAATAGAGTTTCATTAATAAAGTTAAAACAGTAAAAATGCATTTAATAAAGTATTGGAAATCTAAAGTGACAGATAATATAGAAAAAAAATATTTTAAAAAAGACACAGTGCTTGTGGAACAGATAGAGTACTAATTTACAATAATTAGACCGTTTCCAGTTAAGATTACAGTAAAACATGGATAAATTGATACTTCATTAATTAATAATATTGCTTAAATAATAATTTCTTCTAATCCCGACTCGATAAAACAATTGTACTAAATTATTAGTTTAATAATTTAATATCTCGTTAAATTAATAAATTTTTATTAATCTCGTATTAATTTATATGGTTTAACTGTATTGAGTTGTGGAATAATTTTAAGCTTAGGCTCATTATATGCTAATATTATTATATTATATTAGTGATAGTATTATTAATATGGAATAATTTTAAGTCTAGGCTCATCATATACTAATATTTTCATTTGAAAATTACACTTATGACATAAAGATACTATTATCTTTTTATATTAGGAATGTATAAAAATATAGAATTTTCGATTTATGTGATTCCGATCCGAAAATTTTCTATTTTTCCAAGGGGTGTGATAAACGTCGTTCGAGCTTTAATAATCCGTTTCGACTTCAAACGTGATTTTGATTATTTTTTATTTCAAAATTTGCAAAACCCGAAAAATAGGATTTGTAGTATTCTGAGTTAGTTTTCTAATCCAACTTGAATCACCAAAATTGGATGTCGGACGAGAAAGATATACATGAATTAATGGATAATGCCTACAACTTTGATGTATTGAGGTATCTAAAATTCAAATTGTGACTCATTCATGCATAACTATGTCACACGGGCATCCAATCTAGCGGATTTAAGTTGAATTAGAAAACTAACCCAAAGGACTACAGTTTTCGTGTTTCAAATTTTGTCAAAATCAAAATAGAAATATGTCAAAATCAGGTTCAAAGTTAAAACGATATTAATAGAACTGAAACGACGTTTAACATTTCAATCAATTTCGTCGTTCAAATTTCCGATTAGAAAAAAAAAAAGGAATCAGAAAACCCCATCATTTTCCCACAAGTACATTGATACCCTTTTCTAGGTGGGAGAACCACAAATGTAAGAAATTTACAAACTTCTGGGGGCAGAATATAAATTTTAAAACATAAAGGGGGTTTTCGTAAATAGTCCTTACCTCAGGGACGTAGTTGTAATTTACCATAAAATAAGAAGTCTCAACATTTCTTACTACTGCAGCATAATATATACAGAACTCTTCTACCTAAGCAATTCAACTCCATCACGCAATTATAATCTGATAATGTTTTCTCTTCTCAATTGTTGCTTTCACTTCACAAATCCAACAACTACAAACCCTAGTTTCTCATTTTCAATCCAATTCCAATGATTCAAAAAAATCCCCCAATTTGATTCAAAAACCCTAATTTAATTCAATTCCATGGCGACCTCGATTCCCCATTTTCTGCTCCTCTTTCTATTCGCAATTCAATGTATCCACGCCCAATCAAACGAAGAACATGGCTGCATCGCGGCGGAAGTATCAAACAGCGGCCTCGATTTTCTGAAGAATTTGCTGGTGGAAAAGGCGGAGTCTTCGTTAGTCCCGCTCGAGCTGCCTGTGATTACGAAATCCGCGAAAATTCCGGTTGTAGGCAACGTTCAAATGGTGCTTTCCAACATCACAATCGAAACCATTCACGTGACGTCATCCACCGTGAAAAGTGGGGACACCGGAATTGTTATTGATGTTTCCGGCGCCACCGCGAATTTGAGTATGGATTGGAAGTATTCGTACAATACTTGGTTGCTTCCGATTTCGGTCTCCGATAAGGGAAGGGCTACTATTCAGGTACCAAATTAGACGCCATTGGTGTATATGTTGAAGAAATTGAGAATTTATTAACAATGGTGTAAACTGTTCTAATTGCAGTTATCATATGTTAATTCAATTTTTTACTTATATAAAGTTTGCTAATTTTTTTTAAGGTGGAAGGATTGGAAATTGGGCTTACACTAAGTTTAAAGACTGTCGAAGGATCTCTAAAGCTGTCTCTCTTGGAATGTGGATGCTATGTGAATGATATCTCGATAAAGTTGGATGGAGGAGCTTCTTGGCTTTATCAATGGTATCGTTTCTCATATGTGTGTGTGTATGCGCGGGCGCACGCGTGTGTGTTTTTTCCGTTTGAGAAACTGTGAATCTATTTACTGAAATGCATATGTGTGTGTGTGTGTGTGTGTGTGTGTGTGTGTTTTCCGTTTGAGGAACTGTGAATCTATTTATTGGTTTATTGAATTTGTATACAGATTCTATGTCAAATCTAGGAGTCTAATAATGATGCATTTTAAAAAAAAGTTTATCCCGAATGAATAAACTGTCGAGTCGAGTCTTCCTCTTTTTATGGATTTTTATTTACGACATCAGAATTTGAGGATAAAATTGGTTCATCGACTGATTTTGGACCTGTGCAGGAAAGTTTATTTCACAAAATTGGATGGTACTTCATACCTCCATTTTGTGTTTATCATAGTCATCAATTTTTTTTTTTAATTTCGTTTTTATTTTTAATTTCAGGTTGCTAGATGCTTTTGAGGATAAAATCGGTTCGGCTGTTGAAGACGCTGTTCCTAGTAAAATAAAAGACGCGATTGTAAAGCTCGACAATTTATTGCAAACTTTACCTAAAGAAGTACCCGTAACCGATATCGCATCACTGAATGTGACATTTGTGAACGACCCATTGTTGAGTAATTCATCGCTCGACTTAGAAATCGACGGGCTATTCTCTGCCAAGAACGAAGTTTCACTTCTTTCCACAAACAAACGACATAGATTTATACAAGATTCATTTTCTTGCAAAGAAGCAGATAAGATGGTTGCAATCTCGTTGCACGAAGATGTGCTTAAATCAGCTTCATCTGTCTACTTTGAGGTGAGTGAGTTCTTAATTACTTTAATTAAGATCGTGCGACATAATTATTTCATCTTATAGCGAATTAACAAAACGATTTTTTTTTCTTTTTTCTATTAGGCGAGCAAAATGCATTGGATTGTTGATAACGTACCGGACCAATCTCTGTTGAACACAGCTGGATGGAGGTTTATTATTCCCCAGTTATACAAGAAGTACCCAAATCGTGATATGAATATGAATCTTTCTGCGTTTTCTCCACCGATTATCGAAGTTGAAAAACAGCAGATCAGAGGGAAAATTCCTTTGGATGTGGTGATTGATGTTTTGGATGCGGATGAAGTAATACCCGTTGCATGCATTTCCATCGTAAGCTTAGTTAAACTACTGTTTATATATATATAGATATAGAATAGATACAGAGATATAATTAGTAACAAATATGGTTCGATGCAGGTGATTAGTACTTCTGTATCTGCTGAAATATCGGGGAATACTATTTCTGGTAGTGTGAAATTAAACGACTTCACCATGTCACTTAAGTGGAGCAATATCGGCGACTTCCATATGCGTCTAATCCAGGTACTCGTTTCAATCGAAAATTCATTTTTATTAATTTTTTATTTATTATAACTTCGTATAACTATTACGACAAAATATGTCACACTCCAATATTATTATTAATTTTTTTATTTTTTTTTTGTTTTTTTTGCAGACATTAATGTCGACCACATTGAAGACTGTGGTATTGCCATACATAAACTTAAAACTCAGCAAAGGAATCGAGATTCCGTCTTTCCACGGTTACGAGCTTCGGGACCCACAATTACTCTCCGAAGACTCTTGGATTGTGATATGCAGTGATGTAGCATCTGTCGAAGCAGTTCAAAATCTTCCCGGTTTTCTATCTATGTGAGCTTAAAAGGTGCCTCAATCCTCTGCAGACACCCCCATTGTAATTATTTGGTGTGGCCTCGATCGATCGATCAAATGGTTTGCAAAATGCACACAGAGAGGTGGGTTGTTATTAAAGCTCAATAATGTACACTATTTCATTGATGTATTTTGTGAGATATTAGTTAGATATTTAGTTATTAGGTAATAAATCCATCTGTAATTTATTGGTTTTGTTGTAAAGTAATTTTGAACCATACAGATTCTACTAAATAGACACGTGTATTTTGTACATCAATGCAAAGGCTTAATTCCATTTTACACCCTTCAAATATATTATTTTGGCATTTTGCACCCTCAAAAAATTTAAATAGCCCTTTTCACCCTCGAAACACAGCATTACAAGGGACCCTAGATTGATTTTTTTTAAATGAGGGCAATTTCGTCCTTTTAGTTGTATTTCTTTTAGGATGCCGAATATCGAATCATTTTTTTTTTCTCTCAACTTTTCAACCCTATGTATATGTGTGTACGATGGGATATAATGTAGTGAAGTTCGTCGGGTGCAATATACTATTTTTCGGAAATGTATATAATTTGTATATATATATTTAAAACGTAATTTATTCATTCATTTAAATAAGGATTCAGTTAAACTCGTACGACATACACGTAAATGCTTTCTCCATGTTCGATTACCAAACATTCCAAACTCAAACTCCGACAACATACATCACCGGAGAATCCAGCACGAATATCTCCGCCACTTCCGGCGACCGGAAGCTAACCTTCTTCTTCATTTTCCGATTTTCTAGCGACTTTTTCGACTCCCCATTTCGAGTTTCTTTCATTAACATCTCCACTTGTGATAACTTGCAGTCACCATCGAACGATGGATGGATTCTCTTGGAAGATTGTCTCGGCACGTGCAGCAGATTATTAGATTCACCCATATTGAAACCTGGTGACGACGTAATCAAATCTTCCAAAGTCGACGACAACCCCTTAATACTGCACGTGTTGTTGTTCTTACAAACCTGCAGCATCTCCTGGTTAGTTTCTTGTGGACAAATTTGCTGCTTTCTTGTTTTCATGGCGGTCAATAAGCTTCTAATGTTCGCGACTTTCGTACCTCTACGGGTCACTTTAGTCGAATCTTGATTGGGTTGTGGTCTAGGGTTTCGGATACAACATATATATGCTCCCATTATTTCCTCTCTCTCTCTCTCTCTCTCTCTCTCTCTCTCTCTCTCTCTCTCTCTTAGGAGTGAGAAAACAAAGAATCAATGAGTAAGCTGAATGGATAAGTTTAGTGTGGAAGTGATTAAGATTATAAAGGAAAACTTTTTCTAAAAGCTGGACTAGGAAGCATTACATCTTAATTAATGTATGTTTGTCACTTACTTAAGAGAGGAGTTTAACTCGAATCCATTTGCTAAATCTAGTTAATCATCGTTAATATCGTCGAAAACTAGATTCAATTTTTGTATTTTCTCTTATATTCTTGTGTTTTTATCTTGTTTCTCTCCTAAAGATTTGTTTTTATTATGTTTCTATAGGCAAAAAAAGATCCCTTTGCCTACTAGTTCAACGAAAATGTAAATCGAAAAAAAAGAGCCAATAATTTTGCGCCACGTGGCATTTTGGTTACAAAAAAAGTAACACTATTTCCACACTCCATTACATTAGACAGTAGCATACAAAAACATAAATGGAAAAACAAACTGCACATAAGAATCAAAGGAGTATGATAAAATCACCTGGTAATTTGCACAAACGAATATTCCAGTGAAGCCAATCAAATATCTTTAGAAATCAAATCATGTAAAAATTCACCTAGTAAAATGTTTTTTAGCATCGAATTCACTTGCCGACTGGTGGCTTAGTCAACAATTCGAGAGACTTCTTAAGATGGTCAACCGCGACACAAACATCGTCAAACGCCAGAGCACCGACAGCAAACCTAGCAGCCTTTTGGGCTTCAGATATTTGCTCCGGCGAGGGCTCATAGCTACTGTCGTACTCGTATTTCCGCGTAGTACTCGGTGAAGAAGCTTCTAGAACATTACCACTCCTCGCAACGGAAACGAATTGAGATGTATTTGGAGGTGGCAAATTTGAATACTGAGGATCGGAGCCTTGATAGTAGGAAGGAACATGTGACGGAGCCGTAGGAAGGTAACTCTCGGTAAAGTTAGGGTCGGATTTGTAATTTGGATAATTTTGAAAAGGATGGGTTTGGGGCAAAGGCTGATGAAAACTGTCGGACGGGTAATCATCGGTAGGATTGTTTTGTGGGGTCGAAATATTTGGAGGGGTAATATCGGAAGATTGTGGCGAGATATCAGTCGGATTTTGGAAAGTAACATTATCGCCGTACGTCTGATCTGAATCTGGTGCAGTTGTTGTGGAAGGATCTACTCTGCTTGAATTAGGTCCGACGGGTTCAAGATCCTGCAAATAAAACATTAAAAACCTATTAGAAAATTAAGAAAGACGGGTAAAACATCGGCATCTTCATTTCCAATCAAACGACAAAAAAAAAAAAAAAAAAAAAAAAAAAAGAGGGTATTATGAAAGAGATTTTTGGCTCGAAATATCGTACGTATTCATCACCGTAATCTTTCTCACTACCGGGAGGACCTGGATTTGGCGTCCTTCCTTCTTTCAAAGCTCTCCTTATATCCACTGCTTTCCATGCTGCATATTTCTGTTTCTGCTCGAGCTGTTGTAATAACAAGAGAAATTAAGACAAGTTGCACAAAATTAAAATAAACGAGACTCAAAATGCGAAAGCAAGTAAAAAAAAAAAACTTAAAAAGGACAGTAACCAATAATTGTGGGGATTTGAAATACGAGTGCGAAACTTACATCGGGCTGAAGTTCACCAAACTGATACAGGATCTCAAAGAAAATGCTCGCAGCATAAAAGGTTTTCGCAGTATTCCTGTAAATTAAACAGAGACGATTTATCAATTAGGACCAAAATTGCAAACACTACGATAATATCGATTTTAGGGGCGAAGAACTCAGAGCACACAGAACCCACCGAGTCCGATGCATAATATATCGATAACTTGCGACAGTTAATCACAAACAAAATAACGGAACGACCAACAGTTACTGACAGAGCTTGAAATACTATGTTTTCAGCAGTCACATTGTATCAGTATACGAAGGTTAAACCGACGTAAAATTTCCAATCTGTAACTATTTATACAGGTACAGGAAAAAGTTACATACAAATCGGACCGGCCAGCTCTGTCTTGCTTGTCGGCCTTTGTAAAGACATTTAACGCAAATCCCTCTACATGTAAATGATCATCTGGCCCCAACTGCAACGACTTCTTATCCTACAAAACAAATTACGGACGAAGATAAGGCATAAAGGAGTATTCTCCCATCACTAGTATTTCGGCCACGTCATATATATATACAAGTCATCATGTATATATTTGTTGATTGTTCAAGCAAAATCAACTACTCGATATAGTCGCTTTCGTAATTAGACGTCGATAATCTAACAAGACGATATAAAAATTATAAAAAAAAAAAGAAACCTTTTCAAGCTGTTTGATGAGGGAAACGAGGAGGGCATTGGTGGTTTTGGTACGCTCCTTCTGAGGAAACTTCAATCCTCGTTCCATCGCGTACAATCGACCTGTTCAATGATTCGACATCAAAAAATTAAAATTAAAATTAAAAAAAGGAGAAACAAAACGGAATTCGAACGCTTAACCTACAAATCATTCGAGGTCTACTATATAACCGAAACCGAAACCGAAATCGAAACATAAAAAAAAAAAAAAATTAAGATTAAAAAAAGTAGAAATGAAACAAAACGGTATTCAAATGCTTAACCTACAAATCAATCGAGGTCTACTATAACCCAAAAAAAAAAAAAAAAAAAAAAAAAAAAAATTAAAATTAGAAAAAGTAGAAATGAAACAAAACGGAATTCTGAGGTCTACCATAACCGAAATCATTCGAGGTCTACCATAACCGAAACCGAAACCGAAATCGAAACGTTAAAAAAAATTAAAATTAAAAAAAGTAAAAACAAAACGGAATTCTGAACGCTTAACCTACAAATCATTCAGAGGTCTGCCATAACCAGTGCGCTCTCAGAGCTAGGGTTTGATCGACGATCAAAAAAAAAAAAAAAAAAGGGAAAAGTCGAAGATTGAAGTTACAGTAGTAGGCGACGAGCGGCTCGTGCTTCTGCAACTCATCGGCGCGCTGAAGGTAAGGGAGAAGCAGCTTCGCCGGTTCATTTTCGCTCGTCATCGCAGAAGTCAGAACGGCCGAGCAAGATGGAATTTTTTTTAAATTAGTTTAGCAGGTATTGCAGTCTGCAAAGTACTAATACGACGTCGTTTTGTCACCTTGAATTATTCTTTTCCTTAACCGCGTATCAATGCATAACAGGTAAACATTAATCAATATATATTAATTCAAAATTAAGACTTAGCAAAATCTAATTAAATTTAGTCAAAATAATTAAATAATCTATTTAATTAATTCATGAAGAAAAAAAAATAAAAAAATTAGTCACAGCTGTTTTGTGACGACGATTCCATGAAACGATCGGACCCGACTAGATTTCGCATCTTAGCAATGACATCTCGTCGTCGTTCTTCGTCGGGTCCATTCAAAATATTGCGAAGTTCTTGCATGCACTCGGTGTAACTATCGTCCGTATCGTCTTCTCCCGAATCATCGGCAGGGGTGGTAGTAGATTGAGACTCCATACTTAAAATCCTCCAATGAGGGTCGACACTCGAGAGTGGAATAGGCGTCCCTTTCGTCTGAAAGTCGTGCATTTCGTGGGCGCACGGCAACCCATGCGTCGTGCGCACACTGCATTTGCACGGGTCGGTCGAAACACTATTTGCTCTCTTCGACTCGGCACTAATCTTTTCGAGGGCAAACAGAGACACGAACCCGCGAAGCTCTTTGAAGACGGAAATCGTAAAATCATCGTGTTGGTAATCGTTCCTGCTTTTCTGAAACGACTCGTCGATCTCGGTGTGTTGGAGTAGCAGCAATTTATTAATTTCGGCCCAGTTCGCGGAGAAGGTTCCTTGTGAAGATTCCAGCTGGCGTTTTAACATGTTTGACGTAGCGTAAACTCCAAGGTGCTTGCACGTATCGGTCCATGCAGACACGAACCGATCTTTGTAAGGGTCCAACCATGTTTCTTGAATGTAGGCCAAGACGACGGGACAGTCGGAAAAGAGATTTTTAATGGAAGACAATTTGATGTTAAACATCTCTTCGGTTTCTTGTTCAACAAGAAACCCCCACTCCAACTCAAATTGCGCCCACTTAGACTCGTCCTCGAATAATTTCTTACAGCTAGCCATTACGTCGTTCCGAATACGCGACCGACATAACATATGTCGACTATTGGGATATCGAACCTCTACAGCCTTCATCAACTCCAAGTCTCGATCCGTAACAATCACACTCGGCATTGGACACCATTCCATGACTATTCGAAAATTATCCAACGCCCACTCGTAGTTCTCCGCTTTGTCGGATCTCAAGTACGCGAATGCAATAGTAAACGTCGTGTTTGTGGATGTAATGCCCGCAATTTCAAGAAGCGGAAAACGGCAAAAGTTCGTTCTGCGGGTGCAATCCATGACGAGCACGTTCGGAAAGTTACCCATCAAGCTAACGCTAGTTGGATGTATCCATAGCATATCCGTGACCTCGTTCGTCGTTTCACATAATCTATGCCTCACGATGTAACTACTTTCGGTCAACTTTCCCATGAGAAGTTTCAGTTGCCATCTGTCGGCGTGCTCTTTGAATCTAATCGTTTGACAAGCGTTGTACACTGTTTTCAAGGTGGTTTCTTTTGTTTCATCCCGTTCTTTCAGTGCCGCTAGGATGTCCCGAGGCTTGACTGACCTTTTTAACATGTCTTCGACTAGAATTATTTCTTCGGCAGAAAGTCGACCTGCGTACGAACTCCGCTGCATCTTCTCGGAGTTGGAATGATTGTGAGTGCCACAAACAACAGTCAACTCCCACCCTACTTGGTCGTCGTCCTTACCTAACTTCATACCCTTCAATTCGAAGGGGCATCCGCATTTTTTTGAACTACTCGCACGTTTGCGTTTTCCACCCACACCAAATTTCGGATAATAATTTCCGCCACGCTCGCATACAAGTATAATGTACGGCCGCCTACGCCTGCCGTTCCCGTTGTTGGAAGCTTTGGTTGTCAAAACCATGCCATGCCGTTTGCTCACTTGACGAACCCACGTCATCAGGTCTTCTCTTGTGTCGAATTTATCATTCTTTTTGAACTCGTTGGAGTAATCATCCGTCACTAATTCGTCGTCGGGAACACTATTGCACTTGTTTGGTGTATCGGTCTAAAAAAAAATCAAGAAAAAAAAAGTCAACTGTTGCATTCTCACAGAGAAACTTCAACGAAATAGATCGTAATTCGAGGAATGCATTCTCACAGATAAATAAAATGTGCGTGAATTCGCAGATTTTCTTTTTACGCCACGAATTGAGCAAGGAGGGAAATACGTGAAATGCAATAACAATAAATAAATTACCATGTCGTAGTCGTCTTCACAGATTTCTTCCTTACATGCTGACATCAATTTTTCAACGTTGTCCAATATGTCCTTCCCATTTGAAAACTCTCCGTTTTCTTTTACTATTTGATCGTCAATGTCCGCCGAGAACTCTGCAGGCTCGACATTTCCCGCATCGATAGGTGACCGAATTGTTTCTCGAGCAGGTTTCGTATCAATCTCTATGCGAGCATCAGCAAACATCTTTCTGAGCTCAGCTTGCCTCTTTGCAGCAAGTTCCTTCGTTCTGCCAGCTTTTAGCTGACTAAGCCTCTCAACTTCCACTCTAGCCTTAAAAAACGAAGGTCGATTTAATTTGTGATTATATATATATATATATATATATATATATATATATATATATATATATATATATACAAATTTAATTATAAGGTGAAGAACTACATACATGTTCGATGAGATCTTTAGCAAGAGCCCCAGGAACAATAACTTCATCCACTGAAGCTGACAAATTACAAGTCACCAAATCGAATAGGCTGCGATTTTCTGCAGGCGTGTCCGTCAAATTCCAAAGGTCGATTAGCCGAGTCGCCAGTTCTTGAATCTGTAGACATAAGTCAAGATAAAGTTAGCAGCGCAAATATAGTACAGCTGTGCTAAAGAATATAACTCCATGACTTCAAACTCTTCGTAGATCGTCATTACCTTCTGTAATCTCGTCTTCTTATCTTCTTGTAGTGCTGAAACGGCCTTATCCAATCTCGATAGCGTATCGTTGCTTATGCTTATTAATTGTACACCACGGTTGTCGTTTAGGCTCGGATGTACTTCTGTGACAGTAGTAAAGAAATCCGCACCAAGAACAGCACAAAGATTACGTGCAGAGCTCACAAATTCAAGAACTTTGTGCAACCTCTCGTTCTGCAAGATCAAGAGAAAAAAAAAACGTGAGTAATTTATTGAACGGGAAGAGTCGAATAACAGCTGATATATGGAAGTTAAAGGACTTCACTTTTTCTTTTTGAAGGTTTTCGAGCTCAGCATGAAATTTATCTAATTTCTTCGTCGATAGATCCGACTCGTCGACTAAAGGACTCTCCACCTGCTCGTTGGTTCCATCGATTTCTGTGCGTATTTCGTGGATTCGAGATTGAATATCGGCGAACTCTTTTATCCTGTCGTCCTTTAGTTTCCATAGCTTTTCCAGTGCAGGGGCTATAACTGCAAGCTGTTCCTTTATTGTTCCCGATGTATTCTCGGGCTGCGAAAAAAAGAACCCACAAATAAAAACGGCATATTTTGCGAAAACTCCAATTCAGATAAAAATCGAACAATTATTACGCACAATTCCGACGCAATTCTTCTCTCCAAAGGCTAATAGGAGGTCAGCGAGTTCAACTCTAGCATCCGCCAACGTCTGGAGCAATTGTGCCCTAGATTTGACGGCTTTGTCGACTTTTCTCTTGTATAAATCCAAGCACTCCTGCTCCAACTGAAGGATCATTTTGTCTCTTTCCTCGTCAGCTTCACCGACTTCATCCCAGATTTGCTGCATTAAAACAAGGATCGGTTTCTGTCAGTATACCACGATTTTTAAGGTAGTCGAAAACAAATAGCACGAGCTGGGAAGTGATAGTATCAAGAATTGTTGCCTGCAACTGCTGCAATAAAGACCCGCATGTAATTTTTCCGATGACGGGATTTGCAGATTCTACTGCTTCCATTCCACTGTGGTTTAAAAACGAACCTGTGAATCGATAAAATTTCAGTCTCGTCGTAATTTCTATACGACCAATTATCACTTGCACATATCATGGGCAAGACCACGACAGACAGATCGCCTAACAACGATCATATTATCTCGTAATTTTTTTACATAAAACTTTCAAAGAGTCACCACCCAGAAAGCAAACTCATTTACGAACACAATTAGTAAAAAAGCAAAATTCGATCAACCCTAGAAATCGAGAGAAGCAGTCCAATATGAACAACGATCATTTTATCTGGTAATTGTTTACATAAAATTGTCAAATAGTCACCACCCGGAAATCGAAATCATTTACCAACACAAGTAATTAAAAAAGCAAAATTCCATCACCCTAAAAATCGAGAAAAACAATAATCTTCATCCAATACGACACTTCCTCTTCAATATGTTAATTCAGAACAGCAAAATACGAATACAATTAAAAAAAATCCAAGCATTTCAAAAAAAAAAAAAAAAAAAGAAAAGAAAAAAAAACTCGAATTTTCACAAAGAAACAGCACCAAATACACAATTGTAAACACCTCACATGAAATGCAGTATACTGTAATCCATACGTAACAATTCCAATCAAAATCAAACAATATTTTCCGTGCCAAAAAAAAAAAACATAGCAACTCGACACTTTCACTCAGTAGCACAAACACATTCTTATTTTATCAATTAAAAAAAAAAAAAAAAAAAAAGCTGCAACCCTAAATAAATTCTTACAGGAGGGGGTGGTTTTACGGGTCGGGCTTCAGGGGATTCGGAGTCGGATCCAATGAGCCACTTGTTACAGTTTTATGCCGCGGTTTGTGAGAGTGGAAGAAAAAAAATATTGAAAAAATAAAAAATTGTGTAACATATCACAGAAGAAAATGCTAGCAGACGGAGCAGTATACGACGTCGTTTTAAGACACAATATATATAATTGGGAAAATTAGCTAATAAATAATCCTAGGGTTCAAATAGATCATCATTAGCAATAAGCAATTGTTTTAGTTTGTGATTAGAGTGCATAAGTTAATAAAAAAAATTCTAGGAGCTCATTTTTTATTTTCAAAAATGTTGGGGAATCGAATTGTTAAGGAGAGTGACTCGAGCATTATTGTCGGTGTTGTTGAAGGTGAAGGGAGTTATTGTACGATTTACCGTTTACCGGTAACATTTTCGACGATATTAAACAGTAGGCAAAAGGTTTCCAAGACTCAAGGCGTCGATGTACTTTTCCACTTCGCACGTGATTTTAACCATTTTCGAGTCTGAATCTAGTAAAACTCAAAACATTGAATTTGTAGTTCTTTGAGTTAGCTTTCGAATCGAACTTGAATCACCAATACTGGATTTCAAGTGATAAATATATGCTAAGTCAATGAACACTACTCACAAGTTTAATGTTTTGAGTTATCTAAAAGTCAAAATCTTACTGATTTACGCATACTACTGGTAATTCAAATTCAATTAAAAAGCCAACTCCAAAGGCTACAACTTCGATGTTCTGAATTTTGCTAAAAATCAGATAGAAAAATGGTCAAAATCACATTCGAAATCAAAACAGTGTTAGTAAAATCGAAACAACATTTAACATTTCAGATACGATATTATTTATAAGCTCATAAATCAAAGCATAGTGATCTCCCACATGAAGCAACTTCAAGGAATTTATGGGTTCAATTATAACGTGCAAACCTTTATTAGTACAGAACCTCGACGGCACCCAAGAATGGTAACAAATCAACCCTTTTTAGTTACGACTCTCCACAACCAAAATTCCGATAAGAACGTATCTTCTCGAAAAGAAAAAAACAAATAGATAAAAAAAAAAAGTAAAAGTTAAGATTAAAAGAGTCCTATCTTCTGTAGCTGAAACAATAAATATAGCGTATCAAAATACGATACACAATGTAAATTCATTCGTACATTTTTTTCTCTAGTTAAAGCACTTGAAAATTGTACACGAGCACAGACTCATTTTCAAGATTCCTCGTTGTCCACTGCTACTGTTACACCAACTTCAGCCGGCCTTACAACTCGATCATGAAGCATGTATCCAGCCTGAAAGATCGAGTTTTTTTTTAAATAAAAAATTAATCATTAATATTAGATCAAATTACGGCCACCCATGAGGCTCTTGTTTGGGTAATTACAGCCACCCCCTCCTTTTAAATATTTTTACATAAAATTTATGTAATTCGGTTATTTACAGAACCAAATCGTATATTCAGTTCGGTAAACGGTATGAAATGTTGGCATACCTAAATTTCTGTTCGGTTTTACCGATTTAACATCCCTAAATTTACCTCTGGAGGGATTTTTTCGTAAGCTAATACATAGTTGAGGGGTGGCTGTAATTACCCAAACAGGAGGGGGGGGGGGGGGGGGGGGGGGGTTCGTAATTTGACCGTAACTCAGGGGTGGCCGTAATTTTCCCTTAATATTATATCAAAAAAGTTATAGCTGAAATCCTGTCCTAAATGTTTTTTTTTCGCCTTGATCAAATATATACTAAAATGGTTACCTTTAGAACAACTCCAACATGACCAGGCGGCTTTGAAGCGTCCGGTACTTGGAAAACTGCATTATGCCTGTTCGGGTCAAATTCTTCGTCTGTGGGTACATATTTCTCAAGCCCGAAATTTTTAAATACCTGTATATTAAAAAACCGACGAGTATTAGTCAACAATATAATTGCTAATATAGCCTAATCTTCAATAAAATAAAATAAAAAGCACAGCATAAGATAATTTATAGTACCGCTGACAATTGTTTTTCGGTCATTTCAACACCATCGAGCAGTGTTTTAAGTTGTTGAACGGATCCAGCCGCACCTTTAGATTCATCGATTTTGGAGAAACTATCTTTTGCAGCAGAAGAAGCCCTGCTCAAATTATCCGCTACGTCCAATAATCCTTTCGCGAAGTTCTGCATATCAAATAAATAATAAGAAAAAAATCCCACAAACGGCCAAGTAAAGAATAAGAGCACGAAAATCGAAAAACCTGAATCGCGAATTTCTTTGCGTTCTCCGATTCGCGCCTAGTGCGCTCCTTGACATTCTCCATCTCTGCGTAAGTCCTCAAGACCTTATCCTTCATTTTCTCGAGTTCTTCTTGCTTTGTCTCGAGAAGTTGTTCCTTCTCCACCACGAGTTTCATCAGCTCATCCCTCGAAAGGTCGCATTCCACATCCGAATCTGAATCGGAATTTAAAAAAAAAATGTTAATTCGATTTGTAACTATTCGACTTTTCGACAATCCCACACGTAGTACGGTGAGGTAGAGTAAAAAAACCTGATTCAGTTTTCCCATCTGCTACGGGAGCTTCGGTTTGATGAGCAGCATTCTTATTTTCTCCGGATTGAGCTGCCTCCTTATCATTCGACTGTGGAGATGCAGATGATGTGAAACCGAACCATTGGAAGGATGACGAGCTCAGTGCCGAATGATGTAACAACGACATCTGGCCAGAAACCGCCTAGATAGGGAAATAAATAAATAAATGAAAAAATGTGCCTCTTTAATACGACTAATTCTCATGCTATGTAAAAAATCCCACTAAAATGCAAAAAAAAACGGCAATCCGAAAAGGAAGCAGCTGTAACTGTTGCTCTTTCTATACAACGCATTTCGAATGTAAAGTCAGATGTCTTTCCGACAAAACAATCCGACGATATTTCCCAAGATAGTTTCTTTACTCAGCAAGATTCTGAAAAAACGACTCAATCGGACTGAAAGTAATGCTACCCCCTTGAAAAAGAACAGGGCACAAAAGGAATTTAACAAGGTTGGCAAATGAAATCATTCTGTACCGCCTTTCTACAACAGAATTCGATACCGGTGGCGTTATATACGAGCATTACAATGCAAAAAAAAATAAAAAATCTTTTTACAAGTTACTGAAAACCTAAGAATGTAATCGGTTAGCATACAAAAAACTGATACAGCCAGATGAAATCGCGATTCGCAAAATCTAATTCAGCTCAAATATGGATTTATTGAATTTATTTAATAAAGTGTAAAGATTCAATTTTTTTTAATCGCCTTGTTGTTGCTCAAATATCAATTCACAAAAAAACATCAAGCCCGCCATTAGAAAACCACCGAATAGAAACTCAAAGGCATAATTTTTTTGCCACAATTGAAATTATTATAACCAGAAATCAAATCGATCGTACAATAAACAGAAGTATCTAAAGAAGAAAACCCTAATCTCGAAAAAAATTAAAATACAGTACCATATCATTGGGCCCGCGAGAGGAAATTAAGTAATTGGATAAAGTGTGGAGGCGTTTGCTTTCACGGAGGCCGGAGATGAGCGCCGGATTGCGGCGGCGGGTCAACACGGACCTTGTGAACCGAGTAGCCATTCTGCTAAGGGACATGGTTTTCTCGGCACTGGTTCTTCTCTCTGCAAATTACCGGAGGTGATTCTATATATATATATGTATGGAGACGGTGAAGATGGTGGGTGGGTGGTGGCGGTGGAGGGGCGAATAAAGGCAGGGGTTTTAGGAGAGATTTTGGGCTTGGGGAAGAAGAAATATGCTCTACAAAGTTGAACTGTAATTTGTTTGCCGAAATTATCCCTCGATTCGTTTGAAGAAAATACACTGTTTGTAGGCATAAATCGTGAACGGCGAAAAGGGTATTAATGTCTTTCTTATTTTACGTGAGATTTGTAGTAAATCAATAACCTTTATTGGTAACAGTTAAACAACAAAGCACCAGTGGTCTAGTGGTAGAATAGTACCCTGCCACGGTACAGACCCGGGTTCGATTCCCGGCTGGTGCAGCAAATGTGGTGCTGTGATGATTTCTTGCTCTTAAAGCGGGTCGGGTTATCCGCATAGTCTGAATATTCGGACGAATAACGCGCATCTGAGCCCATATCTCTTTTTTTTTTGGTTAAATTACAATAATAACCCCCTGAGGGCTCTTTTGCAGGGGTGAATGTATGAAATTTACAAACTCTCAGGGGCTGGATGCAATTTCTCCTAAATAAGGGGGTTTTCGTAATTACACTTTACCTTAGGGAGGTGGTTGTAATTTACGCTACTTTTTACATAACATTTTTTTAATTTTAAACTCTCTAAAATGTATATTATTCACATTTTATTTAAATTTAATCTTTTTTATTTTTAGTATAATGATCTGAGCCCATCTCTTTTTTTTGGTTAAATTACAATAATAACCCCCTGATGGCTCTTTGGTAGGGGTGATTGTAGGAAATTTACAAACTGTCAGGGGCTGGATGCAATTTTTCCTAAATAAGGGGGTTTTCGTAATTACACTTTACCTTGTAATTTACCCTATTTTTTACATAACATTGTTAAATTTTAAACTCTCTAAAATATATATTATTCACATTTTATTTAAATTTAATCTTTATTATTTTTAGTATAATGATGATCATTTACTATTTATTTGCAACAAAATTTTATGCTCAAAAGCATATATAATATATATAATATACATGTGACAATATACAAACGTTTCTTCTCTTAATTACTTCCAAGGATTCTTGAACATGGGAAAACAAACCAAAAAAAAAAAAAAAAACTATCTTCCAAATATCCATCCCAAAAAGGAAAGAAGAAAAATTGGCATAAAATCATTCTAGTCGTAAGGGTTGCGGAAATTCTTGAGAAGTTGCGGTATGTCGTAAGCAAGCATGTCGTCTACCGATTGTATCATCTTCGGTTTCATCCTCTCAAACTTATCTATGTTGTATCCGTTCAGTTTATCCTTGAACTGTTCCACGTTAGGAAAATCTCCCGCCGGTAAGTGGTGCTCCCGTTGTACCTGACAATTTGAATTCGAAGAAGGGATGAGAGAGAGAGAGAGAGAGAGAGAGAGAGAGAGAGAGAGAGAGAGAGAGAGAGAGAGAGAGAGAGAGAGAGAGAGAGAGAGAGAGAGAGAGAGAACCTTGGCAAATTCATCAGCAAGATTGTCTATGAGTTTCTGCTGTGCCTTGGCTTTCCCCATCATTGAGGGCATCTCGTTTTTCAGATGACTCATGATGTACGCGTGTATTTTAGCTGCCCTTGCACGTTTTACGAATTCGTTTATCTGCAAGAATTTGTGTAAAAAACATTAACACCTCTCTTCGATTCCATGTTATACACATGCCAATATATATATGTATGTATCATTTATACTTACACGACGATCACAAGCCTTCTTTGGTATGTCTTTCAAATCATTGAGAAGGTCATCTTGTTCTCTCTCGAAAAGCTCTAAACCAAGGGGACCAGCCGAAGCTTCGTTTATTGGCTTATCATTGAACGAGCTGGAAAGTAATCGAAAAAAAAAAAATACATTATGACAAAAATCTAAGAATTTTCGTATTTTGGAGTGAGATATTTTTTTTTTAATCTGATGGCATTGTGAGAACTAAAACATTTCAATTTTCAAAATATCACGAGAAAAATGTCGAAAAAAACAAAAAGATTACCCGATATAAACACGATTAACCTCAGGAGTATTCAACACTTTCCCGAGGGACCACATCAATGCTCCATAAACTCGCATAAGCTGCAATGAGAGGGAAAACCAGTAGAGTCAATTTATCCGTGAATAAATAGTTTTCGTTTTTTTTTTCCTGAAAACAGAGACATAAAATGAGGTGTACAAAAAGTATCCAATAAGTCGTACTTGCTGTGTATCGACTTGGTCGGCCTTGTTCAAAACCACGCGTATTTTATCATCATGCCCACGAAGAGATTCAATCACTCGTTTGAATTCGTCACTTATATCAAGTTTGTGAGGATCAAATAGAAGAAGAATTAGATCACACTTGGCTGCAAACCAAGAAATTACGCCTGTAAAGTCGTAGCTTCTCTGTGTCCTTTGCTTTTCGCCCGATAAAACTCCCGGTGTGTCCACAAACGATATATGCTCAAGAAGCTTTTTGCATTCAAAAAACCACAATCGATAAGCAAATCAATAGTTTTCTTCTCTTTCTTTTCTTTATCGAAAAAAAAAGCAACTCACAGGATGTGGCATTTGTGAACACTCAAATTTCGACAAAAATGCAGTTCCGAAAGTTGTTAGGCCGTTAAACGGCATATCTGCTTGAACAGCAACAGTGTTCCCTGGAACACTTCTCTCATCAGGCCCATTCTGTAGTTATTAAAAAAAAAAAACAAAAAAAGAATTGGTCATAACTTATAAGCATGAATGCCGACAAATAAAAGATGTGAGTTAAAGAAAAATATACCATGACAACGACAAATCTATCTGTGGTAGGCTCTGGTCCAATGTGAGATCCTGTGGTATGAAATAGGAAACAAAAAATATATTAAAACAATACCATAAAACGAAAAGGGAAATGAAGGTATGAAGTGTTCGTACCAAGTTGCTAAATTACCTGGATAACCACTTCCCAGCAAATGTTTAATAAATGTTGTCTTCCCGGTTGAGTACTGCCCCAGTAGCATCACCATTGGTTTAGCATCAAAATCGCTGTTTATCTTCCGATATACAATGAATTACCAGAAAAAAGGTCAATTCAAAGTCCCCAACAAAATTAATAAATACGTATATATATGTTGTTTGCACATTAATAAAAGTTAAGGTGAACAGAATACTTACTAGCGAGGGAGAAACAAAGTCGTTAAATTTGTAGGTAGTTTCCAGGGGCTTCAGCTTCTTAAGATACAATTTCTTCAAACCATCGACAATTGAAGTGACAGGGGTCGAAGATACCTAATTAGCATGAACGAAAACATGCAACAGAATAGGAAAGAACCGGAAGAAGGTTTAGCGAATAACAATCCGAACAGAATACGTATTAGATTTTCCAAAAACTATGCCGCCAGGTTGGTTACCTTTGCGGATTTTGAAGAAGAAAACCAATTAGCTGCCAATTGCATTTGACTGCCTGAATCATCAAAAGTCAGCCTAAAAAAACTTATTAGGAACCTATTAAAGCATAAAAACATCGTCCATCTTACCGTTCTGTTCGGCTCCACTAGAACGCTTCTTCTTCTGCATTAAAAAAAAATCAATTCGATTCGATCAAAGAAAAAATTCAATACCAAAGTCTAAAGCACCGCAAAACTCACGGGTAGGAGTGCGTCAAGACCTTCCATAGCAGGAGGTTGCAAGTTTTCGAAGTCAACTGTAGATAATGTAATTTAATTAAAAGCAACTTACTATAATATGATGAACTTCAATTCAAGATAAAAACATTAAGAAGCAAAAGAATATGATTCGTCGGTGCTTAATTACCTTCGGATTTCAAAATATCGCTCGTGAGATTGTGCCCTGCTTGCGCCAAAGATACTAACTACATAACGCAGATATCAAGAGAGATCAGTGTGGTAATGTTTCGACAATTTTCCAAAGCACGACAACAAATAAACAAGGACGATCCGAACCTGCATTGCTGCAACGAATTCGTTGAATCCGAGAAACCCTTGCCTTTTCATATCCGCAATTGCCCAAACCTTGATGAAATCGAAGAAAATTCAAATCAATAATCCCCTATTAAAAGCAAACGAATACATAACAATTTCGACATGTTTTTATAGGATCATCGAAATAGTATTCTCCCACATGCTAATTCTACAGATACTTAATAAAATGACAGACTACAAAATTAGCATGAAAACCTAACTTCATAAAAAAAATCCCCAATTCAGCAAAACCTAAAAAAAAATTAAAAAAAAAATTGCCGAACCTGTTTGAGATCCTGACGGGACAAATTAGACATGGTGAAGAATTTGGAAGCATCGTTCGCCGTGAGACGGCCATCGCCATCTGAGCGAATCATGAATTCACCAAAAAAATCACAATCAATTTTTCTAAAAAAAAAAAAAAAAACAAAATTAAAGCAGAAAAAATTCTTCATAATTTCGAAATTCGAAACACGAACCTGAATCAACGTAAGAAAACCACGATTGGTAGATCTTCTGGTGCTCCTTGGAGCACCGACCGATGCGCGCCGAGCCAATCTCCATTTTTTTAGTTGTTCATTCGTTTGATTTACCAAACCAAAAACAAAAAAATTAAATATGGTGGAGATTGAGCCGGTTTGATTTTTCGGGGTCTTCTTATTTCAGATTTCGCCGGTCATGTTTATCGGGAAATATTGTTGAGAGTGTTATATAGGAATGAAGAGAGAGAAAGTCTAGAGAGAGAGATAAACGCAGTCGTTTCAGGGTGGTGGCGTCGCAAAATGACATGCTCCGATTTGGGTGTACAGCCACTAGTTTCTCATGCATCAACAAAATTCTCTACTACGTTCTTTGTTAGAGGGCTTCAAATGAAATTCATATTTTAATTGGGTAAATTACAACCACACCCCTGTGGTATGGTCAAATTATGAAAACCCCCCTCTTGTTTGGATAATATTACAACCACCACCTCAATTCCTCGAATTTAGTGGAATCTTCGAGATTATATGGAATATTATCACTTTTGTACCCGTTTTATCCCATTCAAACTCTACATTTTGAAGCAAGATGATCATAATATGTGTTTTTTTGGCTTGTATATATCAGATTGTGGTGCATCAGAAACTGTAATTTTACACAAAACGAGTACAAACTAGAGCACATTCCACGAAATCTAGATGATTATTTTGAATTTGACACCACAAGGGTGGAGGCGTAAGAAAAAAAATCATAGTTGAGGGGGGTATATGTAATTATCCAAACAAGAGGGATTTTTTTTGTAAATTGAACATACCTCAGGGGGTGTTTGTAATTTACCCTATTTTAATATTATTATAATATTTTTTTAATTATTATTTGATTTTAATTTTTCCTCTCTAAAGTAAGAAAATAAAATAGAGTTTCTATTCTAATTAATTATTCCATCAACTTTCGAAAAAATTGGAATCATTAATTAGAATAGAAAAAAATAAAGTGTAATAAAAAAAAAAAGCAATATTAGCTAGATTGTGAAATTGAATTAAAGATTCAAAACATGCACGAGCATTATCTTATTCATTTTATGCACCCATTGTTGTAATCAAATAAATTAAAAAAAATGAAGATTAATCTTTATAAATGACAATACATGATATAATATATTGAAAAAAAAAATTGTCATTGTACTTAATTTGTATTACTAATTAATGTAGTGGAATATATGTAACTATCCAAATCAAGGTCCATGAGATGTTACGTCTAGCGTGATACACCAACTATTGATCTATATAAATAATTATCCACTGAAATATACATGTACATGAGTATGTGTTATTATGTGTCGATCGATGGTTCGAGATCATCTAGAATATTTCATCGGATATAGCGTCTACAAAACTTCAAATCAAGAAATGCCGATTGTCTTTCCGAGCAGCCACAGTACTAATGACAACTCTATCCCGAATATTGTATGAAGAGAACTTCTGTCTAGCATGAACCCAAATATCGTAATTCCAGCTCTATTGTTCTCAAAGTAATTTACTATAAAGATAAAATAAAAGCAAAATCAAACGTCAGTAAACACAAACTATGTTACATACTTATGTTAATTTATCGCGCATTCAACACCTTTGTGTTATATCAAATCGTAAAATCCATGTGTTATAAGAGGCTTTTTGGCTAAGTTTATAAACTATTAAAAAAAGATTATAAGATGTTTAAGAGTTTATAAGCTCTTCTAAAGTGTATGGTGATTTTTTAAAAAAGAATCTTAAAAATCCAAAAAATAAGTTGCTGACAACCAATAAGATTTTTTTTTAAAAGTACTTTTACTCAACTTATTTATTTAAGATTTTATAAGTAGTAAAAATGGCTCATAAGATCATTATCCAAACGCTTTAAAAATTAATTCTAAAAATAAGATGTAACAGCTTGTCAACTCTTAAAACAACTTATCAGATAATAGAGCTTATCAGCTGTTTAAAATAAAATTAGCCAAACGCGGCCTAAATATTGGCTAAGATATGTACTTTTTAGGGGTATTTTGCTAATAAAATTGAACCATAGGGGCGTTTTGCGTAAATAAAACACAATGTTTTGTTAACAACTAGAGTAAAACAAAGGGTGCTCAATGCAATTAACCTAATATTAATGGACTAAAAGTAAATATTAACTTACCCAATGCTTGTCGTTTCTGGAATGAGATAGTGCTGTAGGCGTACGAAGGGACAAATTGGGTATTATCCAATTCATCCTCTTCATCGCCCACGTCATCTTGATCCGACGGTCCATCTGAAGTTAAGGTGAAGAGATGCTCGTCTGCTACGCAGCCCACCGGAGTAGCATGGGCTTGATCAGCAGTATGGTCAAACGAGTCAATGGTAGCACACACGTGCCACTTGGCGGCAAGACACGTCACAGACTGTGCCTTGTGGGTGATTTTAGTAGCGCTCCGTAATAAAATCAGTAGCCCTGCTAGAAGGCTCACTGAACAAACCTGTGCATCAATGTAGGCAATAATTTTGTTATGATTAGAGCAAAATTACAACCATCTCCCTCAGGTAAAGTGTAATAACAAAATAAACCCGTTACTTTTGAGAAATTACATCCAGCCCCTTATAATTTGTAAATTTCTTACCTCCACCCCTACAAAAAGTTGTTAATGTAAAAAATCTACAAATTACAGGGGTTTGTCGTAAACAGACATTACCTCAGGGGGGTTGTAATTTACCATATAATATAAAGTATTGATACAATTATAAATATAATTTAAAAAAAAAAGTCGAAATTTTGGAAATTCGAATCGGAATTTTCGACTAGTATACATACGTACCGCTAGTTCGCCGGTGTGATATATATTGACGTCGGCATTACGAGTGGTGACAAAGAGCGACGCGAATTGGCTAGCGGTAATAAAAACGAGAGCCCACAATATAAACAATCTATATCTATGGCTTATGATCCTTAAATGCCTCCGAATTCTCAAATGTTCTTTTAGGACCGATTCGACGTTCGAGTCCACCTGGACAAACACCTGCGCGAAATCTTGTAGCCGAAGAATTTGAAGGCAGCATATAAGACGGAATAGTATGCATACGAGGAAAAAAACGACCGTTCTGTAGAACCACGAGCACAGCTCGAGGGCACACGCGACCGTGTTGCTGATTACGGTGTTGCCTAGGAACGGAATGCGGGTCCCGCCGGAGGTGTACCACCATATCTTGTATGCACCCTCGGCCGCGAAGCAGGGGAGCACGAAGATGAATAAGAGCTTCATTGATCTCTGGATTTTTTTTTTTTAATTTAGAGACAAATGTTAATTTAGTACAAGAATTTGATGAGATGAAATGAAATGAAAATTTTACTATATATATTGTAATAATTTTACTATTTGTGCATGATTTTAATATTTGTATATAATAGGGGTGGAAATTGTAACGAATTTTTTCAGTTCAATCGATTTCGAAAATTCCAATTTTCATATTGTCTCGGTTTTCTTTAGAACTTAATTGAAATACATGTTATGATTCGGTTATAATTTTTGAAAATATTTCCGAAAATTTAGATATTTTTTTTTTCTTAAAAAAACTACGATGTAAATATTAATATTATTCAAATTCTGAATTCCGCCAATTCCGATATGTACTTCAAAAACGAAAACAACATTAATAATAAATCAAGAGAAGAAGAAGTGTACATTAAATTGTTTGGTGTATCCCTTTCTGACGGTTTCGCTCTCGTCGCAGAGCTTATCGAAGAAAAGGAATCGCCGGAGGCCGAACTTCCTCACGAACTCCGACAGGCAAATGAAGGAGAGGGCGGCGATGCCGCTTAGCGACAGCTGCGCCACCGCGTCGTACGGCCTGCTGTGGAGGCTGTCGCAGTCGTCGCCGCGGCCTCCGCAGGCGAAGACGAAATGTGAGACCGCGGGAACCACGACGGTCAGCACGAAGAATACGAGCCACGAGAGGCACGCGGTCCGGCGGTCCGACTGGTCGACGCACAGGCATTTGAGCCACCGCCGGAATCCGCGGAGCTCGTCGTGCGCGTGCGACTGCGACCGCGAAAACGCTCTTCGATTGTTGTTTTCGTGGTTTAGAAGTGCAACTCTTGCATCTCCCATCAGCCCAGAATTTACGATATTGTGAGTATGATTTATTTTTATTTTTCTTTTTGAATTTTTGGGATGGCGTGTGATTTTTATAGAAGTGATCACAAGAAAATGTAGATATTTATTTAAAGTGAAAACTTTTAATTTTTATTATTTTATATTTTAATAACAAATATAAAAAAAATGTTGATTTAAACAATAGTATGGTTCGGCTAAAAACAATAATTAGATGGGTAAATTACGGTCATCCATGAATTAAGGTTAAATTATGAAAAAATCTCATCATATTAGGATAATTACAATTAGCCCCTCAATTATGAATATTTTTCTATGTCCACTCTTATGGAGTCAAATTCGACATAATTTTCTAGATTATGTTCTCTAGTTTGTACTCGTTTGTGCAAAAAATGCAATTTCTGATGCACCACAATCTGATATTTACAGGTCAATAGACACATCTTGTTTCAAAATGTGGAGCTCAAATGGTGTAAAACGTGTACAAACTGAAGAATATTTCACATAATCTAGAATATTTCACTGAATTTGACACTACAAAGGTCGACGTGCAAGTAAATTAATATTTGAGTGGTGGTTGTAATTGACCAAATATAAAGAATTTTTTCGTAACTTGCCGTTAACTGAAAAGAAAATTTTGGGGTGATTGCTCCTACAACCAATGGGATTGTGCCAAGTGGATGAAAGAAGTTTATTTTGAAGTAGGGAATCTAGTTCTTTGCTTAATATAAGTCAAAGCAAAAGCAAAGGAAAAATTCGAGCATATTCTTATACAAAAAGCAGCTTAATATATTCCAATTCATTTTATATATTTATGCTATATTTTTATTAATATTTTGATATACACGACTATAAGTCTATAACTCAATAATGTGAGGTGATGATAGTTGAGATCCAATCTACAAACAACACTAGCATTATATCTATAAAAAAATTGGTACTATATGTGTTTATACCTAGAATTCCATAGCTTAAAAATAATAGAATATTGTTTATATAATATTTTATATATTAAATATAATTATCTTTTTTTATTTCTCCTTTTGTAGACACCACTATTAATTTAAATAATAGTATTTCATTGTATGTTTCGATTTATTTTTTAGTTTTCGTCTCACACTTGAACGTTAGTTTTTCATCAGTTATGCTTTCTTCGTTGCAAAGTATCTATTACTTTTGAAGAAAATTGTGTTCTGCATTTATATTACTTTACAATTTGAATACTGCATTAATCATACAATTTTCAATTCTACCCTTGTTACATCAATAAATAATTGAAATCAAATATTAAAAAAAAAAAAATAATAATAATAATAAGAAATACAATATAAAAAAAAATATAATAAATAAAGCAACATGTACAGTTAGATCTTCAATCTAGGAAGTGGCCAACCTGCCAATACCAGTGCCACCCCACATGATATGATGACTAATTTACCCCCCTTTTGATACAAATATTAAAATGTTACATGTAAATTACGACCATCTTCCTGAAGTAAATCTATTATAAAAAAAACTTCTTATCTTTTAGAAATTATATTCATTCTCTTGCATCTTGTAAATTTCTTGCAGTCACCCCATAAAATGATGTTAATGCAAGAAATCTACACATTACAGAGGGTGGATGTAATTATGAAAACATTTGAGGTATTTTTGTAAACAGACCTTACATCAGGGGGCGGTTTGTAATTTACGTTGACTGATCTAATTAATTCGAATTTGACACCTTGTCCATTTTCACTAGTTCACGCCTCAACTGTATCAAAAAGAAGAAGTTGTGGATTGCTTGTGACAAATTAATTGGCCATCCCCTTTTGCATGCACTAAAAAAGTTGAATTTCTTCAACCACGCCATTATTTTATTGTTTTATTATTATTTATTAATTAATTTATTATTTTATTTATTTGCTAAAAGATGTAGCAGCTGTAGGAGGGAATCGGGAAGAAAAGATTGTGTAGCCACTAGCTTATTGCCTGGTGTACGCCCAAAAAAAAAAAACAAATTACGTAAAAACCCCCTGAAGTTAGGCTGAATTATGAAAAGTTACCCTCACCTATCCGATTACCAAAATCCCCGACTCTTGTTCTTGTCTTAAACGTGCTCTCTTACGGTGTGATTTTTAAAGCATCTTTTTAGTTCTATGTAATATTTTCCCAAAAATACCAATTCTAGCCTTGCAAACGTGGATTACTTTTTAAAGACAAAAATTATCCTCAGAAGAGGTAATGGTAATAATAAAAAAATATGAAGGTGTTATTTAAGAAGAATAAAAAAATAATCATTTGTGATAGAAGAATAAATATTATGTGTAAATTGTAAAGGCCCACTTGAGGGTAAATTTTACCTAAGAATAGTAGCACAAAGAAACGTCAGTGGAAGAGTAGAATTGACATTTCAGGAAATATTCCCTGGAACTAAAAGAGAAAATTCGGTGAAAAATAACACCATAAGGGCTTGATGTAAGCTGAAAACAAATGTCGGGAGTTTTGGTAATTACTGATAGGTGGATGCGTTTTTCGTAATTTACCTCAAGTACAGGGGGATTTTCGTATTTACCCAAAAAAATAGTATTGAAAGAAATTTGGAATAACTGTGTATTTCTAGACGTTTGATTGAAACTTTTTAATTTGTAAGTTAATGAGTGCAGAATAAGCTTTAATTTAAAAAAAAAATCTCATTAGAGATTGGTAAATAAAAATGACAAGGGCATAAATGTCAAAAAAATGAGCTATGCTCATCGCAGCACTCAATTTGAGCCCAAATAAGGTTACCAAATTGGGCTTGATTAACATTTACGTAAACTAAGCCCTTCACATAATAAGATACCGAAAATAATTAAATGATTATTTCGATTTTACAACTTCAATTGTATTAAAACAAAATATATTAAAATTTAACCAAATAATTGTCCAATATAAATTATTAATAGCTATTACAATTGTACCCTACTATTCTTTTGTAGAGCAATAATAAAATATTGCAATACCAAAATTTCGATAACGGTGATACATTACGCGATATTTTGTACGGTTGCCCTAAAAGAGGAATTAGGAGCGGCTGCCCTAAAAGAGAAATTAGGAAATTTCATCAACTTGGAGGAATTAGGAGCGGCTGCCCTAAAAGAGAAATTAGTGAATTTCATCAACTTGTAGAAATTTATAGGAACTCTTCATAAAACTCTAAATTGTCTTTATTTTAGAAAAGCACCGCCGACCATGAAATTAAATCAATCTCCACCATCAACTAGCCAGCTGGGATGATATAAATAAAAACATGATATTATTTGTAAATCAACCAAGAAAAATCGCAAACTGAGCAATGCAAGAGCCGAAGTAGTTAAACAAGAAGTGAGCTATGCATTGTCAAATAAGCAATGAAAGAGCCGGAGTGGTTAAATAAGCCGTGAGCGGAGTATTGTCAAATAACTCGTGATTACATAAAATATTCACAATTTTCACGTCATGATCTTTGATTGTGCTCCAATAAGCTACACATTCCCATAACAACCGATAACAAGTATAGAATGAACACAAAACTAGAAGCAAAAGAAAATGAAAATATTTAACATGAGAAGTACAAGCTATAGAGAACGAACTCAAAACTGCAAAAGAAAATGAAAATAGTTAACATAAGAAGTACAAGCTAAAAAGTACAATCAACATAGCACTAGAAAATGGTGTCTACTTTCACCATATGCTATTGAAGACATGAAGAAAACAATCCGAACAAAATTTCATCTTTAGTCTAAATGCAGCTTCAGTCTAAATCCAAACAAAATTTCATCACACTAATAAGAGTGAACAAATCATCCCGTTTCAAATGCAACTTTAGTCTAAATCCAAACAAAATTTCATCACACTAATAAGAGTGAACAAATCATCCCGTTTCAAATGCAACTTTAGTCTAAATGCAGCTTCAGTCTAAATACAAACAAAATTTCATCACACTAATAAGAGAGAACAAATGATCCCGTTTCAGATGCAACTTTAGTCAAAATACAGCTTCACTCTAAATACAATTTATCGTCAATTTCAAATAAAATTCCCTACATGCAGCTTCAGTCTAAAATAAAACACAATTCATCGTCAATTTCGAATAATAAAATTCCAAAAGGCCAGCACTCAGCAGTTAATACGGATTAAGATTTCAAATTTTGCACAGTTTTGATTAGAAAAAAAAAACACTTAAATCAATCATAAAATCCTCCATTATCAGATAACATCAGAGGTTATAAATATAAGAAAAGGTAAAAATTTCCCTTCAAACAACATTTGCTCATAGAAGACAGTCTTTTTTTCGAGTTTTTATGACATCAAACATCATCTCCTATGAGCATTCTTCCCTCTTTTTGTTTTTTTTTTCTTAAATTTTTCCACATAAAAAAGAAAAAGAAAAAAAAAAAAAAAAGAAAAATGGAGTAATTTAACCAAATTGGTGGATTCTTTTTTGCCAAATGATAAAGAGTCCATCAGGAGGAAAGAAAAAAACGCCGCCATCAAAGCCGGAGAGCCGTGCAGGCGAGTTCATCCAGGTCAGATGCGGCGGCGTCCATCGGAGTAGGCGGCGGCGGCGGCATATTTAGGTCAAAAGCAAGAGGCTTTTTACAAGAGGATGATGCAATATCACACTCTGCATCATCCACCACGGAGGAGGACGAATCGCAGTCGCTGCGACAATCGTCCGGCACCACCGGCGGCGACCGCGGATGCCGCCTCTGCTGCTGCGCAATTAACGGCCGCGGCGGCGGAGGTGCCCGGGGACCACTAAATGACTCGACGGTGCTGCTCATGCCGCTGGTGGTCGGCCGCTGCTGCGCAATTAATTGCTGGTCCTGTGTGTAATACCGGGAGTCCATTAACGGATCGTTAGGGTTACTGTTTATGTGCGGTTGATTAGGGTTTCGAGGGTTGAAATCGGGGAAAACGGCGGCGTTTGGCGGCGGGGGGAAGTTCGTCCTCGCCTTGGGCCCACGGAGCGACCGGGCGGCGGCGTCGTAGGCGCGTGCGGCGTCCTCCGCCGAGTCGAAGGTGCCGAGCCAGACGCGCGTCTTCTTCCAAGGGTCTCTGATCTCCGCCGCGTATCTACCCCACGGCCTCTTTCTCACGCCGCGGAATCTGATCTCTTTAGATCCACCAGATCCATTAGCTTCTCCCCCACCCTGAACCGCCGCCGCCGCCGCTGTTCTTCCTTTCCGCATCGCCCGAATTAAAAATATGAACCACCAAAATTTATTGAAAAAAAAATCGGAAAATACAATTTGGCGGAAGAGGAATTTGTTATACAAAGAGAGAAAAAAATTAGAAACAAAAAAAAAAAAGAAGAGAGAGAAATCAAATGGCTAAGATGAACACATATGTACAGAGGACCAAACAAAGCCACAGAGAGAGAAAGAGATGAGATTTGTGATATAATCTATATTTTATTTGTTTTTGTTTCTCTCTCCTCTTTTTCTCTCTCTACTGTGTGTTGTGTGCGCGTGAAAAAGAGAGGTATTGAGGGGCGAGCGTTATTATTTTTTTATGTTCTGATTTTTGTTTTTTTATTTTATTTAAAAATAAATTAATTAATTTATCTTTTTTATTGGGAAATTTGAAGGGGGTGGGTTAGGGGGCCGAATTTGCTTTATAGATCTTCTCTTACCTTCTCACGCGCCCCCACAAACCAACCGACTGCACTCCTTGAATTGATAGATTTTGCCCCTCTCTTCCTTTCTTTTTCCTTCCCTTTTCCCTCCTTTTCTAATTAATAAATATAAAAATAAATTAATTATATGGCAATTACAATAATACCCCTTATTGTTGAGAAATTACACCCAACCCCTGTAGTTTGTAACTTTCTTACATCCATCCTCTACAAAATGTAATAAATCTACAAATTTCAGGGGTGGATGTAATTATGTAAAAATGATAAGTTTTTTGTAAATACACCTTACCTAATAAATTAGTGTTATCTCATGAATAACAAAAATTAGAGTATCGTGGATTTTAATTTATTTATGTGGAGAAATAAAATATTTTCTTCTAACTAGAATTATGATTCCAAAGTGAGATTTTATCTTGTACGGGAAATAGTTAGTGATTTTTCGATATAAAAAATTCTCTACGTATATTTAGAAAGCCGCATTAGTATTTATTTGGTAGGAATACATTTTGGTACCGGACGCAAAAATTGTATTTGTTATGAGAAGTAATATAGTAATTATCTTATGATCTTTTATTGTATTTATATTTAATTTAATTTTTATTTAATAGATATGTTACATGTTTATTACACCATATACAAATAACATTGAAACTCAAACTCAATAAGTAAATATAGTAAACTAACTGAATTTTATATCACTTTATTTTTTCACTATTTGAATTTGAGGGAGACCTATTAATAAAATTAAAATACATAAATTCCTAAATGATACTTATTAATTATTCTTTATCTTCCCTTCTCGATATGTTTTTTTATTGGACCTTCTAAGGTCCAATAAGACAATTGAGTTTCATTATTATTTAATCTTATCTTGACAACCAAACGAGGTCTTAGTAAACTTGTCCCAAGTACTAATTTTTTTTAGATTAAAGGGTAAATTACAATCACCTTCTGAGCTATGGTTAAATTACGAAAAAAAATTCATGTTTGGATAATTACATCTACCCCTCAACTATGAATCTTCTTACATCTCCACCATTTTGGTGTTAAATTCAACATAATCATCTAAATTCCATGAAAAGTTAGTTCTCTAGTTTGAACTTGTTTTGTGCAAAAATACAATTTGTGATGCACCGTAATCTGATATATACAAACCAAAAAACACATTTTATGATCATCCAGCTTCAAAATGTGGAGCTCGGATGAGATAAACGGATCTAAAATTATAAATAATCTATATAATCTAGAAGATTCCACTAAATTTGAAACTGCAAGGGTAGACGTGTAAGAAGATTTATAGTTCAGGGGTGGTTGTAATTACCCAAACAGAAAGGGGGGTTTCGTCGTTTGACCATACCTCAGGGGTGGCTGTAATTTACCCTAAATTAAATCATGCAAAATGGACCCATTTGAGCATATTAATTAGGTCAAGGACCCATTTGTGATTTGTAATACCTTTTCAATAATGTTTCTAAATCTTTGACGATTTTCTATTTTTTCTTTTTGTTTCTTTACCTTTAATCCTTTTCCCACATGGGGTAAAACAGTAATTGGACAGTACCCTCTTCCTTGGTCAAAAAGACTAAAAAGCCCTTGGATTCTTCACTTATTTCCCATTATTTTATATTTTTAGGTCATTAGTGCGTGTCTGGATATGTCCTTTTCTGCGACTGATTTATTTACGTGAAACGGCAGGTGCAAGATTGGTGTATGTGGACCGCGTCGTAGGTGATTGTATCTCCCTCGTGCACCCCATCTTTTTGCTTAGGTTTTGGGGGTGCGGTGCAGAGTAAATGCGGTAGCAACCTTACCGTGTTCTTCTGATTTTGTAATAAAACTATTAAATTTTGTGGACACATTTTGTAAGAAACGGGTTTTATAGTAAAAACTATCATCTTCAACTTCATCCTCTGTATGCAAGTTTCCACGATGCTCTCGCTTATTTGTTCGTCGGTGAACGTCTCTGAAATTACGTTGTTTTTTTCAGGATAGTTCGAGAGATATTCGGCATCCTACTTGTGACGATAATCTAGTTAATTGACTGAATTTTACAGTTCTCGAGTGATTTCACCATCGAAGAGTTGGTCAATATTTTTTTTTTTAATACGGGTTTTTTAAATAACAATAATTTCATAAATTAAAGTAAAGATTAGTAATTTATAGCCCGCATGGGTGTAGCTCAACTGGTTCCGGAGGTGGTAAGTTGGTGCAAGGTCCTAGGATCGAATCTTGGCAGGCGCAGTGTGGGAATTTCAACTCCAATGAGATTGGTTCCTTGTGGGCACCAGGTCCGGGTCCGCTACCTTAACGGGCCGTTGAGTTACCATGATTTACATTCCTCCATCAATCCTTGTCGGGCCAAGGGATGGGGGCCCTGGGGGCGAGGGATTTCGCCTTTTGGTGCAAAGATTAGTAATTTATTAATTTTTCAATATTTTACTAAATTAATAGGATTATAAAGATCCCAAACCGTATTAATTTATATATGTTTAACTATAGGTTGAGCTATGAGTAATAAGAAAATCAAGAAATAAAATTAGGGGTGAGCAAGTCGGACCCATCAATCCGCTGCACCCGTCAAACCCGTGATGAACCGCCCCATTGGGACCGGACTGATAGATCCATCCATAGGATTGGGTCCTAAAATGGTGAAGAACCGTGGGTTTGGGTCTTAGACGGATTCAATCTTTTTTAATACCCGTGAAACCCGTCCCGCCCCGCCATACAAAACGACGTCGTTTTGTTTACATTATATAGTATAATAAATTAATAATATTAATGAATAAATAAAGTATCTCTAGTGTATCAAATACATAAATCAACTAAACTATAATTGTGGAAGTAATAGCTATAAAGATTATGAAAATCTCTAAGAAAATGTAGGAAAAAAAAAGCATATATATACAACGGTCAACACACGGCAGAAAAAAAAAGGAAGAAAATGGTGTTGAATGGAGCTGAATAGCATTGATTATGCTTGAAAAAGCTATATTTATTTTATTTAAATTTTGTCTTTTAAATTATGAATTAGTTATTTTTAGTTTTATATTAATTTTTATTTACTCTTGACATTTACATTATTTATGTTTGGTTTCAATTTAAAATTTTAGGTTATTCATTTTAGTTTCTAATTATTCTCCCGTAAAACTTATAAATTATATTAAAAAAAAAATAGTTTAGACGATAACGGGTTTCGACCCGTAAAGGTTGGGTCCTACTACAAACCCGTCATGGACCCGCCTATCGTAAACCCGTTAAAAACCCACAAGTTTGGTTCTTCAAAATCAAGAACCGTTGTTTGACGGGACGAGGCGGGTTTTGATAGAACCCGCGGGTTTATGGCCCGCGCACACCCCTAAATAAAATAGTAATTAATCCACCATTAAAATTCTACAGTTACAAACGCACCGACACACACACACTTACATTGGTGTAATTTCATAATCCAACTTTGAAATTTATAAGAGATCAACAATCAAAATTTCATTCGGTGTAACCTTCAACTGATGTAGCATATAAATAATCCATATTATACGTTACTTCAGATTTTCAATGCTTCATTAATTATATATTTTTCCATTCTAACTTTATTAACTGATAACACTCTCATGCACTAATTATATCTATTTTCCTAAATTCAGTACATATTTATCGCGAGTTTTTTAAGACCTTTAGTGATTATATAATTGGCATATCGATTTTTCGTATAATATTATGAATATGAGGTACATTTACACAATTTATCAATGTTTTATTGTATTAATTAATTGTTAATGGGACAAAACCCTGTTTGGATTCATCTGTCTTTTGGTATAACTGCCGTCCGATGTTTATGAATGATCGGCAGGAATATCCAACAAACACCAAACAAAGAGCTATACAGCTGTTTAATGCTAATCACCATACTCTAATTACTCTTTTGACTCATCGATAATTGCAATTAGATTTTTCTAATAGCATAATGACTATGCGTGGAAATTGTAACGAATTTTTTTAATTCCGTCGATTCTGATTAAAATGCCGAGATTACTCTAGTAAAACCCCAAAATTCCGTCGATCTGATTAAAAGTGCCAAGATTGGTCCAGTAAAACCTCTTTGATGCTCGAGTTAATATCACAGTTAATCAATTAAGAGGATGTTTAACTAAGCTTATAAGCCGTTAAAAAAAAAGCTTATAAGTTCTTCCAAAATGATTGGTAGTTTCTTAAATTTTCAAAAAATAAGTTGTTGAAGTGTAACTAAAAACTTTTCTAAATCATTAGTTCGACAATTTAGTATTCCGACTGCATTAATTTATAGAAGTTTAATTGTATGACGTAATTATCGTATTCTTCTAATTGTTAAGTTTCTTGATATTCCAAGTAAGATTTTATTTTGCAAATTTAATTTATTTATTAACGTTATTTATAAGTAATGATAAATGTATATAACACTACAAGAGTATTAGTTTACATGATAATGAAGGAAGAAAAAATAGTCAACCCTCAAGATTAGTTGGGTGATCACTAGTCATTGATTTAAATATATACCTACAATTCCCACCTAAAATTCTATGTAGAATTTTTCCTTTGGTATCATAATTCTATTTTATATCATTGATGTTTTTTGTTTGGGTAATCAGAATTAAAAGGGAAAAAAAAATTCCACCTAAAATTTTATTTGAATATTGAGTCATTTAATTTATAAGGGTGACAATCGGGCTATGTGAATTGAGCTTAGATAGATTAAAACTCAAACACCGTTGAACCTTTAGATTAGAAGCTCAAACTCACAAACTATCGGTATAGGCCTAAACTCGGCCCATACAACATCTCCGGCTTCGGGTTTAAATCGGGATCTGCTTAAACTTATAACACTACATTTTATAAAATTTCATATATCCAGTCTATGTACTACAAATATTTGAAAAATTGCATGAAAACGAGTTTTTTTATGATTTTTTTTAAATTCTAATCATTTGCAAATAAAAGATAGAAATACTTCAAATTACTGAAAAATATAAATATTTGTTACTAATACTCTTGAATAATTCATTAAATTACTTGAAATCAACTATAGTCATATAATGGACGAGTATAAATATAAATTTTCATTTATCATCGACTATTTTTTGTCAATTAGTGTTTATTGTATAAAATAAATATTAATAAAAATATTAAATAATAAATTTAATATACATTAAAATTTATTGTTCGATTGAGCTTTATTCGGGTTGAGCTACAGTAAGCTCAAACTCAATTCATAAACTTTTTGAAATTGACAAAATAACTCAAACTCATAGTATGTTAAGCTCACTTCAAATAAAACTGGACTGAACAATCGAGTTTCGAGTAGGCCCGACGCAATTGCTGAAATGATGAGTTAGAATAGCACCAACTCTAATTCTATGTGGGTTGGAACTAGTCAATTATATAAATAAATAATTAATTAATTCCCATATAAAAATGTAAAATGAGAGGCATCTTTTTGGTAGGATAATATCTATTTCATAATTATCATTATTGTAAATTAATAAATTACAAGGCCTAATAAACGTGATGTTACTTTTGCCTAATGAGGTTGATGTCACTTACACTTCTCAAATTCATACACAATTTGATGGCCATCTCTTGTAAAATAATAAAATATATCGAGTATTTTAATTTTTGATTTGATTATAATTATACATATAATACAAATGTATGTAAAAATTGTACGTATATATGTATGTGTATATGTGCTTGTAATATTTATAAATCAAGAATGTAGCACAAAACATACATTGGTGTAGGGGTGGATTCGGTACGGTTGCCAAACATTTGGCTCAATACCGTGTACCTACCGTACATTGCGGTATTGAAAAATTTCATACCGTTACCGTACCAAAAAGTTCGGTATATCAATGTTCGGTATACCGTTATTTTCGGTACGGTACAATCGGTACGTGGTACTCTACCGTATTTGGTGATGTATCAAAAATTAAAGAACAAATGAGTTAAAAATATACATATATATCCCAATTGAAAATAGTTCTAGTTACTCTTGTATGAGTTGTATTTTATTTTCTAAGAAGGTCCGGTATATAATCGGAATAATTAACATAATTTGCTTCATTGAAACAAGAACATATGCCATAATAATGTAAATGTTGTTTAATGGAACAACTAGGTATTTGTTAGGAACTTGATTGTACTTAATAATTATTACATACAATAAATACTTTACAAATGCTATACATACATGTAGGTAAAAAAATAAAATATTCATACATCATATATAATAAAATTAGTTGGCTATAGGGAACATAAAAGACAATTTAGTAGAACATATATGTTCAATTGCAAAATTCAACTTGGTAGAAAAAAAAAAAAAAAAAAAAAACAATACATTACCACTAACTCAAGGGAAAAATAATTGTTGCCATTTATAAGATTCTAAGTAAACAAAATAGAATTACAAAAAATAATATCGAAAAAAACATATTAATCGGATTAAAATGTAAATTGTGGTACGGTACGGTACGGTACTACCGTGGTATTAGAAATACAATACCAATACCGTACCATATTGTAATGGTACGGTACTAATACCGTACCATAGACAATGGTAACCGTTCTTTCGGTAATTTTTCGATAATCCTTGATTGGTATACCATGGTATATGGTAATCGGTATTTTTTTTCCAGCCCTACATTGGTGCATCAATTAAGCTAATTAGACACTTGAAAAATAAAAAAATAAAAAAGATAAAAATCCTTAAAGATAAGGTTATTTTGACATTTTAATCAATAATTGAATGGGGAATTCTGACATGGGAAGAACGAAGTGCACATGGGGACATTTAAATAACAATAATAATAAAAATACTAATAATTATTAAGGATAAATTACTGGCACGCTGATCCAAGTCTAAATTACAAAAAAAAATCATTCATGTTTGAAAATAATTACAATAATATATATTGTCTTAAACGTCCATCTTTACTAGTCAGATTTACCTACTGAATTAGATTTTTTTCATAAGACAATACATAATTAAAATGCATGATTATAATTATTTAGATATGAGAGGTCTTCTTGTAATTTGGGCTTACCTTAAATCGCCTTAATTTGTAATAATAATAATAATAATAATAATAATAATAATAATAATAATAATAATAATAATAATAATTTTGAGTGGGAATTGATGGACGTTGATTCCAAATGTTTCAATTGACAGCTGGTGGTCCTATCTGACGGTGCAAAACAGCAGATAGTCAATTTGATTGCCACGTCACACGTATTGGATCCAATAAAATTATTTTTTTATTAATTTTTTCTGCTATTATATTAAGTTTCATTGTCGTTGACCGGTTCATTTATTCAACACACGGTTTATTGTGTTGAAGTCAACTTTGTCGCTCCTTGGACCCGGTTCAAATTTCATCTTTCCTTTTTTTTTTTCTTTTTTTTTGTTATACAGGTGAACAAAAATAAATTTCTAAATTCGTCGATTTCCATCCCAAGAAAACATATGATTTTTGCAAATTTTCAGAAATTTTTTATTTCTATGTTTAAGTTTATTTTTTAATGAAATTGTAACTAGTTCTTCACTTTCAGAAAAAAATATTAATTTATTGCCGAAAATGTTAATTACGATTCGATCCGATCGATTTCGACCATAATTCTAATGGTCTGAAAATTATATATTTTCTATCACTGGATTAATGCTAACCCAACAAGAGGAAGCCCATATGGATAACTTTGGGCTGTTGTGTAATTATTTATTGATTGGTAATAAATATTGGGCTAAGGCTTGATTTCCCATAGTGGATAAATAAATATTTTAATCTCAAAATCAAATTATTTGGGAAAAACAAGTATACAGTTAAACCTTTATAAATTAATACAGTCAGAACTAAAGAAATTCTATTTAGTAGAACTATTAAATTATCGAGTTAATAATTTAACACGTTTTCAACGAGTTGGGATCGAGAAAAGCTACTATTTAATTAAGGTTATTAATTTATCAAGTATTAATTTATTTGATATTGGTTGATAATATAATTATATGTTTATATTAGTATGTGTATCATTTGTACATGCATTTATAAAATACTACTACAAAATTAAATAGAAAATATGTAAAGAAAAGAACACTCATTTGATGCTTGATATAATAATCATTTTAACAATATTTGGGTGATTTTATTTTGAAAATTGTCAATATTTTATTTTATAATGTAGCCAATAAAAAATAATTCAAAAAAGATCAAGAAAACTCATCAAATGCCATAAATACTAGAATTAATGGACACGCAATATAGATAGAGGTGATGAAAATCATCTAAACCTAACCAATATCTATCTATATTCCCCTATTTAAACATCCTATTCTCTAAATAAATAAATAAAGATAATTAAATTGCAATAATTTAACAATATCGAAAAAATACAACTTCGACAAGAAATCACAAGCAGTGAGCCAACAACAAACCAAAACCATTGTCGTCTTGTTCAAGCGAAGCCCGTTAAACCCTCGTTGCAAAATCGCAAGTACCGAACTCTGCAAAAATTCAAAATAATCATTATTTTCATTTCATTACCAATTCTGCACTTAATATTATGGATAAACAAGCCATTTAATTAATTTCTTAATATGCAAAAATTTTAGTACTTTTTTATAATTAAAATAAATGCAGTATTTATTAGGATTCTAAACTTGTGCGTGCATTTACCTTAAATAACACTTTAAAAAAGGAGGGTTTAATATATTTAAAAATAAGATGCACATAAATTAAGAATATCAACTAATGCATTCATTCTAATTTTTTTTAATTACTCTCAACACATATTAATGAAATATATGAAATGATTTTTTTTTCTATGCAAAAATTGTGAAAATGGATAAACATATATCTAAAAAGAAAAAAAAAATTAAAATTTAAGAATATGTTATTTTGGTTTATGTATTTAGCCATATTAATTGGGTTTATTATTAATATTAATATTAATATTAATAATTTAATATATAAATGAAAGACTATTACTTACTAGGTGGCTGAGTGACCACGTAAGCAGCACCCCCGAAATAACAGCTCCCTCTCCGCCGCGCATTTTTCTGGTAGTAGCTATTGAACGCAAACGAAGCGTGGGCCCCAATCGTGTCCGGATCGTGACACGTGGCACCCGGCTGGATCGGACGGCAGTCCGCCCCTCCCTCCCCACAAGCATAATCCAGCGCCGCCTGCAATTTCTCCGCTCCAGCCTTCTCATTCGCCACGCACCACGTCTCGCCGGAGTGATGCCGATGCCGATGCGCCGGCGCCGCCGCCACCTTCCTCTTAGACGACGCAACACCAAGCGCCGCCGCCGTCAGCGGAATGTCGTAAACTTTCTCCTCGTTCGGGTAAAAAAGCCCGTAGTTCCTCTCCGAAGTCGGGCCGGGCTTTTGGTTCTCGTTGAATAGGGCAAACAAATACACGTCGATCGGCACATCTGGCCGGAGAGGAGTTCCGCCGCCGGTGAGAACTCTCCGGACAAGGTTGCCGTTGTACGCCGCCGCGTTCTCCACACTCGCCCCGACCTCCCCCTCGTCGCCGATCGACGGCCAGCCGGTTTCGCCAACCACAACTTTCATTTCAGGAAACCCTAACGCCGTTATCGCGGCGTAAACGGCGTCAAGCTGGGCGTCAAATAAACTCTTATAAACCAGGCCGTTGTTTCCGTCAACGTTACCGCCGTTATCGCGTAGAAGCGCGTAGTCCAACGAGATCGTGTCCGTATTACCAATGTACGCGAAAAAAGGGTAAACATTCGCCATGAAAAAAGATCCGGTCTGCTGCAAAAATTCCAGCATCGGTTTCATAACCGGTTCAACAAGATCCGGTTCAAATGAACCGGACGAAGGAGGGTACGATGACTGAAGCGCCCCCATCGCTACGGGAGACGAGACTTTGATCGTCGAAGCGACGTCGTATTTGACGAGCGAAGCGTATACATTTTTCATCGCCGGTACGAGGAATGCCGTGTTTGCGGGATCGGCGAACACTTCGTTTCCGACGGCGATCGCGTCGACGATCGTGTTCGGGTGGTAGGGTAGGATGTTGGACTGTACCCACGTGTCGGTGAACGACTGGTCGGCTGCCGCCGACGAGAGCTGCTCGTTCGGCATCGCGACGGTGACGGAGATCCCCGAGCCGCCGAGGGCGGAGAGTACGGCGGCGTCCGTGTCGAAGATTTTTACTCTCGCGATGCCTTGGGATTGGAGGAGCTGGACCACCTGCTGCGGCGGCGGGAGGTTGTCCGCGAGGCGGCCGTAGTTTACTCCGACTGTGCCGGAGAGAACCGTTTCGACGACGAAAATAAAAATAAATGCCGGGAGGAAGTTGGATAATAATAATTGTTTATGGGAAGCCATTGATGAAAGAAGAAGATGAGAATTTTAAGGTTTTTTGTTTTAGTACGAGGATAGAAGTAATGGAGTGTGTTTATATAGAGAGAGGTTAATTAGCATAGATTATGGGTTTAGTGGGTACTTAGTGGGGAAAATGGTGTGATTAGTGGGTAATTAGGGTTTGTTCATTATATGAGATATACTATATATATACATAGATGTATCTTGTATGTATATATTTTGCACACATTGTTCATTATATGATATATAGAAGAGTGACGATGATTAATTTTTTTATTTTGTAATGTAAATAAAAGAGTGGAGAATATTTGAATATTAAATACTAGTATTATTTATGTTTATGCATTGAATTTTGTATAATAAATGTATATAGATATCATAGTAATTAATGGTGAATTATGGTAACTTAATTATTTCACATAATGAATGCATATATATTTAATGTATAGAATATTTTCTCTATGAAATTATGTAGTTGATTTGAGTGTCAAGTGAAGCACATATACATTGATACATATGTTTAAAAAAGGTGAAATATAGTATGAGATAAAATGCCAAATCCAAACAATAAGATGTTATTAATGTTTAAATTATTATTATTATTATTATTATTTTACTAAATAAATAACTAATAACTTGGGTATTTTTTGGTCGTTTAAATTTGAAAACATTGAGCAAAATATTAAATAAATATACCATTGCAACTTGATTTGGTAAGTTCGTAATAGACGAACATGAGGCTTAATTTGGGATGTAAATATTCAGTAAACTTAATCAGATTATATAAATTTTATATACTTTTTAATTTTTATATGATCCGGTCGCGAAACACTTCTATTTGGTTGGTTCTTTTCGCAGTTACGCTCGGTTGAGGATTTTGAATCGCTCGGATATAACCAAATTGCTAACAAGAAGATATTCGTACTTAAGTCAGAGTTAGCACTCCAACGATTAAGTTAGAAGAGATCGATATTTATTTTGTGAGCGAATTAAGAAATACGTGTGATATGAAAGAGTACATCTTTACGAGCGAGAATGCATACTTACTTATAGTATGTCCAACCGAATCTCAAGGCTTCCCGAAAATCGGCCCGAGCATACACTCGCGGCCGCATCCGTTACCTCTAATGCCAGTCATCACCTTTCCCCGGGTATCCGAGCAATTATTCTTGACTAATCAGCCTCATGTCTCTTAGTGAATGGCCCTTCATACGTTCCCTTAATCATTTTCTCCTTTTCGCCTGTCACAAGTCATTCGGCCATTGATGATGGTGTCAGTGAATTTAATACACGAACACGTGTGTGGGTTGTTTCTTGAACTCTTTCTTTGTCTGGATCAACAATCGTATGTATATGTATGTATTTGATTATATATGTTTTTTTAAGAGGGCGAGGAATTTCATCTTTTGATACACTTTTTAAGAAGGAAAATATAAGATTTATTGATTTTACACAAAACGTTTCACCATTTGAACATCGCTTTTCAATATTTGAGTTCATTCACATAGACAACTATGATGTGAAGATCGATACATACGGATTGAGCGATGCAACCTTTTGTAAGATCTTTCGAATATAATCATACTACTAATTATATTCTATCGATTTGGTAATTTACTTCAAACTAAAGAAATTGTTACGTTGTCTAGGGTGTAGGATTTAACCCCATTAGCAAATATCTAGTTTAAAAATTGAGTAGTAATCGTATCATTCTCCCATAACTGGACCAAGCCTCCTTTGAATTGGCTCAAGATCAAATGCCGATTCTTCCTTTTTTGATGGCTCTACTTCCACTGCCTTTATTGTTTGTAATCACAATGGTTCCATTGTTTTCGCTCATTCTCTCCAGCATCAAAGCACGGATTCTCTTGTGTTAGAAGCCTCTAGCTATTCATGAAGCTTGTCTTTTTGCCAACCATTGGAAGATTGTTAAGGTCATCTTCGAGTCCGATTGTCTCAATGCGGTCCACTTTATCAACGATCATGATACGGTCGTACATTGGTCTTCCAAAGTTATCATTGATGAGATTCGCAAATTTTGGCACCTTTGGCCGAAATGGAGATTCAAGTATTGCCCCCGAAATGCAAACTTTGCGGCCCACAACTTAGCATCTTGGGCCTCTGCCTCTAACTGGAGTGGTTTTGTTTTTGAAGATTGTATTCCTATTTTTTGTTTTTGTGACATTGGTCATCCTATTGTAGACTTTTTGGTTCCTTCTTAATATATTTAATTTTCTTATCAAAAAAAAAAAAAAATCGTACTTTTTCGTGTAACTATAGAACTAATATAAAATTTTAAATTAAATATATATTATAAAAAAAAAACAAAAAAAAATAATTTTATGTACATTTACCCAAAATTCACAATTTATCAAACAAAAATATATATTCAAATTTCTTACTCATACATAAATATTGTTCGATTCAATCCATTGACATTGAAAATTGAAAATATTCCCTCCAAATTCCAATACATAATAATAATAGAATCAGAATGTAGATAGACAGCTTACGTACTACGCATAGTATATGTTCTTTCAACTTTCAAGGACTAAAATTTTCCTGAAACGACGTCGTTTTACACGCAGGTTTTTAAATTGGCTTAAACTTTCCACCGTCCATCGCAAAGTGAAATCATCTCCACCGTCGATCAAATGTGAAAGCATCTGAACCGTCGTTTTCCATCACCCCCCCTTTTTTTTTTTTTTTTTTTTTTTTCAAAATTTTAATTTTAATTTATTAAAAAATAAATATTAAAAATCCAAATAAAAGGTAGGTAAAGAGAGAAGTGGCGAATCCCAGTACCAATAGCAGCGTCACAGTTGAAAAGCAAAAGCAACAGCTGAAGCGGCGGAGATTAATCGGCGGCCGGAGTAAAAAAAAATGTCGAGCGTTGAGGATGACAAGAAACCGGCCGATACAGGAGCGCACATCAATCTCAAAGTCAAAGGACAGGTTTCACATTTTCCTTTTCCGCCTCGATCGATTTCATTACACAGGATTTGTCTATTTTTTATTTTTGTTTTTGTTTCATGTATTAAATTTGTTGTTTGGATGTTGTTTGGTGTGTTTGATATATCACGAATCTGATTCTAGGGTTTTGAAATGATCGCTGCTTGTTGATGCATTTTCTAGGGTTTTGCCTTTTTTTCCCCCTCTTTTAAGTAAAAGATAATTCATTTTTTTTTCACTTGTGATTTTTGGATTTATAACTTGTTTGATGAGAATGTCTGTGTGGCTCATGGATTTGTGGAGTGGTTTTGTATGGGGAGTTAGTGGTGTTAACTGTGTTTTTAAAGTTTTTTGAGTTTTGGTTTACGGTTTGTTCTACAATACACCCGGTGAATTTTACCGTACGCTTGTGTAAAACATTGTATATGTGTGCGATTGTGTGTAAATTAAAGGTTAAAAACTACCGTGTGTATTTCACAAAGGTGTAGAGCATCTTAAGTTCATGTGAGGGTTCCGTGAATTTCGTTTTTGTGTATTAATCATGATTTGTTCTTTCAAATTATGTTGTTTTTGAAGGCTGACACTATACATAGTTATACATATATACATACACAGTTTATTGAAATTATAATTCTCTCGATTATATGGATAGCTCAGTCTTGTTGTTTGATGATCTGTGAGTAGCCAGTTTGTGTTGCTCCTTTGGGTGGAATAGCAATGCCCTGCATTTTGTTCTTATAAAAAGTCAAAATATATGTTTGTCAATCTTGTTTTTGTTTTTTTGGGCGTGGTTCGGGTAATAGTACAACCACAATTTTACGTTTAGAGAGATGTAGAGATCTTGTCTTTACTCTCTGTATGAGCCAGAAAATAAGCGGCGACAGTATTGATAGTAGTGAAAGAACTAATGGTAACTTAGCAATTTAATAGATATATGGTTGGAAAATTATCCTTTTGATTTTTTAATTGTTTTTTTAACTGGAACGAACTCGTATCTTTTGGTGTATATTTTCTCTTGTTACCAAACAATCACATTTTTCATCGGTGTTTTTGCATCTCCAATTTTTTTTTAATTATTTTTTTTTCGTTTTATAAAGTTATCCAAATCTTGACTAACGGCCTTGGTCAAAACTGTTGTTTAATCACAATGTCTAATACATTCACAATTTCTACTCTTCTTCTTGTTTGACAGTTGTTAAGCATATACTTGTAAGAAAGGAAGATTTACGTACATGGGCTTATTAAGTGAGTTGGTACTCGATTTAGATTTTATGGAAGCTATTTTCTTCCCTTGACAGGATTAGTCAAGAATCATCGATGTTTCCTCCGATTCTTTTTAGTTTTTTTTTTTTTTTTTGGCTGTTGATTGGCACATATAGTTCCGTTTCAGTCTGTGGCAGTATTTTTTAAGCTTTTGATCCTTTTATGCCCTTGATATGACTTGTTTATCACGACTCTAAACTGTCATCCAACCTGTAAATTTGTTGAACACTTGGAAGTTCGTTAAATATAACCTAGTTCGATTGCCTTGTTGTAGGATGGAAATGAAGTGTTTTTCAGGATCAAGAGAAGCACTCAACTGAAGAAGCTTATGAATGCTTATTGTGACCGACAATCTGTGGATTTCAATTCTATTGCTTTTCTGTTTGATGGCCGTCGCCTCCGAGCTGAGCAGACTCCAGATGAGGTTACTCTCTCTCTCTCTCTCTCTCTCTCTCTCTCTCTCTCTCTCTATATATATATATATATATATATATATATATATATATATATATATATATATATATATATATATATATATATATATATATATATATATATATGCTTTTACACGTGAAATTACTGCCTCGTCCTTATCACTCGAATCTTGTGCTTTACAGCTGGAAATGGAGGACGGTGATGAAATAGACGCAATGCTTCACCAGACTGGAGGAGGCACAACTGCTTAGCAAGGATGGAAATGAAGTAGTATTATTGTAGTATATATATATATCCGTATTTTATCGACTTCTTAAATATCCGGATATGTTTCGATTACCCTATTGCTATTTTTACAAGGCTTTAAGTATCTTATTATGATGTGAATGCAAATCAGTTCTATTTTTATAAGTCTTTTAAGAATTTTGTGCGGTTGATTATTTTCCATTGTGTTGATTTGCATTTATATTGTGGCTTTTTTTAGAATTAGGGTAAAATACAGGGATGCCTAATGCAATAAACCCGGTTCAAATTTTCCGAAACGGTTTGGTCCTTCCTAGGAAGTTATGGTTATGAATTTGTATACTGCGCTCAATTTGAATAGTCGAGCACAACCTTTTAATTGGTCGTATTGTAGATAATCGGTTACGACTAGAATTTGCAATTTCAGCTTTCTGCGAATCGAAGGTTTCCAAAACCTCTGTATATATATGTTTAACATGGATTGATTTTTATTTGTATGTTATATACGGTAAAATTTGAACCGTTTTGTCTGATTTGCTAACGTAGAAGCAAATATTTACCGAATAAAAGGGCGAACAAACCACATGGAGTTAAATTAGTTAAAAGTTTTGCCAGAATGAACATAATAATTCCTTGTGCTTACGTTTAATGCCAAAGAAGTGACCATAATTGCTTGCGCATTTTCTATTCATTGAATCAAGATATATCAATATTTTGTATGTATATATGTATGAATGTATCTACGTATTAGAGGATTACGGGTTTATTATACGTTATATGTGTGGACTTCATCGGGTTATTTATCCCAATATAAACGTGTATAGATATATACATATTCTGCACATATTCACGTGTGTATGTGTGTAAAATGTAAATCGAATGTGAATAATTAACCGTTATATTTCACCAGATATAGCATCTGCAAGATCGATAATTATGCGTGATAGCTTATATAGTAAAAAAACGAGGATTACTTAATAAACTCAATTTACGCACATGAAGCATACAAAGATACATCAAATATTGGTCTATTTAGGTAATTGAGTTATGATTCGGCATTTCGAGCTCATATTCGTTGATCATGTATTACAATAATATAAAAAAAATTATGTAAACCCCCCCAAGCCACGTGCATCGTGTGCTATATAAAGAGATGACAGAATCATACATTTGGAGGAAACAAAAAAACAGTGGAGCTAATTCAGCAGATCAAAACAGCCAGCAAAAAAAATAATAGATGAAAAAGAAAATATATATAGTGTTCGACTAAAGAGAATGGTTGGCAAAGGGCAATATTGTCTTTTTGCAAACCGTAAACAATTTCTCCCTCATTTTTTAGTGTTGACACTTTTTATGTTTTCCAGTCTTGGAATTTCTACATCGTTCGACTATGGAGAAGCACTCTCGAAGAGCCTCCTCTACTTCGAGGGCCAGCGCTCGGGACGCCTACCTTACAACCAGAGAGCCACCTGGCGCCACCACTCCGGCCTCACCGACGGCCTCGAACAAGGGGTCCGTTACATGTATAATAATACAAATATGCATTTCTAGTTGTTTTGATTATATTTACACCTCTTTTTTTTTTAAGTCATTTTGATAGAGAAAAAAAAATTCATTCTTTTTTATTGAGTTTATTGCATTCGATACCCTTTTGATATATCGAACTGCTCAAAAACAAAAATAAAAATTAAAAAAAAAATTCTTGTGTTTTTAATATTAGCAAACTACCTTTAAATGAAATGTAGAAAAAAATATTTTCAAAAATTAGAGTAGACGTATGAATGTCGATATTGAGGCCTCGATCATGATTGATACAATATATAGGAACCAATGTACTAACAATTCTACGAAAAAAACGTATCCTTTTTTTCTAATATTGTGATTCGGAACATAAATCAATTAAAAATTTACCGAAAGAAATTTGTGACATTATTGAAAATGTGTTATTGTTGGGAATAGGTGGATTTAGTCGGGGGCTACTACGATGCCGGTGATAATATAAAGTTCGGTTTGCCAATGGCGTATACGATAACACTTCTTTCTTGGAGTGTGACCGAATTTCACGATCAAATCGCCGCTGCCGGCGAACTCCGACATGCCCTTGACGCCATCAAATGGGGAACTGATTATTTCATCAAAGCTCACACTCATCCCCATGTTCTATGGGCTCAGGTTCTCTCTCTCTCTCTCTCTCTCTCTCTCTCTCTCTCTCTCTCTCTCTCTCTCTCTCTCTCTCTCTCTCTCTCTCTCTCTCTCTCTCTCTCTCTCTCTCTCTCTCTCTCTCTCTCTCTCTCAATTATATAAGGCAATGTATAATAGAATCTCAGTAAATTAATACTCGATAAACTAATAACTTCATTGGATAATAATTTATTCCAGTATTGTTTCGGTAAAAATGTAATATATTATTAGTTTGACAATTTATTTTTTTCACTAAATTAATAGAATTTTGTGAGTCCTGTATTAATTTATAGAGATTTAACTGTATATAAAAGGTGGGTGATGGTGAAACCGACCACCAGTGCTGGCAGAGGCCCGAGGACATGACCACGTCTCGCCGGGCTTATAAGGTGGACGAGGAGAATCCGGGCTCGGAAGTAGCGGCGGAGACGGCGGCTGCTATGGCGGCGGCCTCTATTGTGTTTAGGAGAATAAACCCACGTTACTCTCGCCTTCTATTGGTCCATGCGAAACAGGCAAGTCGGTTTCGTCAATAAAATAAATATGTCTTGATTATAAGAAAAAATAAAAAAAATATATACTCATTTTCCATTGTAGTGTTCACAATCTTGATCTATTACTAATCTAATTATTAATTCGGCAAATTACGGCCACCCTTGGTCAAATTATAAAAACTCTATTCTGTTTGGGTATTTATAACTACTCCCTCAACTATGTATTATTGTACGAAAAGACCCTTTCAGAGGTAAATTTAGGGATGTTAATTCGGTAAAACAGAGGCGAAATTTCGGTACGCCAACATTTCATACCGTTGACGAAGTAAATATACGATTTGGTTCGATAAATAACTTAATTACATAAATGGTTCGATAAATAACTTAATTACATAAATTTTATGTTAAAATATTTAAAAGGAGGGGGTGACTGTAATTACCCAAACAAAAAAGTTTTTTTTTGTAATTTGGTCATACCTCAGGAGTGGTCGTAATTTGCCCCTACTTAATATTGTGTTTTATTTTCCTTTTCAAATAAATATTAAAGTGAAGATTGAGTAGTTGTAAATTGCAGTTATTTGAGTTTGGTGACAAGTATAGAGGGAGATATGATGCGAGCATTGATGTAGCAAAGGGGTATTATCCGTCTGTGAGCGGGTACATGGATGAGTTACTGTGGGCCGCTCTCTGGCTATATAAATCAACGGCCAATATTAGCTACTTCGATTATGCCATTCAAAATGGGGAATCTTTTGGTGGGACCACTTGGGCCATTACAGAATTCAGCTGGGATGTTAAGTACGCCGGTGTACAGACAATTGCAGCCATGGTATATTCATTCTTGCCTTTTTTACCCCTCTTTCCACTCCTATGGTAAAATTTACCCATTTTCTTTTCTTATCGTTTCATATTTTACTCACATTCACATGTCTCTGATCGAATTCGGGTTGATATATTTTCACCATATATAAAAATCTACAATTATTGTTGTTGGATGATTAATGTGATCTGGAAGGACCTCTATTTTGTCCGATTCAACAAATATTTTGGTAAAAAGAGTTTTATATAATCTAGTAAATCTAAGAAAATGGTTATTGAGTTTCAAAGACATGTGTCTCAATTGGTTTCATACCGAAACAAGCGAAACTATAAATGAGGAAAATATCGAATATTTATGTATTATTGGTCTTGACAAGTAAATCACTTATTGACTTATTATCATAGAAATATTTTCATTTTTTGTTTTTTTCTTTTAGGGACATAAACTTAAATTTTTCGCATCGAGCTATATGGCACTTATCATTTAATTAATCCCAATTACGAACTAATGAACAAGTCCTTGTTACTAATCTCGCAGCTGCCAACTGAAGGAAGAAGCAAAGAACAGAAAGAAACCCTCCAGAAATACCGCTCAAAAGCAGAGTACTTCATATGCGCTTGCTTAAACAAAAACAATTCCACTAACGTGGAACGCACCCCTGGTGGGCTCCTCTACACCCGTCATTGGAACAACATGCAGTACATCTCCAACGCATTGTTGCCTCTCGCGGTCTACTCCAACCACCTCCACTCCACCAATCGGACACTCCACTGCGATTCCGGCCAAGTGGGCCCAGACGAGATCCTCACCTTCGTGAAATCACAAGTGGACTATATTTTGGGGTCCAATCCTATGGGAGTGAGCTACATGGTAGGCTATGGACCCACCTATCCGGTGAAGGTGCACCATAGGGGAGCATCCACCGTGTCGTATAGAGAATCAAAGGTTTTTATTGGGTGCATGCAAGGGTACTATAGTTGGTTCGGACGAAGGGGTTCAAACCCGAATGTTCTTGTCGGAGCTTTAGTTGGTGGGCCCGATAAAGATGATGGGTTTAGTGATAGGAGAGATAACTATGCCCAAACCGAGGCTTGCACGTACAATACTGCGCCTTTGGTTGGGATTTTTGCCAAGTTTCACGCATTAGAAAAGGTTTATTCAAATTCCACGGTTTCAAACAAATAGAGACAAATGGCGACGAATTATAAATAAAAAAGCAAAACTACAGAGCACATGCTTTGGATACCATAGCAATTTTGTGTTACGAACTTATCTTGGATCGTAGACGAATGGTGAAATCCAGGGTAGATTTTACTGTTCATCTCATATGGATGTTTGTTTTTGTGTATGAATGAGTAGTGAAAATGTACCCGATGTAACATTTAGTAATCGCAACGAATATCACGACAAGATTTTATAAGCTCAGCCAAACACACTCTCCTAATCGGTATCTAATACTTCTACCGGTTAACAAGTCATCACAAAGAAATTATGCAAAAGGTTACAGCAAATCGGATGCAAAATAAGAGCGCAGAAGACACTATAGACATAAAAATAGTATTGAAATAAGCAAATCAAATAGTTGAAAGCACATCCCTCCAATTCCGAGAAAATATATTTATCTTCAGTTTTAAGATAAGCCCCCTACCATCGTACAAAATTAAGTTCTATAATAATAGCAGCTTCTAGAAGATGAAACACGACGACTTTTGGCATATCCATCCAGTTCAGAATTTAAAGTCTTTCTTTTTGGGTGCCACCTGCACTTGTTGAAGGAGATGGTTTATTTTGCAGACGACCTATATATAGGGTTATAGCAAACGAAAAAAGTTTGATAAGAAGATACGGTATCAATTTTAATCTCAATAACAACTTGGTGCAAATATTATTGTAGGAAATTAAATGAACTTCAATTGTATAATTCATAAAATGATTAACTATATAACATATCTCCAAATTTATACGAAAGCATATAATTCAGGGACTAAACTGCAACTTTATAACTCTATTTTGACTATCTATCTTAAAATGGTATTTAACCAAACTGCTTTTCAAGCAGAAGATGCTGGAAAGTGATTTGAAGAACTAATGTGAGATTAAATTAAACTTTTGTGATGGCAAGGTCAAATTCAATATACAAACGGGAGTAATACTCAACCTAAATCTCTATCAAGATACACAAAAGAAAAAAAAGAAAAAAAATCTGTTTATGGTCAACTTCACCGATCAAACATAATGCAGACTACGTATGAATATCTTCGATCCAATAATCCACAAAACAAACAAAAGAAGTAAAATAATCTGAAATATCTTTTCCTTATTATTGATAAGAACAATTTGGTAGTGAGTAAACAATAAGGGGGGTGATGGATTCACAAACACGGTACTCACGAGAACAATGCACCACGTTCTTGAAAAATAAAAATAAAAATAAACGAGAATACAAACAATTAAACTTGATGCCACTAGAATTTGCGCAAAAGATTCAGAAAATGCATAATCAAATTGAATTCGTAACTATAACTCGAATTCATCTAGAGAGACCGCGGAAAAAAGAGAGCTAACCGTTGATTTACTACAGCAAATTACGTAGAGGAATCGGCAATTGGGGCCGGAAGGTGATTCACAACCAACGGTGGGCGAAGAGCTCGGTGATTAGCATCCTTCTGCTTCCGAGCATTGTACATTTCCTCCGTCTCAACCACAACCAACCTTTTCACCTAAATTCACACACACACACACACACACACACACGCACACACACACAAAATAGAAAAATCAATCAGTTCAATTTTGCGAGCATGACTGAAAACAAATTTTCAACCGTTCATCAAATTTGAGAAAATCAACAAAAAAAAAAGTAATTGGAGAAACCTGCTGGATCATTCCGCGGACGGTGGGAGTGTCCAGCGCATGACGGTGCGGTTGCACTTGGTGAGGCGGAGGGCCTCCAACGTGCGGCGGTGGAGCTGCCTGGTGCCGGGAATTCCCCTCACCAGAGTTATGTATAGATTAGGGCTCCACGCTACCGGAACATTTGCTTTGAACGCGTTGAAAGCACTCATTTTTTCTGTGTGTGTGTGTGTGTGTGTGTGTGTTTTCCGAGCTAACTGTAGAATAATAATAAATCTGGTAATGGTTGATGAATTTAGAGAGAGAGAGAAGAGAGAGAAAGCAAACTCAGCAGAGAACAGTGAGAAAGTCTAGGGTTCCACAGTCCGTAGATAGTTCGCAACGACGTCGTATGGCTTCGTGGGCTGCAATTTGGTTATCCTGTCGGGCCGAAGCCCGTATCGAATGGGCCATATATATTAACTATTATTTGTCCATTACTACGAGGGGCGGATGGATCGGATCGGAATAAGCCAATTCGGAAAAAAATCCGATTTTTTTTGGAAGAAAAAATCGGAATCGAAATTCCGAAAATTCGAATGAAAACTTTTGTTCGGAAATTTTTGGATGGAAATAAGCGGAATTCAAGAATTTCTATTTTTTGGTCACCTAAAATATAAAATACACAATAATATCAGGATTTTAAGTGTTATATTTGGAAAAAAATCGGGGATTTTTCGGAACTTAAAATCAGATCGTAAATCGGAATCTCATATATATTCCAATTCCAATCCAAATAATTTCAGAAAAATCAGAACTTGGAATTCAAATTGAAAAATATTGTTCTAAAATTAGAAAATTTCGAATCGGAATCGGCGGAAATCAGAGATTCATTTTTAATTTTCACCCCTACTTACTAGCAAATAATTTAATCATTTTGCACATAAATGATAAACGATGAGCTTTTGTCATATTACCAAATGAAATATTGACTTCCTTAGAAATATATCAAGGCCTAGAAGATTAAAAAAAATATATAATAAATAAATAATTAAAAAAAAATTAATTCATCACTCAGAAAAAGTATCTAAAGCAAAGTAGAGCAAAAATTGGCAGAATTTGTTTCCAACTGCCACAAAAAACAAAATCATGGCAGAATTGTTCTCTGCATAATTAAGAAAAATATAGCAACAATTTCCACAATTCAAGTCTCAAAAGGACCAAAAAATCGACTCAAAAACTCGGTCGATAAAAAATGAATCTTCGACCAACCAAAAAACGGAGCACTCTGCCTCACCACCCAAGAAGCAATAGCTTCAAAAGAGCCATTCGAATATACAGCCCATTCTTCGCTTGTCTAAAATACGCAGCCCTTGGATCGTCATCCACATCAACCGTTATCTAAAATCCGTCCAAAAAATAGATAATAAATAAATAATAGAAAGTTCGAATTTTAAAAAAAAAAAAAAGACGCCAAACAACACCTACCTCGTCAAGCCTCGGCAACGGGTGCATCACAACTGCATGTTTCTGCATCGCATTCAACACGTCCTTATCAACAATGTATTTCCCTCGAGCCTCCTCGTATAAATCGATCCTCTCTCCAAATCTCTCCCGTTGAATACGCGTTTGGTACACCACATCGCATTTAGAAGCCACCTCAATTAAATCGGCGCTCTCTTCCCATTCTACCCCTTTAGATGTCAGATAATCTTTTATGTCGTCCTGCAAAAATTTAGAATTCGTTACCTCGTACTAATATTTAATTTCATATTGAAAAAAAAAAAAAAGAATGCTGACAAAATCGTTAGTACTCTCACCTTCATTTTCACTACTTCGGGTGAAACAAAGTAGATTTTAACATCCTTGTACATCGCCAACAAATAGGCGAGTGAGCGGACTGTTCTTCCGTAAGCAAGGTCTCCAACGAGGCCAACTTTGATGCCGTCGAGTTTTCCGATCTCTCTTTGGATAGTGTACACATCCAAGAGGGCCTATTCAATTCCGAATAAAAAATGTAAAAAAAGAAAAAATATTAAGTTGAAAACGACACAATATACAGTAGAACCTCGATAAAACTAATACTCGATAAATTAATAACCTCGCTTAAATAATAGTTTCTCTCGGACCCGACTCCGTGAAATCGTGTTAAATTATTAACTCGATAATTTAATAATTCGCTAAATTAATAGAATTTCCCTAGTCACGACTGTATTAATTTATAGAGGTTCAACTGTACAAGATTTCTCGTACGAGAAGATCAAGAAATTCTAATCCCTTAGTAAAGGCATTGTAACAAGTAAGAAATTCATAATTAAAAGCCGAAAATAAATCCAGGCTCGTGAACTAAATTATCAACGGAAAAAAACTGCAGACCTGAGTTGGATGTTGACCAGGTCCATCTCCAGCATTAATAATCGGGATATTAGCCGTCGTTGCAGCCCTTTTTGCAGCACCACTTTCGAAATGCCTCATCACTATTATATCGGTGTACCCTTCAACCGTTCTTATAGTATCTAAACACAATTATAAATCAAGAATTAGGAAAAAGCTCATCATATAAAACTAAAAAAAAAAGTTTAATTTTGTTTTTTCTTTAACCAGTGAATACCTTCAAGCGTCTCGCCTTTTGCAGCTGACGAGAACTCGCGTGCATTTTCCGTAGTCAAAACTTCACCGCCCAATCGTTTCATAGCCGACTCAAAAGAAAGCCTAGTTCTAGTAGATGGCTCGTAAAATAGCGTCGCCATAAGATACCCTTTAAGAATCTGGCTTCCACCGGTGGTCTTCACAATCTTCTCCATCTCGAGTGCCACGTCGAATATTGCACCGAGGGTATTTCTGTCAAATTGCTGAGCCTCGATGATGTCTTCGAGCTGAAACTTGCTCCCCTTTGAAATTGAAGCCTTGGTCTCCATCTCGAAATCGAGCGCCCCACTCTTGAGGGCCCACTTGCCTCTTTTCGAATTGATTGCTTTCTCGTTTGGGCATAGCCAAGAGTGCGATGTGTCGGCAGATGCAGAGATGGAAACGGAATTGAGCGTTTGGTTTAAATTACTGTTTCGATAATTGCAGATAAATTCGGCATTGCACTTTGTTGATGCCTTGGGAGAAAGTATAGTGCCACTCAATGTCCAAGCGGAATATGTCGAAGAAGATGCCATTACGAACAACAAAACAACCTAATCAAATATTAAAAACTCGATTCAGAATGTCGAAGAAAAACGCGTTTCGATTGAATAAAATAGGGAAAAATAATACAAAAACTATACACGATAAAAAGTTAAAATCCCTATGAACAAACCCTTTTGAAATCAAATCTTCCAATTTACAGTATACATACACATATAGATATATCTTCACACAAAAATCATAGCCATAAAGATCCAATCTTTTGTTCTAATTATTGAATAAAAATAATTATTGTTCCTCAATTTACCAAAAATCATGCGATTTTTTATTTATTTTTCCAGAATTTACGCATAATAATCTAAATTCAAGAGACCTAAATAATGGATAAGATAAGAGAAGCCAAGCGAAAAATGAATTGCAGAAAAATCAAAATACATACACAGATACATACATATATATACACAAATGTTAAATTGAGTAAGAAATAAACCACAGAGGAAGAAGCTTACCGAAAAATCTGAGAGTTTTGTTCGATGATTTGTGAGTTAATGCGTATCGATATTAATTATTCGATACAGAAATCACTGAAATTTTGATAAAATAAAAATAAAATAAAATAAATTTGAATTGAGAGTGGAGACGAAAAAGCCACAAATACCTCTGGATATGTAGAGTGGCGTAGCAGAAATAGGTTTTGGCGGAAACCCAAATATCTTTACTTTTTATTTATTTATTTATTAATGGATAAATTGCATTTCACCCCCTACAAAAATGTTTTGTTTGCACTTTCCCTCCTAAAAATTACAAAAAAACGAGACTGTTCACCTTCGAAAATCGAAATATACAACTCGGTGCACTTTGCCCTGAATGTGTATTTTCGGTTTAATTCTTGTCGGATTTGAGTGAATTGGAAGTTAATTTCATATTTGAAGTCTTTAAATGTCATTTAACCTTTTTTCCACCCTACATTACATTGATTACGAAGTACAAAGAACAAATTTTGTCGAATCTGGAAGAAAATTTTGTTTGATTTGGAAGCGAAATTCATCAATTTGGCAAGAGAATTTTGTTAATTTGGGAACCCTAAGTAACTCTGAAAGGATGATTCTCAAGTGGAAGATGTAAAATGACATATACACCCTTCGTTCGGTGAGAATTAAACCGAAAATACATATTCGGGGCGAAGTGCAATCGAATGGGGACATTCTCATTTTTATATTTTGAGGGAGAAAAGTGCAAAAAATACGCTTTTAAGGGGTGAAGTGCAATATGCCCTTTATTATATCTGGAGATAGTATTTTCTGGAGCGCAAATAGCAAATTTTAGTTTTTTCCCCTAAAAAGCACACCACCAATAGCAGGGGATTTTAGTATAGACCTGCTTAAACCCTAGTGATTGATTTCCCCAGACAGTGATCTCCCCGCCAAGAGAAACCCAACTGAAGAAAGGTAATTCTTACTATTCATTTTACCTCGAAATACATTTACTTTGATCTTCGCAATCAATGCTGAATATTCTCCATCTCCAATTTGCGTAATTTGGGCAAATCTTGCATTTCAATTACCTTCAATCTGTTTGATATTTTGCCCCAATGAATTAATACTGAAGTTGTTTTTTTTTTACAATTTTAAATAGATCACCCATTTCATTTGCCTCCAATCTGTTTGATAATTTGCCCCAAAGAAGTAATCAAGTTGCTTTTTTTTTTTTCTTACAATTTTGAGTAGATGTCCCATTTCATTTGCCTCCAATCTGTTTGATATTTTGCCCCAATGAATTAGTAGTGAAGTTGTTTTTTTTACAATTTTGAATAGATCACCCATTTCATTTGCCTCCAATCTGTTTGACAATTTGCCCCAATGAAGTAATCAAGTTGCTTTTTTATCACAATTTTGAGTAGATGTCCCATTTCATTTGCCTCCAATCTGTTTGATAATTTGCCCCAAAGAAGTAATCAAGTTGCTTTTTTTCACAATTTTGAGTAGATGTCCCATTTCATTTGCCTCCAATCTGTTTGATATTTTGCCGCAATGAAGAATTAGTAGTGAAGTTGCTTTTTTTACAATTTTGAATAAATGTCCCATTTCATTTGCCTCCAATCTGTTTGATAATTTGCCCCAAAGAATTACTAATCAAGTTGCTTTTTTTTTTTGTTTTTTTTATTCAATTTTGAATTTGTTTAGGGAAAGATGAAGAAAGGGATTCACCCGCAGATGCAATGGATATCATACGTGACGCAAAGCGGTCGTCTGATGAATGTGACGATGACCAAGATTCACCAGGTCGGTAAAGTTTACCACTTTCGAGCGAAGCGGCAGATGGCACAAAGCATCGGACAGATTGCCAAGTTTAAGCGTCGGTATGGTGAGAAGAAGGAAGATGAGCCTGAAAATAAATGAATTCATTGAGGTGCTACTGCTTTGTTCTCGTACCTTTTTTTTTTCTTCCCGTGTTTCTCTCTATTGGAGTTTGACACATTGCTATTTGTGCTCGTTGTTTTTAATTTCCATGTGGTACTTGATCTCATCTATCCTTTTTTCTTGGAATCCAGTGAGTTTAATCGCTGTTATGCTGTGTTTTTTGTTAGCTTGAAATTGGTAAGATATTTTGAACTTTTTAGCTATTATGATTACTTAATAGCTTAAGACAATGGCCTCACTGTTGAAAATCGAATTGGCAATCTTAATAGTTCAAGAAATTCTTACTTAGAAGTTATAATATTTCATCTCCTTAGTTTCTGAAACACTTCAATGCAGATAGAAGTGTTCGTCCTTCATCGTTTCTTGTAGTAACTTCATTAGTCGTCGTTGCTGTTTCTTTATGCCTTCATGCGCTGGTAAAAATTGTACGTTCTTGCTCAAGAATCTGCCATCAACCCTTTACTCGTCGATGCTTTTTTTTTTCCTGGTAGCAATTTTTTAATTCAAAGAAAGAAGTGCTTTTTGACTCTTGGGACTCGTTTGGGAATGTTGATATGATTGATTGAATTGGTTAAATGATTATATTATCCATGAAATGTAATATGCAATTCCGTAAAAATGTGGATATGCGATTCCCTAAAAATTATACTCGAGTATCTTTTAACATTTTGTATGTTGCAGCTTTGTTCCGTAAAAATAAGAGTCAATTCCTCATGGTCATGGTTATAATTTCCCGTTTCTCAAAAACTTAGTATTTTATTTAGAAATTTATTATTTTTCGTGTAGGGTAGAAATATCGGACCCCTAGAAATATATTTTTGGCCCCGGTAAGATCGTGGTTCCGCCACTGATTTCTCGGTTAATATGTAGACCCCGAAACCAGTGATCAGTTTTGGGTCGATGCATCAAGTAATTGTGGTTCCCCAATAATACATATAATATGTCTGTCCACGGTTCAAGAACCGGGTTCCCGGGTCGAAATCATTGGGTTAACGGGTAAGGTCACCCACCCGGTTCACATTTAGATTGATTAGATAAGTATGAAAGGAAGCTGCTTTTTTGGTATAGCTACATGTTAGAGAACCCTCACCACAAAACATGAACTTGGGACCATAAATTTTGGCGTTGCTCTCTCCACTTGAACCTTTATTTATTTGCCCCCATTTATATATATGTATGGCCTTGAAAAAGACTACACAATTAGCTTATCTCATTGCTCACGTCATATATCCCTCCACAAAAAAAAATTAAATACTTCTCTTGGTCATTTTAAAAAGGATATATATATATATATATATATATATATATATATATATATATATATATATATATATATATATATATATATAATAATAATAATAATAATAGCCAAGTATTTTTCTAAATTCTTTGATGTAGTAATCTTGTTTGGTTGTGATGCTTCACGTGACAAGTTTGGTTGGATTGCCAATTTTATCTACATTATCCACAACTTGAAATTATGGTCAAGGTCAAATTAAATGGGTGAACTAGGCCATGTAATATTATTATAATATAAATCCACGCATATTTTATATATATATATATATATATATATATATATATATATATATATATATATATATATATATGATCGATTATGAAGGTATAAACTAATATTACTTTCCAGTTTGAAGTCAAGATTTGTATAGAACAGCCACTAAAATCAATTGAGAACGTGATTTAAGTAGTTGCTATGTAATGAAGTATATATAAAACCATTCAAATTAAAAACAATTCAATTCACAAGTAAAGCAACATAATTAACACATGGTGTTCTACACTTAACCCACAAAAGCACAAGCCACTTGGGTTAATCAACCAAACCAAAATATTAAAAAAAAAAAAAAAACAGAAAGCTTAAGACACATAATCTAACAAACAGCGCAAAACGCAGTTTTGCATTATTTAGCTGCACAGAGGAAACACCACCTGAGAGCTATTTTATTATTCTACAACACATGCACCGTAGCAGGATGCAAGCATTTTAAGCGCATCCGCGTCGTCATGAGATTCAGCTGCATCGTCCGATTCCTCCACAGTGATGGGGGGCAGAACCCCCTCCTCGACATTGCAGCAAATGGCTTCAAATATAAGCTCCTTCACTTCCTCGAGCCTCTCCTCAGACAGTGAAACCTCAGCCAATAGCCTCCAAGCGTTTTCCTCGGACGCCTCTTCGTAGTCCTCCTTTCTTTTCAATACCATATGCCCGCTAATCTCCCAAACCGCTGGATTAACTTGAGTGTCTAAAAGCTCGGAACTCACTTCCCCGAGTGCCTGTTTCTCCGCATAGCACTGTATATAAAAACCAACACACAATCAGAAAATCGAACCAAATCATATGTAAACATCAAAGATAGTGAGAATGTAATAAAACCTGTGGGAAGAGGAAAACTCGTTTTCCACAATCAGCAATGAGCACGTTGTAGGGGATGTTGTTCTCTTGGAGGCAAATGCACGAGTTCGAGACAATGTTTGACAAGTCCTCGAGCGTGTTTCCGCCCTCGAAAACAAGGCCTCTGACAGGATAGTTAAGGATGTCGGAGATTTTTACTCCACCGCTTGTAGTGGTTATCCTCTTCGAAGGGGCCCTTTCGATAGGGAAGGGTGTGGCTAAGTAGTAAGCCTGGAAGTGAAGGTGGTTGATAGTTGCAAATGCTCCCAAGCTATTGTAACCCAAACGGAAGTAGGGGTTCGCTGTTTCTACAGCCATGTGGAGCGCGAGCAAGAAGCTCTCGCCGTCAATCCTCTGGGGCAATTGTTCGAGAATTCGAGGGATGAGTAACACATGCCCATATTCAATCGGACTAACCTGTTAAAATCATACACAAGAACATTATCAAATTGATGCTTACATAGCTTAAAGAATATATGAAATCCAAAAAGTCGAAGAGGGGTGTGGAAGTTGTGAACGTACATTAATGGCGACAACGCTGGGCGAGTTATCACTATCAATGGGGGCGTTTGGGAAGTAGTGGACTTCATTATCGTCACTAGCCTCAAATTGGAAGAGGACTTCCTCTTGTCCGACTTTAGTGAAGTTGAACTTGGTCTCGTCAAATGGCTGCAGGACTTTGTCCACACGAAACTCCGTCGGCCTCTTCTTGAGATGCCTGCCCTCATTCAGCTGTGCAATGAATCCATAGTTCCCAGCAATCACCTATACAAATCATCATCATCGACAAATAATTAGACAATTATTAAACAAAAAAAAATCTAAATTAGATTCAGGCAACGAGGAGAAGAAAACGGACCTTGGTATCACAAGCAGTGACATCATAGCGGAAAAGTCCTCGCTGCATGCGATCCTCCCACTAAAACCAAGAACAAATCAATTTCAGATAATAATCATCGCGAAATTCCGGTTTAAGTAGATAAATTAATTAGCAAATAATCTTACCCCAGCAACAAGAAGGGAATCCAGGAAATCCACTGGGGGCTCTGTGTTCTCAGAGACCTTTTCACAAACACCATCCTTCGCCTTCTTAAAAGCATACAAAGGCAGTTTGGCCCCTGAGCAAATCAAAATTACCAAGTTAATTCCCCAATGATAAAATTGAGAAGAAAAAATCATAGAATTAAATTATAATTACCAGGAAGGCAGCAGCTTCTGAAGCAATTGCGGCCGCAGCCGGTTACAGGGCGGACACCTTCCTCCGCCTCATCCTTCTGGTAGTTGGAAACAACAGTAGGAACCCTCTTAATCTTCAGCATCATCTTCGGATATCTCTTCTCTTTACAATTATTATAAAAATAAAAAAACTAACTTTTTTTTTCTCGATCGAATAAATACTAGGCGAATATATTTACAGAGCTAGGAACTAAGAACAAAAGAAAAAAAGCGACCACCGCCGGCGAGGAAGAGGAGATCGGAGGGGCTACCGCCTTCAGAAGGCAATGCTCCACGTCCACCGTGCGGCGAAGGATTGCTCTCAGTTACACCGTCGTTACGCCGTCGTATTGTACGGACATGTGTCGGGGATCGATTGACTCTTAATAAAGCCGTGATGTCGACAACTCTTCTTCCTGGGTTTTTAACCCCCAATCGATGGAACTGGGAAGAAGATTGATGAGAAACGCCGTGATTAATTTAGGGATTAGGGTTTTTTTTTTTTGTGGAATTGAAATTGGGGATGAATTGAATTACACAGTTTGGGGGAAAAAAGGGGGTTTTATATAGTGTGGGGAAAGGAGGAGAGAATGTGGCTGTGGTTTGTGGCTTGAGTGTGAGCGGCTCTGATTTTGTGTACTTTTGGTGTGGGGCCTACCTTTATTGTATTTCTTCTACTCTTTTTGTTTTTTTTTGTGCATCGACATAAATAATTACTTGGTTTATCTTTATTTGTGAACTTGTATTATATATATATATATATATATATGTGTGTGTGTGTGTGTGTGTGTGTGTGTGTGTGTGTGTGTGTGTGTGTAAATTAATATATTTTGGTGCATTTTAAATTTAAAATTTTTAATTAATATTTTTTAATATTATTTGTAATATTATTGCTCATATTTTGTATTATATAATAATAATAATAAATAAACAAAATTCACGAGTTAACTCTTGACCTATTACAAAGTGAGCACATTTTTATCCTTAATATCATATTTTTTTGTGCATATTTTATTATTAAATAGTTTTAAAGGGCAAATAACAACCAACTCCCTGAGGTATGGTCAAATTACAAAACTCCCCCTCTTGTTTGGGTAATTACAACCACCCATTCAACTATAAAATTTAGTAGAATCTTCTAGATTATATGAAATATTATCACTTTTGTACCCGTTTTATCCTATTCGAACTCCACATTTCGAAGCAAGATGATCATAATATGTGTTTTTTGGCTTGTATATATCAGATTGTGACGCATCAGAAACTGTATTTTTAAACAAAACGAGTACAAACTAGAGTACATTCCACGAAATCTAGATGATTATGTTGAATTTGACACCATAAGGGTGGAGGTGTAAGAAAAAAATCATAGTTGAGAGGGTGGATGTAATTATCCAAACAAGAGGGGTTTTTTCGTAAATTGACCATACCTCAGGGGGGTGATTGTAATTTACCCATAGTTTAAAATTAGAAAGAAATTTCGTCGAGCGTGTGGGAATAACTTAACATGGGTGGAGCCACGACCACGTCGCGCGTGTAGAAGTCATTCACTATTGGAAAATTTGAGCCATAAAATTAAAAACTCCAATTGACAGTGACTTTTGGGTCAACTATTGCCATGCACTTTTGATTAATTAAATGGCCTTTTTTTATGGAATTCAAATCCAAATACATACAAATCAATTGATATCGACAATGGCACGTGACACTCACGTGCTATGCAATTGCAAGTTGCAACCAACAAAATTCTTCATAATTATGGATTTATTTTTTTTCTATTTAATTCTATTATCTTCAATATTGTAAAGTGTAAACCACACACTCGAATACTCCGATGAATGTATACCGAATATAATGCGCAAGTTCATATAGTGGAATTTATAAGCTCACACGTAACAAATTTAACAATTAATTATATGTTCAAATTAGAGGTGTAAATGAACTGAGCTTTTTGACAAGTCGGCTTGCGAGTTCTTTTTAATAAAACTCAAATAATATTAATAAAAAAAAGACACAACAGCTCATGCTCGAACTCGAGCTCGAGCCCAAAAACAAATAATCGAAGAAATAAAATTTAGGAGAATTGGATGCAAATTGTCATATAACGTCCGAAAATACATCGGGCCAAATTTTCGGTCAAAACTATTTTAGCCCAATTACTTATTCAGAATCGGCCCGCTTTAAATATAATATGGGCCCTTTTCATGGTTTCAAATGGCCCTTTACCCTTATTGGCGAAAAAATATTATGTACATGTAAAAAAAGAAAAAAAAAAAAAGGGTAAACCCAAAAAAGAAAAAAGAGAAAAGAAATACTAGTGATGGTGCAATATTTGCACTCTCAAAATCTTATTCTAAATCCAACTCGTTCGTTCGTTGGGGAGTTCGTCCGGCTGCGATATTTAGCCGGCGAAGACAAACTAATCGATCTAAAAAAGATAAAAAACAAGAGAAAAATTAAACAATGAGTGTATAATTGATGTTCAGTCCTTGTCCCTGTGCAGAGCTTGATACATTTATTTATATAAATAATTTCTACTTAGACATTTTCTAATTTAGAATCTCTTACTTGGTTACATTCATTGCTCAATTATAGACCATAATTTACATATTTTTCTTATATATTTAGGGTGGATATCTTCAAATGTTCTTCCTCCAACTATTCTCCTTCAGCTCGCTACATACCCCTTTTATCGTGTCCTGCGTTCTCTAACGAGTTGGCGAGCTTGTTGCTCGCATATCCTAGTAGCATTGTTTAGCAAGCTTGGTACTAACGAGTATTCTTTCAGCAAACTTCTAAAATAGGTCATGTATTTGATGCGCATAGAGCCCGTGGGTCCAATAAATCCTCTTTCAGCTCATATATTTTATTATTATACTATTTAATAATTTCAATATGGAGAATTCGATCCAACCTTACCAAACTGACCCCATCAATTATACATTTTAGTTTGAAGAAATTTATGATATATGTTTACGGATTATAAAATGTTAGACCTTAATTTAATAATATTTGGATAAATAAATAAATAAACTCGTGCAACTTTTAAAACACGTTGTTAGCATAATTAAGTAAAAGAAATTGTTTTATTTATATTTAAAACATTACTAAAAGTAACCGTTGACTGGTCAATTTGCTCAACCGCCGATAGATAATGTAGTAATTATTACTCCACGTCAAGCAAGTAGCACTAATCCAACTGGCTGCCCGCGTTCGCGTGTGACTCACCTTCCCCCAAATTCTTCCACCAATCAAAATTTCTGATTCCCGATCGACCGCCGCCGCCGCCGCCGCTGCCGCTGCCGCTGCCGTCGCCGTCTGAGAAAAAATCACGCCGTGCCTAATCGTTTCCGTTTTCCTCATTTGCGGATACATAGAAATCCGATCCAGGAGCGTGGTGATGACGGACGCTGATGCTGCGGCGAGTCTCCGTTCTTCAATTGCACCGGCGAATCTGCCTCTCATCTCCGCCTTGCTCGCTTGCGCTATCGCTCAGTTCCTCAAGCCGTTCACCACTTGGTACTTTCTTTCTCTCTCGCTTGTTCTAATTTCGAAATTTTTGTTGCTGTTTTAAATTATGTGTGTATTTGTATTCTCGATTAGGTTAAATAATCCCACCCAGCTCTCTCATTGATTCAATTATCTGTGTGTTCACTTAATTTTCATATCCTCTTATTCCTTTTTTTTGTTGAAATTGCAATGATTTTTGGGGCGGACAGTTTTTAATTCCGCTTGTAGAATTTTTCTTCTTCGAAGTTGGGAATTGCTACAAAAGTTTAGATTTTGTTGAAAACATTATGAAATGTCAATACAAAGAATGTTATAATTCAGAAATTATTTATATCAATCTTACATTAGCATATAGACTATGAATTGCTTACAGATATTTTCAGAAAGAGAAATATAATAGAATGGCCACGGACAATGTTTTTCCGATTTTTTATTTTTCTCACTGATAACTTCTCTGAATCTTAAATTTCGACTTGTTTATCGTTTCTCCGGGAGCAATTGCTTGTCATAAAGTAGCATCCTTGGTAATGGTCATTATACATTGTTAAGCATAATAGAGTTATTTGTGAAGGTTATTTTTCGTTGGTAATCCACCCATTTTTCTTGGTTTTTCGTTGTCATACAGTGAAGGTTATTTTTACCTATTAGGGAAAAATCTAGTTATATTGTCACACTTTAGTATTTTTCGCAACTCACTCATATACTTTCTTAAGTTTAGTGCAAAGTGCTAAAAAATCTACGCCAATTTAATATTTTTTTTACTTTCTTAAGTCTGGTGGTTCTTGAAAAGCTACTCCAATATTGACTTTTTCGGCACCTACATTGTCTTGTAATTTATGATGGCTTTTGTTGCTTGGTCACCTGGTAATGTCAATCAGTTAATCTTTCCGACCTGTGTTGTGGACAATTGATTGCCATGTGTCAAGCTATTTCTTGCTTGATTTTTCAATATGTCCCTTTAGACATGCAGGTTGAAAGACAAAAAATGGGATTCTAGAAGAATGCTCAGTTCAGGTGGAATGCCGTCATCACATTCAGCAACTGTAACGGCTCTCGCAACTGCAATTGGCTTGCAAGAGGGAGTCGGTGCAGCATCATTTGCTATTGCAGTTGTCTTGGCTTGCGTTGTACGTACTTTCTAAACCAGGTTTTCTCCATCATTTCATGTTTCATATAGAGAAAAAAGGGAATCAGCATAAAAAAGAAAATATCGTATCTCGTTAATTTTGAGCGTATGTTATTCTAGTTTTTCAATGCTATTATGACTTGGTTAATCGGACAATCATAGTCTGGTTTGTAACTGCAGTTGCTTTCTTGGACTTGTGATTGTCACTTTCTTATAAAACTATTTTCAATTGCTGGAACTTTGTTTCTCTGATGTCTAAGTAGAAGATTTTAATGCATTACATGTACTCAACTGTATTGATCTCGACTCCTATTACGGCCCCTATTACTCATTTAATATTACTTCAAGCAGGCAATATTATTACATCTTGGGTAAAAAAAAATGTTTAATATTCTTACTAATTTGTGTCATTGCTAATAAATTTAATTTATCACAGGTAATGTACGATGCTACTGGCATCAGACTTCATGCTGGCCGACAAGCTGAGGTGAGTTATTCTGATAACGAACATTTTTTTAATTGATTCATTTTAGGTATTGTTCATTTAGATTAATTAGTTTGAGTGCTTTGATTCGTGACACTAGGGTGATGAGATATATCATATACGAGAAATACCACTTTATGATGTTGCCTTACGGCTGCATATGCCACTTCTCGTTAATATACTCACTTTTACAGTGCTGGAACATATTGAGTTTTTTTCTGCAATGTGATGTATCCATTTCAACTTTATTGCAGTTGTTAAATCAAATTGTGTGCGAATTGCCTCCTGAGCATCCCGTTGCTAATGTCAGACCTCTTCGAGATTCACTTGGTCACACCCCACTTCAGGTATGATCATTCTTGTGAATTAATTAGACAATGTGGTTTTATATTAGATTTTATTTTGAATTCTCAACTTTAAACCTCAAATACGGCAAGATAATTGAAAAGAAGAAAAACAGTATATGTAGGCCCCGTTTGGTTGCCAAGATAAGCCGAAATTAACTAAATAGTTGGACTTAATTTGATGTTTGGTATCCCCAATAAATTGCCGGGTCGACCCGCCAAAATTATATAATCATGGCTTATCTTGCCTCATCTTGCCTTCGAGTGTGTTTTTTTTGTTGGATGTTGCGAGCTCCAATAAAATAATTGGGTTTCATTAGACTATTTAATCTTATCTTGCCAACCAAACGGGGCCGTACAGTATTATAATCGCCTCAATTGTGCCGAAAACTGATGGTTTGCTCCACTTTTTTAACTCCAGGTTACTGCTGGAGCTTTATTCGGATGTGTGGTAGCATTTATCTTGAGAAGTTCTACTTGAATAATTTCTCACTTTCCGATGGATGCAGCGGAATAGCCCACACTCTTCCGAGTAAGGGAAATAGGAAAAAAAAACGAAAAAAAATTAAAAGCATGAAGAATCGTCAATGAAGGTTTGATTTTGTTTATAGCTGCTTTCGATTACAACTGATATTGTTGGGATTTTAAGTTAATTCATTTGAAATCGATTGTACTCAGTTCGAAAAACATTTTTGTTTTTTGTCCAATATTCTGTGCCTTAATTAATTTTGTTTTGGGCAATCAACATTCTAATATATCGAACCGCACAACTAATTCGTCACAGTTGGACCGATAAAAGACTAAATTGCGCCGTGCACCCCAAAATATTCCCGATTCCATAGTTTCCCCCTATCTGTAATATCTAATTGCCAAAAGAGTCCTTGTGTTAAATAATTTACCAGAATCCCTACGAAAGTTAGTCAAAGCCAATAAGTCATCCGCGAGCCTAAAGTGTGCTAAATTATTATACGAGCAATGTATATATATCTACTACACTATCAATTAATTGTTCAATAGTGAAAAGTAAAGTAAACAATCTTTTGAATCAATCCTAACTTTTCCTCTTTTTGATAGTTTTATCAATCCTAATTACTTAACCAAAATAGCCATTGACTAATTTGTCTCTCCATTTTGTTTAAAGAAGACATACTATATAATCTACATTGTAGATGCAATATAGTAGACTAGAGTAGTCAAACTCCCAATAAAAGATTCAACCAACATTATGGATAAACTAAGCTATCACACATTCAACATGGCATAGATAGATTATCACCTTTATTACAAGTTTAAACTTTGTAAAATTGCATAATTTATAGGCTTTCATTTTTGTTCTTAATTTTTTTTTAGTTATTCCAATTTTTTTTTACTAATTCAGGATCATATATCTGACATGTACCTTCCAAGACAGATCTACAATTCAAATTTTCGATTTTTGTCTTAACTAATTTTACAGCTTTCAATCTGCTTATCACAGAAGAAACTGCACAGAACTGTACGCAGAGAACTGAAATAAATTGGAGCTTTAGACCTATGATTAGAACTAACACAACACCTATGTTTTAACTTTTTTGAACTAATCTTTTTGTAGGATTAAATAATTGTAATTTACTAATAATAATCCAAATTTACCTACCATGTCGGGCTATTTGTGGGAAAAAAGTTAAGCCCATATATTATCGGGCCCATTAATAGGGCCCTATCTAATAAGCCCGAAAGGATTAGTACGAACATAAAAGCATAATTCCGTAAAATCGGTAAAGACGAATAATGCGCTTTTTGTTGACCGACCTTATCTTTTCATCCGCCAATTGAAATTCAAATATATTTCTCAAAAAAAAAACAAAAAAAAAAAAAAAGAAATTCAAATATATCTTTCCCTCTTTTAGCATGTTTACTGGTTATGTGGGTCAACTCTTAAATATCTACAAGATTTATTTTTGATTTAGGGTTTGGTATTTGGGATCGGGATTCGGGGATGTGTCCGGTTCTGATTGGTTTTTTTTTTTGTAATTTGGAACGAGAAATTGTAAATTATTTAAACACGATTGAACGATAATATAACCTAAGACGCGGTTCGAATTTGTTTCATGTCATGACGAATGACGGTTTTATCAGAAGTATACAATTGAAAAAAATGAAAAATGATCGATTTTGAAAAAAAAAGAAAAAAATCCCAGAAACAATGACTTAGTAATTGTGTCCAATCCATAGAAGAAACTCATATACACTAGAATCTTGATAAATTAATAATTTTGTTAAAATAATAGGTTTTTCTTGGTCCGGATTCAGTGACAACGTGCTAAACTATTAATTCGGTAATCTAATATTCAGCTAAATTAATACATTTTTGGTAGTATCAATTGTATTAGTTTATGGAGGCTTAACCGTATATTAATTATAATTATAATTATATTATCAACCAATACTAAGTTATGGAATAAATATTTACGCATTTAACCACCAACTTAGCACACATACACGTAGTTGTGTGTGTGATTACGTGCTGATCAACGGTCAATAATCACCCGATCTGTTACACTGGGTTCAGCATCAAATAAACCCGACATCTATATCAAAATTCAAGTCATTAAACTCTAAAAAATTGTACAATATTAAATAAAATATATTTTATTTTTAATTTAAAATTCTAAAAATGATTAAATATGTGGATGATGATAATTCTCCAACACTCTCATTTGTGAGAGTAGTTTAGTTAGGGTGGAAATCTGGCAAGAACTAAATTATATTTGTGCCACAAATTTTAATTGGTAGAAACTGAAATCTGAATTTTGAAGCTTTTATATTTTATTTTAATTATTATAAATTAATAATAATAACTATCATGTGGTGATGGTATAACCTTAAAAAAACAAAAGTCCTTTAATTTTCAGATTAAAATACACCTACCTAATTATTCTTGCCGTATTGGTATCTTACATAGATTGAACTGAATCGCAACAGCATTTTTTTTTTCTAAAAAATAAGGGTAAATTACAACCACCCCTGATGTATGATGAAATTACAAAAAACCCCTCCTGTTTGGGTAATTACAATTATTCTTCAACTATAAATCTTCTTAGACGTCGTCCACCCTTGTAGTTTCAAATTTAGCGGAATATTTGAGATTATATGAAATATTATCACTTTTGTACCCATTTTAGCTCATTCGAACTCCATACTTTGAAGCAGGATGATCATAACATGTATTTTTTAGCTTGTATATATATCAGATTGTGGTGCATCAGAAACTGTATTTCTACACAAAACGAGTACATACTAGAGCATATTCCACGAAACTAGATGATTACGTTGAATTTGACACCATAAGGGTGAATGTGTAAAAAAAATCATAGTTGAGGGGGTAGATGTAATTATACAAACAAGAGAAGTTTTTTTCGCAAATTGACCATATCTCAGGGGTTGTTGTAAGTTATCCCAAAAATAAAATTTTTAAAAATAAATAAATCAAATTATGTTACATTAAGTTAATAGAAGGTTGAAATAAATGAAACTGTAATTCTTATTCTAGTAAATAAATACCATAACCATATGGAAAATATCTTATTTTTAATGCTAAATGTATTCACAAATGCATGCCGAGAGGTATAGGCTTTTAGTCGCGCTTTGCACCTTTAAATATAGTGTTTTGGCATTTCACGCCCTTGAAAAAATTAGTAGCATTTTGCACCCTATCGAAACACAATAAGTCATTGACAATGTGTACTCTAAATTGAATTTTTAAAACTTAATAAGGGTAGTTTCAATTTTTATTGATTTTTTATTTTATTTTATTCGAGTGTACATAACTCAAATTGCAAAAAACAAAATATTTAAAAAATATCAGGGTCCTAAAAATACCACTAAAAATATTAAATTACCTTCATAAACTTTAAAAATTCATCAGTGATGCATTATACATGATTTACTATTTTTTGAGAATGCTAAGTGCAATTAATTTTTTTTAAAGATGTAAAATGTCAAAAACCTATATTTCAAGGGTGCAAATTGAGATTAAACCAAAAGGTATATAATATTTTTGTTAACCTTCAAATCATATATATATGTAGTGACTGTGTAATAACTGAAAAGCTTATTGTTCAAAAAAGTAAAATAATGGAAAGGGCTTAGCTATAAAAGGATAACACTTGATATTTAATCTAATTTGCTAATTTGCACCTTTAAAAGTAATTAAGGAAGTTTTTATAATTTAAAAAATTTACTTTTTAAAGTAATTATACATTTATACTTAACTCCCCCATGCCCCATTACCACCCCACACCCACCCCCAAAAAAAGGGGAAAAAGAAAAACTCCAACCGGATTTTTTTGTATCTGCATCTTTTGATCTTGAAATTAATGGTTTTCGAATAATATTTTGAGTGTTTTTTTTTTTTAATTTATTTTTTATTTAGTAATTATTGGAATCGGAATATTATGAAACTATGTTCTAGTTTTTAGAAATAATACTGAAAAACCAAAACAAAATCCATGAAATACATTTAAATTATTATTATTATTATTATTATTATTATTATTATTATTATTATTATTATTACTAAACGTGAATAAAAAATAGAATTTCCAAATTCTGTTAAAAAATTTCTAATTTCAAATATGGAAACAAGTTTTAATCACCATTCGAATTCCAAAATTCCGACCTCCAATTCTTATTTCTAAAGAAAATATCCATAACTAAACCAACAACTCATTTTATTACCCGGAAAAAAAGAAAAAAAAGAAAAAAACTTTTATTTTCCGAGAGTGCTAATTACGATCTGATCCTCGAACACCCCCATAACCACAACTCACTCCCATTCATTATATAAGTGCATATATATATCCCCTCTCCCCTCAAACAAATCTCTCTCTAGAAAAAAAAAACCCATCCTCCACAATTAGCTTATAGCTTATAGCTTAACAACAACACCAACTTATGGAAAAGCTGCAAAAATCAGAGCATATGAAGCTTTTGAAGCTTATCACAATAGCTTCTCTACTAATAGTAGCGCCACTATTATCAACATCAATAAGGTTTAAATATCTCTACTTCATCTTCAATTTTCTCGTTATCCTCGTCGGAGCTGAATCCGGCCTTCTCTCCTTCTTCCTCCATTCCCACACCAAAAACCAAGATTCCGTCACCCATAAGGAATATTCCGTTAGCAGCAACGTTAACGCCGCCAGTTATCACAGTTCTGCTGAATATTATAACAAACCGGCTCTGAAGTGTTCGCCGGAGAAGATTGTCGCCGGAGCAGCGGCGGTGGAGATGAAGAAATCTCCGTCAACTCCGAGCATATTCTTCATCGGAGAAGATATTCCGGCGGAAGAAGAAGTTGACGGGGGGGAATTGATGAGCGGGCAGGAATTGTTTCAGAAAGCAGAGAATTTTATAGGGGATTTTTATAAGCAGTTGAAGATGCAGAGAGAGGAGTCCTGGAAGAAACTCCATGGTCGTCTCTCTCATCAAGCTTTTAATTAACCATGCAGATCGATGCAGACGCAGTGCAGATATTATTATATTAATTAATCAGCCTTAATTTTATTATTAAATATTATCTTTTTTTTTTTTTTAATTTTTATTTTATTTTATGGTAAATAATTAATTATGAGCCTAGTTTATGAGGCACTAGATATATATAGGATTAATTATAGGGTAGCTGTAATAAGTTTTATATATTATAAGGTTGTCTCGTGTAATTAAATTAAATTAATTTAAGTTTCATATTGTGCTTATAAGATATGAGCTAATTGCACATAACCCCCTGTGTAATTTCAAATTGTCAAAAAAGTCCTCGTGTTAAAAATATTAGCAAGGACCCCCTTATGTTGTGTTTTACGAAGCACACCGCACCTTGCTTCAAAATTGATGGTTGACTTGTATGCAATGACTAAAGTACCCCTAATAAGTTTTTAGTAATTTTCGGTTTAAACAAAACAAAATGAACAAAAAGAATATCACAAAAAACAGAGCAAATCAACTTCTCTCCCCTTCATTGCACGGCTAGGAAAAGGAGAATGGTTGATGACAATGGTGGGTGGGGATTATTTTTTTGTTTTTTTTTTAAGATCGAAAGAAAAAAATGCTGCAACGGCAATTTTATGTGGACGGAAATTGTTGATTCAAAAGCTATAGTAGCGGTGGTGGCATTCAAAGGCAGGGGCTGGCGTGGTGGAATCGGAGAGTCGGCTTTGAGTTTTGCGGAGTAACTGTGAAAATGATTCTTCGAGTTTGACATTCTTCTTCTTCCTCGGGATAGAATTGGGTTTCACAAATTGAAAGAAAATTGGAAGAAAGTGCTATGAAGGGTTTTCGTATTTTTTTTTTTTGTTTGGGCAGGGATGTGCTAAAATATTTGAGGCGTTTTCTTCCCTTTTGTTTTATGGATTTGGAATAGAAATGAACTTCATGCTCAAATTTGGGTTTGGTTGATGATGGAAAAAACCATGGTGAAAACTGGAGGGATGCTCTTAAAGTTTAAGAAGATAGATTAATTGTAAATATAAAGGACTTACTTAATTGAAAATTTTAAAAACTTCATTTTGGTACTTATGAAATTTCTGGTTTCATTTTGGTATTTTTGTGTCAAAAAACGAGCTCCCACTCGCATTCATAGCGAGTGAAGTGCACGGTCAGCTCTCAAGGGTCTTATTGCCTTTGACTAATTTTTATAGGGAGATATTTGTTAATTATTTTAACACGAAGTCTTTTTTAGCAATTCGAGATTACACATGAGTGATTTTTGCAAAAAACCCTATAAGATATATATATGTCAATTAACCAATACAAAGAGAATTGATACATAGTCGTTATCATTATGGAGTTAAATGATACATTGGGTTATTTATATTATGTATATTTTGATCGTAAATTTGATTAAGTAACTATGTACCCATTAAACACACATATATATGGGTGTGTGTGATTATGTGTATATCTACAATTCAAATACAGCCAATGTAAATAACCAAGTGTAGTATCTAATTTTCCGTAATGTAATCGAGTCCCCATACTTTCCCTATTTGTAATTGAATTTAAAATTTTAAAGAAAAAGAATAGAAGAAAAAACTAAAAAGAGATATATTGTTATATGTGTATTACTATGTGTAAATCTACGATTTCGTAATCCCACAGCACATGCATTCATGTCGTGTGTTTATAGATTTGGGAATTACTCCATTCGATTATATATCACTTTAGAATTTCAATTCTAAATTATGAAATTAATTATTCCTTTTTTAGTTATGCCCTTATAACTCTAATATTTTTTCATGAATTCTCCCAAACATTTTAGTAATTATTTTTGTTTTATATTTTCACTACTATTATTATATATATATATATATATATATTAACTTTCTTACTACGTGTATCGAAAGTTTAAACGGCACTTAAAATTTAGAAACGGAGGAAGTAAATTTGTGACCTGTCACAATATCATTCTTAAAAATAATTAATATGGATTAGGATAATAGTTGGTAGCTAAAATAAATATCCAGCAGTGGGACAAAAACAATAATCAAAATTAATTAGCAGTTAAAAAGGAACTTAGTCTGTGGGGTTACTAGTGACAACAAAAGACAGAAAAATAAAACAAAAAGAATGATGAATAAATATAAATAGGGTAAATTACAAACACCCCCTGAGGTATGGTCAAATTACAAAAAACCCCTCTTGTTTGGATAATTACATATACCCCCCTCAACTACTGATTTTTTTCTTACACCTCCACCCTTATTGTGCCAAATTCAATATAATCATCTAGATTCCGTGTAATGTGCTCTAGTTTGTATTCGTTTTGTGTAAAAATACAGTTTCCGATGCACTACAAACTGATATACACAAGCTAAAAATCACATATTATGATCATCTTACTTCATAATGTAGAGTTTGAATGGTATAAAATGGGTACAAAAGTGATAATATTTCATATAATCTCGAAGATTCCACTAAATTTGAAAAGCTGAGGGGGTGGTTGTAATTATCCAAACAAGAGGGGTGTTTTTGTAATTTGACCATACCTCAGGGGGTGTTTGTAATTTACCCATATAAATAAGATCTTTTTATTTATTTATTTATTTTGTTCACCTTCATCCTAAAGTTGATACATGCCCAATCAAATAGAACTATATTCCCTCTAAAAAGTGCAATTTGATACCAATATTTATAGTTATATACAGCTCATTTTCGAATTTTTATTTGACCCACCACTATATATAAAGTTCATCCTTTAAAACATTAAAAAAAAAAAACCAGTTGGAAAATATATATTCTATGATAATGACGTGGATTTTCGATATACATGTCTCACTCTCTTTGATCGACTCAATCTTCATATAGACTTTAAGTAGAAGCGATTGTCTTTTATTTTTTATATACGTTTTCAATATTTCGTATAAAGATCAATACATTCACTAAGGTGGCATTTGCAAAAGTTTTTACAAATAGATTATAAGTTTTTCGAATCAATACTTACAGGTAAAGAAGTGATCTTTCAAAAGTTTTTACAAATAGATTATAAGTTTTTCGAATCAATACTTACAGGTAAAGAAGTGATCTTTCACAGGAATACGTAGCTCAAAAGGGGTTTATTGCATTCAACACCCCTGTTTTTTCTCTAATTGCTAAACACCCCCTTGTTATTTTATTAGCGAATTCTCCCCACCCTATGATTCAATTTTTTTAGCAAACGACCCCCTAAAAACCAACTCTTTAGGGGTTGTGCGCTAAAAAAATGCGTTACATAAAGGGGTTTTCGCTAATATTTATAACACGACGAAGTTTTACTAGCAATTCGGATAAATGCAGGAAGACAAATTGCAATTAATTTTTTGTTTTTCTAGTACAAACTTAGGTTTTTGAAGCTACTAAAAAGTCATCTACAATAGTACAACAGCAGCAGCAAAACAGGACTCAGTTGCCAAAATAAAACTTTAGGTGTGATGCTATAAATACATCTACAATAGTACAACACAAGAGAGATGGAACAAGCAAAAAGCCTATTATGCCCTTGCCAGTTTAATCAGAGCATCATATGATCGAATCCAACTCCTTGCATTGCGACACGAGCCCCTTGCACGTTGTGAAGCAACTGCTGTAACCACCTTCTCGCCGTCGGGTCTTCCTGGAAGGAACAAAAAATAGCAATTGGTAAAAAAATGTGCCGAGTCAACTCAGGATGTAGACATTACTTTTAGGGTGATTTACGATTTACAAACATCCCGTAGGTATGCATGACTTGCGATTCATCCTATTGTTGTTTGATTTTTTATTATGAAATTAGACGGAGATACAAATATAGACTACCTACTACCTTCGAGGTGGTGGTCGTAACCCTTATTTTTATTATGATAGGATAATGATTAGAACTTACACGAAGGCAGCTAATAAAAGTTGCATCGCGGAACGTATCAGGCAGAGCATTCCTCAGGGCATCAGCAGCTCTGTAACGGGGAAGAAAAAAAAACGAAGTGATTTGGTTAATTGTCTAATATAACTGCATAAATCGGAATTTTGGACAAAGCTCACGAACCTAGGATTATCAGACAATCGAAGGTAGCATCTGATAATGTGCTTTAACAGCCGTGAAGAAGGCTGTTCAGCAAGTGCAGCAACCATAGTTCCTAGAACTCTGCCCACAGCAAAGAATCGCTCCGCTGTGTTGCACACGTATTCTAAGCCCACGTCATCCAGCAAAATCTTCTGAACAATGAACGTGGCCACCTGTCAATCGAAGACATTATCGACTCCACTAGTAAATAAAACCCGCAATAATTTAACCAATATAAATAAACATTCCTTAATCGCAAAGGGCTGTCACAACCGAAAAAAGAACCAACTACCAACGAGATAGATATTCATTTATGCTAATATAATTAAAATGATTTTTTTTTATAAGGCTTAGAAGAAAACTCAACTGTTTTGGACAATTCGCTTCCCATCTCCATCGTGCGCAAGCACAGGGGAATGATCTCAGTAGACAGAAGGAAATTGATAACTTCAGTATCATCAACCTGCAAATCGAATGAATGCACAAGTCCGCGTAATTTTTTGTGTAATCTAAGAATGTAATGAAGACAAATGAAATAAAATTGGGCAGACAAGGAATACCTTGACCAAAGCACCTATGACGCCTAAACTCGTAAGCCTCAAATACTCAAAGGGTCTTGATTTGCTGGTTGTGTTAAGGAAAGGATACAGGTACAGCGGAATGTGGGCTGTAATAAGGAAACATCATATGTAAAAGTCGTATTTAGGTTACCAGCAGCAATTATAGGGGACGGATTTTATTGACGTTTGATAGTACACATGATAAGATAATTAATTACCTTTGAGGAACAACCCTCTCGTTTCCGAATGTGAGGCCACACACTGCAAGAAAATGAAAACCATGTTAGTACAAGACAGAGAGAAACATAATTTAATAATTTAGACAAGGTCGTATGAAAAAGGAATCACTTATTACTGTCACCGAAATCGTTGCAGAGTATCATTATAGAATGTACTCAATCAGTCTTTGGTATACAATGACAAATGTACATTTGGCTCGATAAGGTAACAATATACAAATCCCAGGAAGGGATTTCTTTCCCAATCGCCAAGAATGTGCATTCATATGATTTCGTGAAGAAAAAAAATTCTGTAAAACAGAAAACAAATCTCCACATAACACCATCGAGTTCTTAGTTTCTTAATACTCGAGTGATTCTTCTTTCCATATAAAACATCACAGAATAATAAGTCCAGGCCGACAACTCCATACTAACTAGTAACTCCTCTATGGTTCACAAAGCACAGAGGTTTGGTTTGTCACTCACCAATTTGACTTAACCTCTAAGCAAAATCGATCTGGCTCTATTAGTAAAGTAATACACTGATAAGATATTTATTACACTTACTTTTTGTGTAGTTCAGGAAGTTGCTAATTTTTCCAAACAAGATTTCTAGGAAATGCAGACAATGATGTAGATTGAGTGAAGGGTTGGATACACGAGAAGACATACAGCTTAGAGACTGTAGACACACTAGAGTCGAGGACAACGAGGATATGACGAACATTCGTGTTGTGGGAAAATATTCTTCTTAATGACAAAAATATTATACATATGTCAGGACATGTTAACAAATCATGTCAAGAAAAAAAATGATCTTCAAATATTCTTGCGTTTTGGGCAACACCTTCCTAATGCAGTAACTAAAATACCTATACTAAACCCAAGAATTACCAAACCACCACCAGATACATGACAAAGAAATTCTGAGGAAATTTAAAAAAACATAATGATAGTACCTGAAGTAGAGCAAGTGCATTGCAAACTCGGTTTGACTGTGGAGAGGTGAGGTTTGGTGGTGATAAAACTGGGTAAACAGAGACTATTTCCTGCAGGAGTTCAGAAGAAAACAAATGCAGTATCAGTCAAAAACACAAACTCCTGACAGGAAAAAGAAGCCAAAGATCAAGAAATAGTAAACCTGAGGAGAAAAACAGCTTATTTACCAACCCACCCTGTCCTATAAAATTTAATTCGCGGAAAAGAAAATCACAGAAAATATTATTTCCTGCAATCTACCTATCCGTAAACTGAGAAATGTTAGCTGTGGATTTCTGCATAAATTTTCCATCTCAGATATCAAATTAAGTTGCAATGTATCACCCAGTCGCAATATAGAAATATGTATATACGTTAGTGATTGTTAGAGATATTGGACATCATAAACTACAAATCCACAACGAAGTCTCACACCAAGTACTTTCAGCAACGCCCACGATAATTTTCCAGGCTCACTAATGCATAAGAAAACATGAACCATATATATTGCAAAGTAGAGGTGATGCAATTAGCATTGTTATCAAAACCTTTTCTCGATTCTGGGATGAACTACCAAATATTTAAAGCATCATCTAGAAAATAAGATAAAAAACATAGTTCGGGCCCAGAATTTTCAAAATTGACAAGAGATCAAGAACATTATAAACTGAAGTCATCATGAATTCAAATGTTTTATCCACGCATAGGCCACAAAGAGAAGTTGGAAGATCGTTTACAGGCTAAATGTTATAAGACAAACCTGGAGAAGAGCAGCAACTATACCAAAGGAATTCCACATCCATGGAGCCAAATCTTGGAACATTTCTCTCTTCTATTAGAATGTAAAACAAGAAAGTCGATAAGATATACAAGAATTAACAGTTGAATAAAAAGATTATCTAAGCAAGAATCAGCTTCGCCAAACAAACGGAAAAAGAACAAGACTTAAAAGCCAATTGGACGACACAACTTTGTTACTAAAGAACCATATTAGAGGAAAGACAGGGAATTTGAAAGCAAAACATGAAAGTTGCACACGCAGTTCAGATAATATATAAGCCTTTTTTTGGTTGGTTGTTGTGTGAGCGCTCACACGGACTTATCTATGCTACATCGGGGTAGTACATTTTCATCGTTGATCTGCACACAATCACACACACACACATACATGTGGATGTGTGTAAAACATGTAGTTACATAATACATGTGTATGACAATATATATACCCGGTGAACTTGTCCACGTACAGCATAGAATAAACCGCGCGGACACACGCTCAGGAAATGCTTAAGGGATTTTTGCACTAATTTTTAGTTCATTGAAAGATGATCAAGCAAAATCCATTGGAATCACCAAAAAACTACAACCAGATATAAATTAATAAACCTGAGGCCATAAAAATCTATTACATGAAGAGAATAATTAATTGACGAGTTAATAATTTAGTTATTGCAGAGTGCAATTTTAATTAAAATAATATCATATCTATTACAAACTCAAATACATGAAAAAATCCACTGATCATACCAATCTAATCGGTTGAAAATCAATTAATTCCAGTATATTAATACAGCTCAATGAACACATATAATTTACTGAAAAAATCATTCCCCAAAGGTAAAGTTTCTGCACGAAAAATCCTATAAAAAAAAAAAATCAACCAAAATAAATAAAAACAATTAATTAACGGAAAATAACACAAAACCTTTGAGAGCTCCAGCAGTGCGCTTTCGCGCAGATCTGGATTGTAGAGATCGAGAAGAAGCTGCTCAGCCGGTTGCATTCTCCAGTCCTTGTTGGCCGCGGCCGCGGCGGAGCTGCTGCTCGCCTCAAAGGGGGCGGCTTTCAAATTCAGCGGCGGAGGTAGGTTTGCCATTTTTTTTTGTGTTTCTCTCACTAAATAATTCAATCGGTGGTTTTGCTTTGCTTTGCTTTTTTTCTGAAATTTAAGTCTCAAGTTTGAGGTCTGCTGACGGTAGAATTGAGGAGGTGTTGGAAGGTTGGGCAACACGTGCCGCCCATGCGCGTTTGGCCGTGCGACACTTGTAGAGAGATTCTCGTTGGCTCGGTGATCCTCACGCGCTGCCGCTGCGAATACGGGGCCGATCGAGGTATTAGATGAAAAATGAGAGCTTCGTTGAGAAAATGAAAGCTTTGCAAGCCCTTTTTTTTTTTTTTTTTTTTTTTTTGTTGGTTTTATTTATTGCGACTCTATCCTAATAAGCTGACTGGATCAAAAACTCACCCCTTCTAAAAGCCCTAGAGTTTTTCTTTTTTTTTCGTTTTCTTTTAGTAACCCTACATAATCTTATGCATATATAAAAAAAAAAAAAAAAAAAAAACCCTAATGGGATATTTGTAAAAATGAATTAATTTATATGTATATATAATTTTTTATCTCCTAATTTGCAGCCTTTTTTTTTTCTAATTAGTAATTACTTTAACATCAAAATCTCAACCAGCACAATCATGATCCACCACATTATTATTATTATTATTATTATTATTATTATTATTATTATTATTATTATTATTATTATATCTCTTATTTTCCATCATATTTTCTCTAAAAGAAATTTACTTCATTTATTTAATGATCAATTTCATATTATAGAAATTAATTTTTTATGGTTTTTTAACGAGTTTATATTATTAAAATTGTATAAATGTTGATGTTGTTACCGATATCACTACTAAATTTTACTATAAATGTTATTATCATGTGTTAAACTAATCATCATTGTCATTTAAAATGCTATCTCGTGCATCGCACGGGGAAAAATGTTGATTAATTGATTATAATAATAAACCTTTTTTCGTGATATTTCATGGTAAAATATATTTTATATCATATTCATTTTGTATTTTATTTTTATTTAAGAAACTTATATTGTGCTATCTTTATCTTTACAACCTCGATATCAATTGATCCAATAATTTAATATATAATTAAGGATATAACCATCGACGTGAATTGCCCTTATAGCTCAGTGGTAGAGCGTCAGTCTTGTAAACTGAAGGTCCGCAGTTCGATCCTGCGTGAGGGCATTTGTAAACAATTTTTATTTTTTCCTATCAAAAAATAATATCACCAATTTCAATATTGATTTTTTGTTATGTAAATGATATTTTTATTAATTTATTTTGAAATTTCAGGCCCATAATTAAATTAATCATTTTTATAACATAATATCTTTCTAACATTTTCAAGAGATTATTAATCTCCATTTTTTTTTCTCGAACTTGGACTGGCTTACGCATCGGAGGGTTACACAAAAAACACCTCTTTTCTCCCAATTGAATGATTGTTTTGATTCTCGAATATTCATTGCAGATTCGAGAATTATCTTGAGGTGATTCGAGTCAATTTATTGTTGACGGCATCAGCTAACCATGTATACATTCAAGATCCATCATTAAAATACAACAAGACCCAAATGCAAAACTTGGATTTGGATACTAGTTAGATGGAACTCTTCTATATTATGACTATACTTACTACTCATCATAATTCCATGTGTATATAAATAAACACAGGCCCTACGCATTTTTAGCTCAACTCTGGAAATAGTAAAACTCCATATTTACAGTAGAGTTCTTGATGTAGTGGCTAGTGTGAATGACCGCAGATTTTATACTGTCAAAGAAAACAGACAGAATGTACGGATAAACGGGATAATTAAGAAGCTGTATTTAATCTGATGATAATCGGATGAGTTTGCAGGGACTATTTATTACCTTCTTGTTTGAGTTATGCTCTACGAATCCGAGTTAACTTGTAGACCTGTACAAGAAAGAAAAAAAATGTTCGGAAAAGGGGTATTTTGGTGAAGAATTTGAAAAGTAATGTGTTCGTTTGTATTTCAATGTGATTTTTTTTTATCGTAACAGTCGAATCATACAGAAAAAACAAACAAATATTCCGACCCTTTACAATGCTAAGAAGTTGAAACGAGTAATAATATTTCATAAGAACTAACCTGAGCCGTTCTACTTGGGAGTGGTACTTCCAGGCAAACTCTCATACCATCGGTTCTTCAAAAAAGAAAAAAAATTAATTAAATTAAATTAAGTATACGTTTTAAGCTATAGAACACTACGAAACTCACCTTCTGCTAATGGTTCTCTGAGTATATTGGTCCTGAGAAATTAATCCTTGACCACCGTAAATTTCTTCATCGGTATTCAGCACAATCTATTGCAATTATGTCCGAATTATTTTTAATGCTTATTTCCAAAAGGTATATATATAAAACGATGAGTAAATACACAACTAGCAGTCTAACATCACTTACTTGGTACTCTCCAGCTTCTTCAACACCTAGGCTGTATCTTTCATACGAATTGGTGGGATGGAAGTTGAAGACAAATACAAAAGGACCTCGTAAATAAGATATCACCTGGTCCATAAGAAGTTACAGATAATAATACAATATAAAAAATAATCAAAATTGATATAATGGATAATGGATAAATATAATTTATTATACCATTTCTTTATCTTTAACATGGTGAACATTGGGAATGCCTCCTGAACCTCTTTGCATTATTTTTCCATCTATATCCAGTTTCATCATATCCTGAAAATTAAATATTTTGGAATTAAAATTTGATTGAAGGCAAATTAGAATCATGAATTAATCGATACTATAAATTACTAAGTTTTCAACTCACATTGTCGAAAGTGAACAATTTCTTGTGAAAACTGTCCTCCAAAAGATCCCATTTGCGATTAGCAAGTGAATAGGAAAATTTGTTGCTTGACATTGGGAACTCCACTTTCTGGGACAAAGAAGAAAAACCATTAAAATATTCTGAAATGCGAATTAATTAATTAAATTCCCCAGTTTAAAACGGAGTTTCACCTTTGGGTGCCCAAATTCATTCCCCATGAAATTGAGGTATGCTGGACCACCAATTGTAAATGTGATTAATCTGATCATCTGTAAAATGGGCAAATTAGGCTTGAAAATTTGTCCATGTGGCACAAAATGGATTTGTTGCAAAGCATAGACCAAAACTTATAGCTCATGCCAAAAAAAAGTACGAAAGTACACGTGCAGTATTAAAAACTCTTTGAAATTATTAATTGTTGTTTTTAACCTTATGTAACAATTTGAAGGTAGAGATTATATGATAAATGGCTAGAAATCAGATCAATTTACCTTATGCAATGAACAACCTCTAAGCAAAGCCTCGTCGGTTTTAGCCGAACCAAAGAGTATTTCCGCAAATGACCGCCCCCCTGAAATGGACTAGTGAACAAGAAATATACTTTACAGTTTAAACCATCAATTATAAACAAATAAAGGTTTTTTTTTTTAAATTATAAAGAGAGATGGTATTAAATCACCTGGTTGTGATTTTCAGCATACAGAAGCATCTTAGCAGCACTGTATTTGTTTCCAACCAATGTGCTCACAAGCTAAAAATTAATCAAGAATTAATTAAAAAATATTTCATGCGAGCTAACATACGGATGGATATGTTCAAATGTGGACAAAGGAAATAAAAAAATTATGATGTATTAAACAGACCTTACTCATGCTCCACTCATGTTCCGGAACATTCTCAAGGAACGACAACCACAACTCTGATGCAGAGATATTAGCATAGTAATCAAATCCCAATCCACCTTGAGAAGTTGGTTCGCAAAGTCCTGGATAAAGTGTGGCCTAAAAGAGATTATAGGATATAAATACTTGAATCCATCTAATGAAGACAAAATATATAATACATATACATATATACACACATACGAAAACATATATAGAGGTTTTTCAAAAGATTGTGAGAGCAAGTGCAATTGCATGTTTTCAATAATGATACTTTTATAGACATACTATATTTCAATTTATGCTATTTCAATTAAAGTTTATAAATAATTACATTAATTGTTTTGTTTTCTGTGAGTTCCTCCAAATTAAATTTCGTAAAATTTCAGTTCTAGTCACTGGCTGCGTTCTAGTCAAGAGAAAAAAACATGTCTCCGTACTAAAAAACATGTAATCAAATGCATGCCCAGCCTACCTAAAATAAATATTATAATTTATATATCCAGAGTTAAATAGGAAAGGAACTGGAAATAATTTCTTACATCTTCAGCGATTGTGATTATATTAGGATGAAGAAAATGCAACATCTCATTTGCGAATATGAGATACAGCATAGCATCCCTGTCGACATATTGATTACAGTACCTGAAATGGACAAAGTTTTAATGACATGAAAAAAGTTCCTAAGAGACAGTAAAATGCACTTCAAGACAATCACCATCAGCTGGGGGTGGAATTGGAATGGAATTTTTAAATTCCGATGATTCTGTTTCGAATATTTCCAATTTTGGAATAATATTTTTCATTCTGAATTCCGAAAGTTCCGGTTTCCGATTTTTTTTTTTTTAACGGGGTTGGAATATACATATTAGTTTCCGTAATTCCAATTTTGGTTGGGAACAGAATAGGAATTAGTTTTTTCATTTCAGAAAAAAAAATGGATTTTTTCTGAAAGTGTTAATTTCGATCAAATCCGTCCGATTTCCACCCCTACCATCAGCAAATGAAAAATACACTCCAAAAGGCATTTTGTAAATACTCAGAAGTCTTACTCCTCTACATCACCGGTAAAAGTAGCAAATCCGTTGTGTGTATACATCATTGATGGAAGAGAATGAAAATAGAAGCCATCAACCTGGTACTCCGTTATCCACCTGGAAAATGTGAAATTAGGAAGAAAAAAAAAATGATGATTACGAGATTTAGCGTTGAACATTAGATAACATAACATAAATTTAAGGAATATGAAACCCGTAAGAAGCAACTAAACGTTAAAAGAAGGATAAAGTTGCTAGACAAATACCAATTCAAATTTGAAAGAAGGAAATGCAACACTTCATGATCCTCATATTTGAACATTCGCGTGCCCCAAAATTTGTGTTGACCTCTTTTACCTGAAAATCATGCATAATTGGAAAATATTACAAACGGAATCAGTTAACAGGCATTATAGTAAATTGATAAAGCCTACTGAATCATTTTATTCTGGTTTCTTTACTTGCAACTACTGTTGATATCAGGAAAAAGAACATAGCAAAAGATGTTCTATTTTCTTTGTTATAACTTTTTGGGACAGACACAAAATCAATCCACCTTCTCTGCGGATGCAGTTACATCAAATAAATTCTGAAGTCAATCTCTACGTTAATTATATTAGAATCAATAACAATCATATAATCGATTAGAACTTCTCACGCCATAATACCTTCTAGGCAGTTGCATTTTTTTCTTGTTATAAAGAAAAAAAATTAATGAATTAATGCCTGAACTAACCAAAAAGGAACAATGTACTCAAAAAGTTACCAGAATGGAAGTAGCAATCATTCAATCCATCAAAAGATGATAAGCCAACCATTTCGTCAGGTGCAGCATAAGAATGTACAATATCTAAGAAGACAAGCAACCCAAGTCCTGCACATGATACATAGAATTTTAAGAAAAAATACCTTAATATAATCCGTCTCAAAAGTTGTGAGAGAACCTTATAGCCATCCTTAACTAGTTTCAAAAATAGCAATTATTTTACAAAATCAGTTTAAGCTCCAAAATAATCTTAGTTAAAGCTCATCAACTTCATATCATAGTTCATAGATGTTAGTTTTTAGATAATATATTAGCTCCATAAGTATAAATGGTTGAAATTGCTACTATTTGATGAAATTAAAAATAACCATGTGCTTCATCCACCAATCGCTTGAAGTCTTCAGGTGTACCGAAACGGCTGCTAACAGCAAAGAAATTCGTCACCTGCAGAAGATGCTTGTTTAGTGAAGGCACAATTCAAAAAAAACATATATAAAGGAAAAAAATTAACATAGTGCGGAAACATAATTCAAATCGTAAAAGATGATAGTAAAGGTAAACAATGTTATTTGGGAGAGGTGACGAATTTCAAACACAAAGTGGTTGTCAATATATGTAAATAAACCTTAATAAAGAAGCAACTGAAATGATCTCAAATCTTTGATTACTGCACTAATTTAGCATACTTGCAGGGAAAAAGAAGATGCTCCACTGATTTTTAATATAATTGAAGAATTTAACCAATAGTGTAGCAGCATTCTTTGGTGTAGTGCATTTCAAATATTTAACATAGTTCTCAGTTTATTCTCTGCTAACTCCAGTTTGCCCTCTCTTCAATTTTGTTTATCAGAGAAGTCGAGTAGCAAAAGAAATAATAGCATAAAGAAATCTGAATTAAAGATCCCATAGTAGAAATTACATCAATCATCAGGTAAATAAACCTATTGGATTTAGCAATGTTTGTAGACTTCAGAAACCCTTTAAAATTTCACTTACTCTATAACCAGCAGTGAAATAGTCCTTGTGCTCAACAACTCCAAACAATTGGATTGCATTGTATCCTGCTTTCTTTACATGTGCTAGGACCTAAATCGGCAGGGAAAGATAAGGAAAATCACATACTAATCAATGATAGATGATATAATACACACACACACACACACACACACACACACACACACACACACACACACGCACACACACATAAACCAGTAGATTACATTGTCAGTGAACTCGTTGAAAGTAGCAATTCTAGGATCCATTCCACTTATCCCAACATGACATTCGTATATTCGCAGAGATTTCGGCTTTGGTGGATGCTTATGTCTCCATTTGTGGGCAATTTCAGGAGTTGGTTCCCAGTGAACAGCAAATGATTGATTGCCATCGGCTTCTGAATAACGGAGACCAAAGTTCAGCCAGTGAAATAGTACAGAATCATAGCAGAAATCAAATCTGTACATAGGAGTCGAAATTGGAACAGAACGCATGCCGCCGATTCCGATTCAAATATTTCCAATTTTGGAACAAAAATATTCATTCTGAATTTTGAAAGTTCTAATTTCCTATTTTTCCTTTTTTTCTGAACGAAATTCGCATATATTTTAGATTACAATTTTAATTTTCAAAAATATTTCTGAATATTCCAATTTTTTTCCGAAAATTACACTTATAATATATTAATATCAATATTATTATGTATTTTATATTATGTCACAGAAAAAAAAATGAAAAATTCCGAATTCCGCCGATTCCGCCGATTCCGATCCGAAAATTTCTGATTTTGGAATAATTTTTTTTCATTCCAATTTCCAAAATTTTGATTTCCGATTTTTTTTGGAATGGAAGCCCGAAAATAAAATAGGATTTTTTTAAAAAAACGGCTAATTCCAATATGATCCGTCCGATTTCCACCCATATCCGTACATAAACTTGAGAAAAGAAAGTTGATCAACGAATTTTTACAGCTGCTACCATTGGTGGGGATAAAGAGTATTATTATAGCATTCTCCATGAGAACATCTATTATCCTGAGCTTGCATATAAAAATGGTTAATAATACAACTTTTTCTGACCTGGAATTACGTAAGTAGCCCAAGCAGGAACTCGCTCTAAAGGCCCCATCGGAGTATTGAAGTAAACCCTGTACTTACTTCCATGCGGGATTCCAGGTAAATACTTTTCCAGCCACGCTTTCCTTCCTTTACGAGTCTCCAACCAATAAGCAATAGGCGCCTGCTTCGCCTTGAATTTAGCCTTCCAAGCAGGATCAGTCACAACATCGAATTCCTCATCTTCCGTTCCATCATCAATAATCACATCACAAGGCGGTAAATTGCTCGGCGGATCATCTTTGTGCTTCTCTCTCCACTCATTGTATCTCGTCTGTGGATCTAATATCTCTTCCATTTCCTCTTCCGTCTGGGGCCCGTTTGGCCCGAATATCTGCTCGTACAATTTGGATGCCAGCTCGTAGGGCGATTTGGTAAATCGGTCTTCGCCCGGCTCCCAGTACTCGTCGTTCGCTTTCTTGAAAATTTCCTCGACTGTGACACCGCTGTCGCCTTTGTCGTATTCGTCTACGTAATTGTACTGTTGGAAGTACACTTGATCTGGCTCTTCTCCTTCCCTTAGTTTATCTTCCAGAATTATAAACCAGTATCCGTAATCATCGTGCCCTAAATTACCCTCCCTTGCAGAATTTTCGGTAGGTGACCAGCGATTAAAATCCCCCACCAGAGCACAATATCGAGCACCTGCCTCCAGAAGTAATTTCTTCGGTTAATCATTTACTATTCTAATAAACCATTAAATGAGTTCATTCTCAAACATCATGTTATCTGTCATGCATGCAGAGAGAATAAATCGAGCATTATTTTTGATATAGTTTAAGCTTTCTTCGCTTGTAAAAAGCAAGCAATAGATCTGACATGCATATGCAGAAGCAATCGAGCAATATTATTAAATTCTTTTAAGCTGTCTTCGCTTGTAAAGAGCAAGCAATAAATTTTAACAGTCAACAGGATACTAGCTAATAGGTGTGACGAGCAAAAGTTTAAGATTTCTTCCATTGCAAAAGCAAGAAATAAATTCTAATAGTCAATATTATTATACTAGCTAATATTCTCTGACAAGCAAAAGTTCACTAACCTGGAGCCCAGTCCATGAAATCCACACGGTGCTGCACATTCCGATGCATACCCAGTATTTCGTACCTAAAAGGCAATAAGAACATCAGAATAAAAACGCATACCAAATATGACTCATAACCGGTAGTGTATGTTCATATCTCAAACATTCATTTTCTTGTTATTTTTTAAATAAACCTTCGAAAAATAAACCTCGATCGTACCACCATACATGCCAGATGCCTTGAGGCTATTTGAATTCTGAGCCATTTATGGATGCAACTTTTTTTATCATAATGAGAAATTTCGAAAACTTAAACATGATTTTGTTATCTTAATAGCAATTCAATTAAGTGAAAGCATGCAACATCTAATATATTAAACCAAACCAAGGAAACTGACAACAGAGTGTTGAAGTTAAAACAAACACAGACTACTAACCCAGAAGCCAGGTCCTGAACTTCATAGTGGCGATTCGAAAGTTCTTCCTTCAAATCCTTCAATGCTTTATACCTGCCAACAAAAATTGCATCCAACACAATTAAAAAAATAAAATAATAAAATTATAAAATTATAAATTACCAACCAGCTTGCATCAAAATTCAGTACATTCACATACTCCAATCACTCAGTCTACAAAACTAACTTACTGTATCAAAAATCAGTACACTCACAAAATTCAATGGATTACCTCTCACGAAGGAAATGGTTGAAGGCTTTATTGTTGATTTCGTGTTTGGTGAGGAACCCCACGGGGTCGACGGCATTTTTTTTTTTATCAATTTCCGGTGTCTTCTTACGCGGCCGCTTGGATTTCTGTTGGGAAACTTCCGGCTGCGATTGCGGCTGCTCGGCGGCGAAGCATTTGCCTTTGTATCTACACTTGTTGCCGTTGGTGCGGCGGAGGAAAACTCGGCCGCCGCAGCGGTGGGCGGCGCAATTTGTATTTGAAATTGGGGATTTTATCGGGAAACTGGAAATTTGAAGCGAGTGCGTGAGAGAAATCATGCTACGACGTCGTTTTTAACTGCGAGCTCCGAGTTTTGGGGATAAGAGGGAAACCAGAGAAGAAGGTGAAATCAAGCTTGGGGTTTAGTTAAACCCTCTTTCAAACATTTATCTGTTGTATTAAACGAAATATATATATAAAGTTTATTTATTTATTTATTTATTGAGGGGTAGAGTTTCTATTTATTGATATAAGGATAAATTATACTTTCATCCCCTGAAATTGGGTATAATTACAGTTAGACCTCCGTAATTGTAAAAATTATGAATATAGAGAAATAGAAAATTACGAAAACCCCCCTAAACTTAGGTTAAATAATGAAAAACACCCCTATCTATCCGTAATTACCAAAAAAAACCTGAGGTTTGTTTATGTCTTACACCAACCCATTTCAGTGCAACTTTTCACGGATTTTTTTTTATTTCAAGGAATAAAATTTACACAATTTCAGATATTTTATTTTATTTATCACCTATTTAACATAAGGCATAATAAATTGTACACATTTTCTGTTAAAAAATTCGATCAACAATTAATCAGAGGAGGATTTTGATTATTACGGATAGGTGGGGATATTATTCGTTATTTAACCTAAGTTCAGGGGGGGTTTTGTAATTAACGTAACATTTTATTAAATACATTTTTATGATTGACCAATATACTTCTCTTTTTAAGTTAAACTAAAACAACAAATTTAAACTTGTTCAATAAATATTCATTTTAAAAAAAAATTATAAAAACCACATTTAGAATACTAATAGTGGATAATTTATAAACTAGCACTCCTATATATATATATATATATATATATTTATTTTCCTAAATTCAGATATTTAACGTATGATTAAAGTCATCTATCGTGAACGGAAAAACGGGATTGTTCTTACACGAATCACGTGAATGTAGTAGGGGTGAGGGCTCAATTCAGTTTGTTTGTTGTCCAAAATCGAACTATGAACCAATTGCATCAACTTTTATAGGCAATTTGCTACTCGTCGCAAATCGAAAAAACTCAGATTTTCAAATTTACTAATTTTCACACAACAATGAATGCTTCTACTGAACACACTCGCAACAAACTGTTAACACTCTCTTACTCAACTCACACATTTTATTTCAAAATAAATAAAACAACAAAATTCCAAAAAAAAAAAAAAGGACAAAGATTCTATCCATAATTATAAGCCTGGATTTCTCAACAGAACAAATTTAATCCAGGTAAGAACTTCAAAAGCAAGAGCAACAGCCCCCAAACATCCAAGAATACCAATATAAGCCCATTTCCAAGCACGGCCCGCCCCGATAATACTAATCCCGACAAATATATTAACCGATATCAAAGCCAACAATGCATATCCCAGGAAATGATGATACATATTCCAGTAACTCCGATACTCGTCCCCCGATTTCGGCTTCAATCTCAACGCCACCATCTGATCAAGTAATTACAGTAAATTTTTTTTTATTTTTTTTACAATTTACAAAAAAAAAATAAAAAAAAATAAAATAAAAAATTAAAAGATTACCTGTATAGTAGTGAAAGTGAAAATAATAATGCCAAGGCTTCTATGGCAGGTAAAAGAATAATACTTGGAAGTATTGCCAAGCCAGATTCCAAGGGCCCACCCCGATAAACCAAGTATGTAACCAATAGTTTGGCAGCTGACGTGGAATGTAAACCACCATTTCCATTCTTTAGGGAATCTTCTGAAGTATCTCGCGATTATTACACCCACTGGTAGTAGGGTTCCCCACCCCACAATATTTAATATTCCATGAATCTATTTCCATTAAAACAATTATTAATATTATTATTATTATTATTATTATTATTATTATTATTATTAGTCTAAATTACAACCGCCATCCTGAGGTATGATCTATTTACGAAAATACTCCTCATTTTTACATAATTACATCCACCCCTCTGTAATTTGTGGATTTCTTACATTAACACCATTTTGTAGGGGTTGATGTAAGAAATGTACAAACTACAGGGGTTGGATGTAGTTTATCCAAAATGAGAGGTGTTTTCGTAAATAGACTTTGACTTACGGAGGTGGTTGTAATTTACCATATTATTATTGTTAGGGTAAATTACAACCACCCCCATGATGTGATGTTAAATTACGAAAAATCCATTCATGTTTGGGTAATTACAACTGCCCCTCAACTGTGAATCTTATTACAGGTCCACACCTATGATGTCAAATTCAACATACAATCTTTTAGATTTCGTGGAATGTTCTTTAGTTTTGTACTCATCTATACAAGCCAAAAAAATACATCTTATGATCATCTTGCTTCAAAATGTGGAGCTCGAATGAGATATAACGGGTACAAACTTGAGAATATTCCATATAATTTAGAAGATTCCACTAAATTTGACACCGCAAGGGTGGATGTGTAATAAAATTTATAGTTCAGGGGTGGTTGTAATTACCCAAACATGAGGGGGGTTTCGTAATTTGACCATATTTAGGAGTGCTTGTAATTTACCCAATTATAATAGGTCAAATTGCACGTCACCCCCTATAAAATTCCATTTTTGCACTTTACCCACTCAAAATTTTCAAAAGTAAATTTTTCCCTTCAAAATGTTATTTTTATTGCACGTTGCCTCTTAACAACATTATTTTCTGCACGTTGCCCTATTAAAATATTATTTTTATTGCACGATGCCCACCGAAAATTGATTGTTGGGGCAAAGTGCAACCAAAACAATATTTCGAAGGGCGATTATCCATTTTTTGAATTTTCAGGGGGCGAAGTGCGAAAATGGAAAATTTACAGGGGTGAAGTGTATTTTGTCCTTATTATTATTATTATTAAAAAATTTAAAATTTCGTTAATGGCGGAAAAAAAACTTACTATTCTGAGTTGTCGGTGGAAATGCGCGGTGTAACTGACAATCCTATCGGAAACCAAATCCACAGTCTCCGCACAGTCGAAATTCGCCAGCGTCTTCGGGTGCATCAGCGGCTGTTTTCCGGCGGCCGCCGCCCCGATCTGCCAGACAACGTTGATCCTCGAGGTATTATACACGTGCGGCAGAAACCCCACGCTCGCCACAATCACGTGGTACCCAATCTCCTCCCCAGTACAAAAAATCTACACTCGCTCACATTGAAGAAAAACCCTAATTCATCACCCCCGCCGCCGCCGCCGCCCTCCTCCTCCTCCGCCGACCACGGCAGGAGCGGGCACCCGATCCTAGCCCCGACGCCGACGTCGTAGTTGTGGCACTCGACGGAGCCGTTCGCCTGCTTGATCCCGATCATCGCTCGAGTCCCGACCATGTGGGGACCGTCCGGGTTCAAACCCCAGGCTATCCACCCCGCCGAGTCCCCGTCGCCGAGCCTCGCGCCGAAAGCGATCTCGAGTTTTCTGGATTTGTTGTCGAAATTCCAGGCGAATTCGGCGCCTAGGTCGACCTTCTTACGGCAGTGCTGCGTGATTTTGATTTTGCTGGTCGCCGATTTGAATCCGTCGCTGCAGCTGTGCGCGTTCGCCGTCGACGGAGGAGATAGAAATCCGAGAGTGAAGAACAATGAGCAGTAGAGTAGTTTAATATTAGAGGAAGACATGTTTTATTTAATTCCCTATGTGTCATTTGATCCGAATATATATATATATATGTAAGAACTTTATTCTGCAAAGGGGTTATAGTTTAAGAAGTTGAACACAAGTTATGTATATGTTCTTGTTTCTTTAATGTGGCTTTTTCAGCACATGATCAGGTACGATTATGTGCAGATCAGCGGTTAATAATCATTCAGTGTAATTCATCGGGTGTAGCATCAAATAAACACTATCTTAGCTAATTTTTCGATCGAACAACATCGTATAATTTGAATTAGTTGTGATGATATTAATTAAAAAGAATACAATATAATATAATCTACTTTATATTGGTTCAATTGTATGATTGTCTTTAGTATGACAAAGGAACAAATCTACAAATCAAGCAATGAATATATGATCTCCTTTTTGCAGCAGGAAGATTGGAAGTTATATTTCAATATTTTAATTTCATGGCATGAAACACGAGTGTACTATTTAATTATTTGAATACAGTGAACGTGTGTATACAGTGAACGTGTAACTTTATATTTTATGTAATGACACTCTGGTCCTTTCTTTTAGAGGTTATTACGCTGTAGTTAATTTTTTAAGGGTAAACTACAACCGCACCCCTGAGGTATGGTCAAATTACGAAACCCCTCTTCTGTTTTGGTAATTACAACAACCCCTCAACTATAAATCTTCTTACACATCCACCATTGCGGTATCAAATTTAGTGAAATCTTCTAGATTATATGGAATATTCTCAATTTTGTACCTTTTTTTTTTCATTCGAGCTCCACATTTTGAAGCTACATGATCATAAGATTGTGGTGCATCAAAAACTGTATTTTTGCACAAACGAGTACAAACTAGAGAACATTCGACGGAATCTAGATGATTATGTTGAATTTGACACCATAAGGGTGGAGATGTAAGAAGATTCATAGTTGATGGGGTTTATTTTTTCGTAAATTTGACCGTACCTCAGGGGTGGTTGTAATTTACCCTTTTTTTAATTAATGTTTTTTTTTTTGGTTGGGTACAGTACAACAATTTATTAGCTAGCTATGTAGCACGAACACAGAAAACAACAATAAGAGAAAATGGGGAAACGGCATATCCCGAAAATAAGGATACGGGAGTTTGGAGGAGACATGAAAATATTAAAAGTAGATGAGCATATTTATAAATATGCTATATGAAGATATGTAAGTTTTTATTTATGTATAAATTCTTTTTTTATATACTTTCATACAAATATATTTAACTATCATTCTTCTATTAACTATCGATCTTTAAACCATGTAATTAAATAATTAAAGAAACAATAAAAATATTTGAAAATTTGCTATTCAACATATTTTTAACTTTTTAGAAATTGCAAAATGACTCATAAATGTCCGACGAGTGTTCTCGACTGTTGGACACGAAACGTGTCCAAAACGCGTAGTTTATTTTGGGTATGGCCCAAGTAAATGGGCCTAAGTTCACCAATTGGTCTAATTGGTCAAATTTGCAAAAGCCCAATTGCAGTTAAGACTTTCGATAAATAAAAAAAAAAAAAATTAATGAAAATATAATTTTGATATCTTCAAAATTATCTTGGAAAATTAAAAAAGATATAGAAACAAAAAATAAAATAAAATAAAATAAAATAAAATTTTTTTTTTTTGATAAATATAAATAATAGTAGCTATAGAAGAGAAATGATATAGTAATACACAGGAGCACCATAGGGTCCATACACCGTCACTTTGCCAATTGCCGTATTACGAAAATTGCCTCCAAAATTCCCAAATTTTCTAGGGTTCTCTACTATTGGATTATTCCCACGGATTCGATTCACTATTGCCGAACCTGAAAGCGGGGGGGATGGATCTGGGGATCGTCGGACGCCACGCGCTGTTCTTCGACGACGATTCCTCCGCCGCGTTCGTCAACTCCGGCAACGCTCTTGTCGAGTGGCACTCCCTCCTAATCGATCGTTACGACGTTCGCCACCTCCTCTCCGCTCCCCCACCGCCTCGCCGCCGCAATCGAAACTCCGAGCGGCTATTCTCCGATGACCCCTCACTCGAAGCTTTGCTCGATCAAGAGCGATATATTGATCTCTCTCTGGATTCCGATCAACCAGGTATAACATCGATTTATCTTTCTGCCTTTATTTTTGTCCAGTTGATTTGATTTTTTTCGTTTTACCGGGTTTGGGGTTAAAAATTTGCTTCATTTCATTTGGTTCAAGGAGATAGGTAATGTTATGATATTGAAATTTATTCGGAGAGGAAAAACCTAAGTGCAGAGGTGAGATGTTGGGATATTGAATCGAGACTAAAGTGCATGGAATTTGTCAATGGGGCAGAAAAGATACAATTTTTTTAAATACATCAACATCTTAACTTTCTTAAAATGATTGGATAAGTGTGGTGAGTGTTTTGTTGAAATTTGTTTTGAAACGAATGCCTTGAGCAACTAGTAGAAGAGCAACTTTTCAGTGACGTGTTTCCATGTATGGGATCCCAAGTAGATTAAACAAAGTCAATAAGGTGTTCCGTAATAGTGAACGGCTCTAAGCTCTACGTCTGTTGTCAAACTACTGTTTCTGTTGGAATCTCTTAAAAAAAAAACAGGTTAGAACAAAAGAAAGGTGTCGTAGCTATCTAGTTTGTGCGGGTAGCATACTTCTTTGCTGTATGCTTCGATATTTGCAGGAAGGATTAAACTGTGTGACTTCATCCAGTTACAAGTAAGGCTTCTCTAAATTCCAGAAACTTCTTTCTCGTAGTACTTCATGTTTATGTTTAATTAAACAGCAGGTGTTAGTATTATTTCTTGTAGCTAGCGTGGTATCTAAATACCTATCATATTGTCTTGTGACCAGATGTAGAAGAGGAAGAAAAACCAACGGGTGCTGGCAGTTATAGTTCCGTTGCCTTCTCATATGGAAGCACTGGTGATTCCACTGATCAGAAGAACACGGATACTGGGTCCACTGGGATGGAATCCTCTGGATTTCTCCCCCCCTTTCCCGTTCCTGGATATCTTCTCCAAAGCTTGGTAAGCCTGTTTTCTTGAATCTGAAGATTCTGTGGATCATATGACACGTTTGATTCTGTTAACTGCGCTGACTTGGTTTTCCCAGTATTGATCATAACTCTCTAGGTTGCATATATTATCTGAGCCTCACCATGCCAGGTTTGTAGATGCTTGGAGCAGGAATGGGCTACTTGTGATCCAAGGTTGCCGTTCGCTGGCACCTTGTTTCCCTTTGATGTCATGAAAAGGGGCAGTGCAGGTGGGGTTAGGAAAATATAAATCATCTTTATGAGGACTATCAGTTTGCTACTTCAAACGGCAAATGTTGTGTGATACATTCCGTAGTGGTCTTCTTTATCGTAGTTTTTGGTTGTTATAGTGTGATTACAAATGCGTCTCTCAGTTTTGAGTTTTATGGCTTTGACTTGCTGTTTGGAGGTTTCCGAATTTCTTGTTTGCTTTACTAAATTCACTTTTAAAATTTTCAACACTCAATTTAAGCTCTAAACTATGGCCTTGACTTACTATTTGGAGGTCGTAGAACTGCTCAATTCTAATGTATTTTTCCTCCTTTTGTTATTTCTGTTGCTTTTTTGTAGCCTCCAACAGAAAAGCTACATCAGATAATTGCAAGGACTGCTATATTTGTCAGCAAAAATGGTGGCCAGTCGGAGATTATTCTGCGGGTGAAACAGGGGGATAATCCAACATTTGGGTTTTTGATGCCTGATCATCATCTTCACCCGTACTTCAGATATCTAATTGAGCACCCAGAACTTTTGCATTCTGAAATTGATGGAAATTCTCAGCATGAGAAAAAAAGGGCTGGTAGCGAGGATATCACGAATGGTGTTGGGGGAGCTTTATCCTTGCTTGGTTCTGTATATGACTCTGAGGAGGAAGAGGAGAGCAACGATACTGCAAAAATTGAAAAAAATACTGCTGAGGATGGTATTAATGCTGTCAATACTATTGCAGCTCGTGGTTCAAAAGAGTCCATGGAAAGCTCTTCTAAGGACGAGTCAGTACCTAGAAACCCCATCTTATCCGGTAAAGAGAAGGTTCCTGCAGTTAAGAAAACCTCTTTGATAACGGTATCCAAACCTAAAAGCATGAAAGGCGTCAAGAAGGAAGATAATTCCGGTTTATTTTCCACTGCAGCAGAGAAGTCAATTGGAACGACTTCGAAAATTGAACCACTAATTATAGAGCCTCCACCTGAATTAATGAGATTGATTGACAAAGTTATTGAATTTATTACGAGAAATGGGAAGCAGTTTGAGGCGACACTTATTGAGCAAGATACCGAGCATACGAGATTTCCGTTCCTTCGTCCGTCCAACCTGTATCATCCCTACTACTTAAATGTCCTTCAGAAAGCTCAGGAGGTACGTATTCTTCTTTAATCCCCTATAGCACATGAACTAACAGAGTCTAACTTATATGAGTAGCTTCATACTTTCCATCAATTGTGCAATATAGGCATTATTTTGATATGGGTTTCATATTAAAATAAGACTTTATGTGTGCAATATTATACTCACTACAAATGATAAGACCATTTTAATTGTTTCTTACTTGTCGGGTGCTTCATCAGTCATTTTGTTGCCTTTTAAGCTAAGATCTGAGATGGTTCAAGATCCAATTGGTACTATGACCAAACATCAGAAATTTCAAGCTTGTCTTGTTTGTGTTCAGCGAGAATTTTGAATGGAGTTCTGGAGAGCTGATTATTAGAGCTCGAGTCCGTAGCCTTATTTATATACTGCAGGGTTACTTAAACTAGACCATGCAAGATTACGCATGCCTAATACTTTAGACAGTTAAATATGGGTTACTTACTCTTTCATTAATTTAAATGAGTCCGTTCTTAGCTCTTCCCTTAATGGCTTGGACTGCATACATATATGCTAATTTCAGAGATCCTTCTTGGGATTATGACTCAAGTATGAGTGGTGTGTTGATAATCTTGTAATCTTTGGTTTACATGTATGATTCAATAGACATTTCCTTCCTCATCACTGTGCTAATTTCATGTATTTATTTTGCAGTCAAAAGCAAACGGCGAGAGTTTCAACCCTCGAAAGGATGAGCTAGTAGGACGTGGAACAAACAAAAAAGCTTCTGCAGTCAAGAAAAACGATTTTGATCTGTCTGACCTTCCAGTAGAATCTGACAGGAAAGAGAAGTTCAAGATGGTAATAGGCAAATCGAAGAAGGAAGCGCACGAGACAGAACCCAGTGGAGCACAGGAAAGTGAAGTCACGGTGGATGCTGCAGCTGCAGCTGCTATCCTTCACAATGCCACAAGAGGCATTAAGAATTCTGATATCCAAACCATTTCAAGAACTCATCTAAATGCTCACAGTCAACCAGATAAAGCTGCCGAAATGCCCGATCAGAATGGAAATCGCAATTTGGCAAGTGATACCGATCCTTCTGTTGCAAATCTGACCGAAGAGCAGAAGCTCAAAGCGGAGAGGTTAAAAAGGGCTAAAATGTTTGTGGCCATGTTGAAAAGCGGAGCAGTTCCATCGAAAACTGGAGTATCGCGTGGCCCATCAGTAGAGCCTCTAGAAACTGGAGCTTTAAGGAATTCCTCCGGTGAGGTTAATCTCACTAGCCAAGAAAAAGAATACGGCTTAGATGCTGAAATTCTAGACAAGCCAAGTGAACGACTGTCGAAAAGAAAGTATCGTTCAAGACCTGGAGGAAGTGAGGATGACGATGAAGATAAAGATAAAGACGAGAGTCACTCGAGAAAGAAGTACAAATCAATCTCCAGGAGCAGGAGACACAAAGAGTATGAAAAATTTGAAAATGCAGTAAAAAAGAAGCATAAGCACTATGAGAGAAGACACGGCTCTCATTCTCCTCTTGAAGAGAGAGAAAGTAGTGAAGAGGAGAGGGACCATAAGCACTATAAGCACTATAAACGGTCTAGGAAGAAGCATCGTTCTCACCATTCTCATTCTTCTTCCGAGGAAAACGAGAATCGAGGAGAAAGCAGTGAAGATGAAGATAGGGACCATAGGCACTATAAACTGAAGCACCGGTCCCACCATTATTCAGAAAACGAGGATGATAGTGTGCATGAAGATAACAAACGGCACAGCAGAAAACGCAGTTCTCACCATTCTTCACATGAAAGTTCGAAAAGGAGGGATTCATCCAAGCCGAGGAAAAAACATAGTTCCCATTCCCATCGGTCTTCGAAACATCATCACAGTAGGGACAAGTACCGGCACAAAAATGTGGAATCTCCTAAAGGGAAGGAATCTTCAGAAGAAGAGATTCACCATCGTAGCCAACATAAAAAGGACTCGAGTGATGAAAGAGGCGTACAGGAAGAGGGAGAAATCAGCTCTAGAGTTGCAGTCGAATCTAAAGGAATAATGACGAGTAGTGATAATATAGGGAGTTCTTCCCAACAGAGGGCCTCATCTCAACCATTGGAAAGTGATGTACCCGATGATCTACGGCTCAAAATTCGTGCAATGTTGCTGGCCACCCGCATGTAGCAATGGAGAGTACTAAACTCGTGAAAACTGAGAAATTAGATGCAAAGAGTAGCAATGGTCCGGTAGATGGATAAAAGGATCATTGTTCCTTTGTTCGCATTTTTGTGTTCTTGACTCGTGCAACTCTTTTATTATATACTTGTAGTTGATTGTATCAGTTCTGAAGTCTGTATTTGAGCATGACATTTGAAATAAATAATACGTCACGATTGGGTACTCTTGGCTTTTATTTTATTTTTTCCTTCCAAAAAACAAATCATGTATAAAATCTTGCAGAAATTTTATTACTAATGCAATTAAATTTTAATTTTAAAAAAATTACAAAAGATGTTATTTATTTTTCTGGACGGTAATATTTTACAGTTACATATTCTCGGCCTCCTCCTTTACCCGGGCTTGGGACCGGCTGTGCTGGGCAAATTTGCAGCACATGAGGAGTTGCATTATAACACCGATATACAACCAGTACAGGTAGAAAAAGAAAACATAATAATATAATTCAATAAGAAATATCACATTTATGCTTCTCTCTAAGGTGACATTACAAAAAGAAAAGAATATTCACAACTCTGTGAGCTACTAAATGCAGACAGACAATGGATATAATTCCAGAGCAAATTTTTTTATTTATCAAATCTTGCACTTACATTTGGGCAGAAACAAATCTTAATCCAATAAATTTATCAAGACTCGAAAATTTTATGTATTAGAAACTTCCCACGGACCCCAGAACTGACCAGTAACAGTCCAGGATCGTACTCCAAAGCACAAACACTCATGGCAGCACCACACCGTATGATAATAACGATCACAAGATGCAAGCAGAATCCAAAGGCCGAAATCATCGAGAGCCCACAAGATGCAAGCAGAATCCAAAGGCCGAAATCACAAGATCAACAAAATCTAAATATACCCAGTTCTTCAAAGTATACACGAAATCATCGAGAGCCCACAATAAAGCATACTACTCACTTGATCTGCAGTAGAAATGCACGCGTTATCTGACCAACTACAAGCTCAAAAGAAATCAAGTGAAAAATAATTGGAAAAAACATTTCAAAAAACATCCCAAGTGTTTTGCTACTCCTTTCGTAAACTTAGGTACTAATCAACACTCTGTGCAGGAACCTTTTGATAAGAAACCCAAACATTAAGGTACTAAAACTGTTCCCGCAATCCTGGTATCGAGAAGTTCACGATAGGGATAATTGATGGCCAAACCAAAAATACAGTAAATAAAAAGTTTGGGAAAATAAGCAACCGAAGATAGAAACCAACAAGCAAAACAACAGCAAAGAAAGAGTTAAGAGGAACGCAATTCGCCAAGATTATTTGGCTTCCAGTTTATCAATGTCAATGTCAACTACTGTTTCTATTCTTATCGTATTGCACTTTCACCAGATAACTTCGAAGAGTGAATTTGCAATACTTCAAAACCATTTTTATTAATATTTGACTGTTCCATTTTCTCGACCCTCCTCCTTTACCCGGGCTTGGGACCGGCTGTGCTGAGCAAATATTGCCGCACAGGCGGAGTTACAAGAATTAACCTATATACAACTAAACACACACATAATTCACATAATCACAGACAGATTGAAGCAAGAAACCTGTACGTACCATTCCAGACAACAAATATTAAGGCTGAGAAATAGTTTGATAATATTAAGGCTGAGAAATAGTTCAAGGCTGAAAAATAGTTTGATGCACATAGAGTCTTCATACTGGCAAACAAGTAGGTCAATCTTTTAAGTAAATTAACAAATAGGGCATCCCACTAATCTCTTAGTAGCTAAAATCACGAAGTATAGTAGATGGGATAAAAGCATATAACAATTTTACTAGTAAAAACCCTCCTACTTGTTCCAATCATTCATTTTCCTTTTTTTTCCTTTAAATTATCGTGTGAAAAGAATACTAAAGTCGTACCAGAGTAGAATCCAAGAGGAAATAACTTTTATCAATAAGATATCTGATACTTGCACATTTACGTAAAAACAAATCTTAATCAAATAAATTCATTGAGAATTCACAAATGCATCACTTTAGCATATTACTAGTGTTAGACAAAAACATTAACTTACAATCTGCAGAAGACAATTTCACGCACTAGAAAATTCCCAGAGTACAAATTACGATGAAGAACTGACCAAGAACTGTGCAGTAGTATACCCCATGCAGATTCGATAGATTTTAACATCCTCAAAAAAACAGTAGTAGCAGCAATAACATCAACAAATCCTACATGTGTGAAATCCAACATGGCGCAACTGAACAAGATTTATTATTCTGAGATTGACTGCGCCAACTTAGATTGTGCAGAGAAACCGAAAGGGAAAAAACCAAATCTTCATAGATGCATAACACACATGAACCTTAACTTGCTCATGAATAGAAGACCACTTCAATATTTGAAAAACATGGATCAAAACCGAAGAGATCTCAAGCCACAATAAAGAATACTACTCACTTGATCTGCAGAAGAAGCACGTTCCACACCAGTAGTGCATTAACTGATCAAAACTAAGCACAAACAATTCCGGTGCAGAATACCAGAAAAACTGAAATAACATCCGGACACTCTTAAGACGGCTTTCAAAATCTAAGACAAGAAATAATACTCTGTGCAGGAAGCCCGTGAAGAAACCAAAGAATACCAATCATGAAGTGACAGATGGAGACAGTTTTATTTTATCTTCTTAACTTGCCTCGTGAAAATTACTGTATAATATGAGATCACGATAGGGATAACTGAAGACTGCCAAAGAAAAAATAAGTACATAAATAAATCACAGCTCTAGAGAAGCAGACCACCGAAAGATAAAATATCAATAACCAACAAGCAAAGTTAGTCAAAACTATATACGCGTAACAGGCAAAAGATTAGGCATGTTAAAAGCCCTAGAGAACATCAATGTCAACATCTGTTTTAGTAGTCATATCAAACTGCAATTTTACTAGATTACTTAACAAACTGAATTTCAGACAGATATTTAGCCATACCAGTTTAAGTTTATGACTCCCTTCAAAACTAATGGATCGAAACTAGTGGACCTAAGACGGCATGTTAACTAAGATGAATGCCAGAAAAAGACTAAAAATGTCGCACATATTCCAACATTGAAAATATATTTAATATTCGGCAAGTAAATGCAAATATAAAATAAAAATCATATTCAAATCAGTACATGATAGTTTACAATTTATGAATAATATAAACCTAGATCAGATAGGAACCTAAGAGACTAGAGGTAGAACACATAACTTACAGGAAAACGCACTATAAGGAAATTACTTTACACGGGACATGCAGCCTAAGCAGAAATGAGGGAATTTCTGTCATGAGTTCTAGCCAAGATATTATACATTAAAATCTGGTTTAATATATACTATCCGTAAATTATAAATTATAATTTAAACTAACATATATGTGTAGAATATAAAATTTTACAAATTAACGATTATGGATTATTCAGTTAGAAAAGAAGTAATGTAGAGCAATACCTTATAATTCCTGCTAAGAAAATTGAGAAACCAGCATAACACCGTGACCTCAGCAATCTGGAGCTCTAGGAGGTACTAGGAAGACGAAGTCGAACGTATGGATTGTCTTGCTGAACAACAAATATACAACCAAAACAAACTAGAGAACATGGAGAGAAGGTTCACGTAGTACAAAACTCAATTCCCTTACCTCTATTACCCAGCCACAAGAAACTTTGATAAAAATACAACTGCAGCCATCAACATTCGAAAACCAGAAAGCATGTTTGATATACTTACAGTTACGACATCTCTACTTGCAAAACCGTAGCCACGTTATTGAAAAACAGATTGGCGGGGGAGAGAGAGAAAAGAGAGAAGGTTGAAAAACAGCACTGTGCTTGAGTAGGCCATATAGAGTCCTTCAAAATGTTAACCGAAACCACAAAGAATATAGTAACCAAGGTGAGATTTAGTTTAGGATACTACCACACTTAGAATCTGCAGCAAGTGGTCAAGAAACATCTTAAATCAAAGCCACACAACCTCAGAAAAGAAGACGAGCAAGCTAAGACCATAACCTGAAAGGCCCAACAGTACAACAGAAGCAGAATTTTCACCTTCACAAAATATGCAGGTTAATGAAGAGATGATGAACAGAGAAATCCAGAAGACAAATAATCAATGGCGAGCAAGCCCAAAAACCGGAAGAACATAGAAATCGAACTCATTGGCGAAGAAGGATAACAGACTTGTGGAACCTGAATATGCCAAATCCGAAAGCTATGGAACACAAACCACATTAAGCAAAGATCCTTATCCTTGATCATACAGTCCAACTTCAGACTATTTTACCACTCCCAATGGTTCTGCAAAAACAGCGAGCAAGTTCCATAACCACAAACCATAGTAACCCGAAACACATAAGAAAGGAAGTATAGATTGCCTAAACCTGGATGAGTTTAATTACGCTACAAGCATTCAAATGCAAACGGTAAGCAAACCCACGTTTGTTTCAAGCAGAGAATAGAAATCAATGACAGATCAGAAAGCACTAGACAAAATGGAACATCGAGGTAGGAAGGAGGGAAGTAGCACACAAAGGAATAGTAAGTCCTAGGAAATAAATATATCAAAATTTAGTTATCTTCCCCGTTGTGCCTTGATCCCATTAGTGGCTTTAGACAAGACTTTAACCTCAGATCCAACTGCATTTAATAGACAAGATAGAGAAAAAACATCTAAGTGCTGAAGGATATTAGCACTCAAGGTAATAGAAATATACTATGAAATAAGCAAATCACAAAATATATCATCTTCCCCATTATGTAGCTTTATGTTATGACTCTCAACCTCAAATCCAACTGTGTACAAAGACAAAATGAAACAGATGTAAATTACCACAGAAGGTAAAAGAAAGTCCTATGAAGTAAATAAATAATCAACTAGATCTTCCCCATTATTTCCCGACCCAACAGTAACTTCCAATAAGACTCTCAAAAACCTCAGATCGAACTGCAAACGAACAAGTCAGAATAAAAAAATCCAGTCAACATTCACGTAGTATGGGATATTAGAACACATTATGAAAATGGCAGTACTATGGAACAAATAGATCACAGAATATTATCTTCCCCCATTATATCTCGATCCTATCAGCAGCTTTTAAGATAAAACTCTAAACCTGAGGTCCAACTGCATTTACCAGACAAGACAAAATAAAACATGTACGTGGTGAGGGGTATTAGCAGACAAAAAAGGTAACGGAATTACTAGGAAACAAATAATCACAAATTAGATCTTCCCCATCATGTCTCGATCCCAACAATAGCTTTAAGGTAAGACACTAAACTCAGATCCAACTGCAAGCAACGGACACGATAATGAAATATCCGGATCGGGAGGGGGAATTAGCAAACAAACGAAATAAATAAATCACAAATTAGTAATCTTCCCCATTATGTCTTTAGATTATCTTCCTTATTACATATGTACCCCGCCAATAGCTTCAAGATAAGACTTTATATCTCAAATTCAACTGCATGCAATGTCAAGACAGAATGCACATCTAGTTGGGGAGGGGATATTAGCACAGAAAAGGGAATTAAACAAATCACGGACACGATAATGAAATATCCGGATCGGGAGGGGGAATTAGCAAACAAACGAAATAAATAAATCACAAATTAGTAATCTTCCCCATTATGTCTTTAGATTATCTTCCTTATTACATATGTACCCCGCCAATAGCTTCAAGATAAGACTTTACATCTCAAATTCAACTGCATGCAATGTCAAGACAGAATGCACATCTAGTTGGGGAGGGGATATTAGCACAGAAAAGGGAATTAAACAAATCACGGACACGATAATGAAATATCCGGATCGGGAGGGGGAATTAGCAAACAAACGAAATAAATAAATCATAAATTAGTAATCTTCCCCATTATGTCTTTAGATTATCTTCCTTATTACATATGTACCCCGCCAATAGCTTCAAGATAAGACTTTATATCTCAAATTCAACTGCATGCAATGTCAAGACAGAATGCACATCTAGTTGGGGAGGGGATATTAGCACAGAAAAGGGAATTAAACAAATCACAAATTAAATTATCTTCCCCGTTAATTTTCGGACCCGTAGCTCTAAGATATGACTCTAAACCTCCAATCCAACTGCATTTAACCCATAAAACAGAATAAAACATCCACGTCCAAAAGGGGTATTAATGCAAAATAAGAGATGACAAATTATATTATCTTCCCCATTATGTCTCAACCCCATCAGCAGCTTTAGTGATAAGACTCTCAACCTCCGATCCAACTGCATTTATCAGACATGACGAAATAAAACATAAGATAATAGAACACCACCTATGAAATAAATAAATTCACAAGCTATATCATCTTCCCCATTATGGTTGAATCCCATTAATAGCTTTAAGGTAACACTTGAAACACCATACCAAACTGCATGCTGGACAAAACAATCTCCAGGAAGGAGGGGAAATTAGCAAACAAGAAGGAATAAAAATCCGACGGAATAAATGAATCATAAATTAGATATTCTTCCCCATTATGTATCGACCCCACCAGTAGCTTTAAGATAAGACTCTAACCATCAAATTCAACTGCATGTATTGAACAAGACAAAATAAAACATCCAGATGCTGACGATTAGCACAGAATAAATAAATCACAAATTAGGTTATCTTCCCCCTTTTTTCTCGATCCCATAGTTTTACGACTCTAAACCTCTGCAAATCCAACTGCATTTAACCAATAAAACAGAATAAATCGTCCACGTAGTACTGACAGTCGAATAAAATTAGATGACAAATTATAATTTCTTCCCCATTAAGGATCCATCCCATTAGCAGCTTTTAAAACAAGACTCTAAACCTCATATCCAACTGCATTTACCAGACAAGACGATATAAAACATCAAGACAGTGAGGGGTATTAGCACACAAAAAGGTTGATGGAATTCATATGAAACAAATAAACCACAAATTAGATCATCTTCCCCAATATGTCTCGATCCCAGCAATAGCTTTAAGTTAAGACACTATCAGAACAACTGCAAGCAATGGACAAGACAATGAAATATAAATGTAGGGGGAGGGGGAATAAGCAAACAAGACGGAATAGAAGTCCGATGAAATAAACAAATCACAAATTAGTTATCTTCCCCGTTATCTCTTCGTCTCATTACTGGCTTCAGATTAAACTCTAAACCTAAAATCCAACTGCAGAACATCCAGGTGGAGAGGCATATAAGCACATACTACGGGAATAAAAAAGTTCTATGAATTAAATAAATTATAAATTAGATTATCTTCCCAATTATGTATCGATCTCAACCAGTAGCTTTAAGATAAGACAATAAACCTCACATTCAACTGCATGCAATGGACAAGACAAAATGGAACAATCAGGCAGGGAGGGTATTATTAGAACAGAAAAAAAAGGAAAATAATTCCTATGAAATAAATAATTCATATATGAGATCTTTCTTCCCCATTATGTCCCAGACCCATCAGTATCTTTAGATAAGACCGAACCTCACATTCGACTGCATTTAAAAGACAAGGCAGAACAATATATCTAGGCGGAGAGTCAATTAGCACAGAATAAGTCCAATAAATTAAATAAATCACAAATAAGATAGTCTTCCCCGTTAATTTTCAGTCCCATAGCTTTAAGACACGACTCTAAACCTCCAATCCAAACTGCATTTAACCGATAAAACAGAAGTAAATCATCCATGTCGTAAAGGGGTATCAGCACAAAATAAGGCATTGGCAGCCTTTGAAATAAATAGATGACAAATTATATTATCTTCCCCATTATGTCTCGTTCCCATCAGCAGCTTTTAAGATAAAACTATAAACCTCAGATCCAACAGCATTTACCACTGCATTTACCAGACAAGACGAAGTAAAATATCTACATAATAAGGGGCATTAATACACAAAAGGGTGATAAAATTCCTAGGAAACAACTAAATAAAAAATTATATCATCTTCCCCATTATGTCGCGATGCCAACAATAGCTTTTAAGGTAGGATACTAAACTTGGATCCAACTGCAATCAATTGACAAGACAACGAAACATCCAGGTAGGGAGGGGAAATTAGCAGACAAGTAATAGAACTCCTATGAAATAAGCAAACCAAAAAATTAGTTATCTTCCACGTTATCTCTTTGTCCCATCGGTGGCTTCAGACAGACTCCAAACCATTAACTAACTGCATGTCATAGACAATAGAGAATAGAAAATCCAGGTGGAGAGGGCTGTATTAGCTTATAAAATAAATAAACCACAAATTAGATTATCTTCCCCGTTATTTCTTGTTCCCATAGCTTTAAGATACGACTGTAAACCTCCAATCCAACTGCATTTAACCGACAAGACAGAATAAAACAACCCAGGTATGGAGAGGGTATTAACACAAAATAAGAGATTTAGATCGCAAAATTAGATTTATCTTCCCCATTATCTCACGATCCATAAGCAGCTTTTAAGACAAGACTCTAAACCCCAGGCCCAACTGCATTGATGTTCGATCACGTTACAAACCCCATATCCAACTGCATGCAATGAGCAAAAGAAATGGAATATCCAGTTTATCCGACTCCATTAGGTGATCCTATCCTGTCCCAAGGGTACATAAGCACTGTAAAATTCAAATTTACTAATCCAGTTGCAGAGTCGGTTTTAAAAAATTAAGAAGGAACTTGGCAAAACTTCCTTTTAAACCTCAAAACAGAAGGATCCATCATTTTTGTTGCAAATGTCTGCAAATAGAAAGGAAAAGAAGAACAGAGGATTTGAAGATAGATTTGCAAACAATATGGCTGTATAAAGTAATAATCTGAAAATTGGACTAAGAGGAGGTATGGTTGAGGGGACATAAGAAAATACTATTCTTGAAACACTGGCGACGCATCTCGGAGAAAACTCACTAAGCCAGCACCTGAAGATCAACACATCTTTGCAACCAGATGCAAGAAAATTTCCATGAGATAAATAAATCAGAAATTAAATTATCTTCCCCATTATGTCGTCAGTTAATAAAACTCCAAATCTCAGATCCAACTGCACTAATCCATCTTTTGTTGAAGCAATGGGTGACCCTGTCCAAAGGACCGAGATAACATAAGCTCCAACCCAGATCCATAAGCTCTAGAAATTTATTATTAAGAAAATAAAGAACTGCCAGACCCCCTAAAATACACAAAACAAAAGATACCGAATGGAAGGACATCCACCAAAAATTTTATCGCAACTTTCTGCAAATTGAGAGGAAAAGCAGAGCAGGGATATGATGACAAATTTTAAAGTTCATACAAATCTAGAATATGGGTGATAAGGATAATTACAAAGAGGCACAATGTTAATATAAACCTAGCATAAAAAAGATCAATATCTGTATCTGACAAGTCACATCTCAGCCACCTATTTCATCACCACCTGTTGATCAACACAGTCTAAGCCAAAAGTCGAGAATAGCATATTGCACTTTGTTGTTGTTGTTAATACAGCAGAAAGAAGAGAAGATACTCCAAACGAGAGTACGATTTATCAGGTAGAGACTCTTTTACAGTAAAAAAATGTACCAGGTACTCTGATTTGCCTTAGCTAAACACCTCATGTGGTAACCAAACTTCTTAGAACTTCAAACGAAACTGTCATATAAGCAAAATCACGATAAGGCGAACACACTTGAACTTGAAGCATTTTCTTCTACCATCTGACCCGGACAAGAGAAAACACAATCGGAACCCAAACCACTGGAAAATAGACAACATATTACATATACAAACATCATACCATGCCATCAAACTCACCAAAAGAAAAACAGGGAATCTGAAATAAGACTTGAAAATATGTGGTCAAATAAAGTAAAAATCTGAAAACTGAATTAGTCAGGATAATGATTACATGAGAAAATACAAATTGGCATCAGAAATATCTGGAACTGACAAAGTCACATCTCAGCGTAGACTCTCCTAGCACCCACTGATCAACATATTACATAATCAGAATCAAAAGAAAGATCCATAAGCCAAATAAATCACAAAATATATATAATCTTCCCCATTATCAGATCCAACTGAAATCTCTAGATTAAGACTGGTGATCCTATCCACGGTATGCAAGTTCATAAGCTCCTATCCAATCAGATTCAACGTAACAGATACATCGTCCTAGTTGCACAGTTAGTAGCTTCAGAAAATAAAGACGAAACAAGCACGACCTTCCTAAAACCACAAAACCAGAAAGTACCAAATAGTAGGACGACCACCACAATATTTGATGCAAATTTCTGCAAACAAGAAGGAAAAGCAGTACAGTATCTGAAAAATTAGATATTAAAAAACAAAAGAATTATGATCTAAAAATTAGAGAGGTGAGGAGGACGAGGGAGGGAACAAAAGATTGAACAATTTCCGGAGGTGACGGGGATCTCAGGGCAGACAGTCCTACTTTATTACCGCACCTGCGGATCAACACAGTCGAAAACCAGCGTCGAGAATGCACATATATCAAAAGGAGAATCAAATTTTAATCAGCAGAAGAGGTAGAAGATTCTTCAGACGAGAAAAATAGGTTGTGAACACTCGTATAAGAAGATCAAAAGGAAGATACTTGTACCAGAAACTCTGCTTAGAATCAGCCAAAACACCTTATTCGGAAACCAACCTTGCCAGAAGAACAGAACACCACAATCGTTATATAAGCACAATTACGACAAGGGGGAGAACATACTCAGATCTGAAGCGCTTTCTTCTACAAAGAATCGTATTTTAACCAGGTTCCTCAAAAAAATTCAAATCAGCTGATTGCGAAACCCTAGCAAGAGAAACAAAATCCAAACGCAAACACAAACGCAGGATAATAATCCACGTATTGATGCATAAACCGGACACCATACCTAATTACCTCGCCGGATCAAAATCACCGAAAGAAAAATCAAACCGGAATCACAATCGGACGGTTCCGCAAAGAGGAAAAAACTTTCATCGGAGGATCCAAGAAGATTCGACTGTTAGACCGGCAAAAAAATCCAAACAAAATCGAATAAGATTCACAATCAGGCGGAATCGCGGAAGAGGAAAAAACATACGGCAGATAATCTCCGATGATTGAATTCATATCGACGGCGAATAATAATAATAACCTAAATAATGGAAACGACAAACACAAATAACCGATCAAACCAAAGAAGCGAAGAACCCTAATCTGCAGAGAAAACCAAAGGCGATAAAAACCAATAAGCGAGTAATATGAAAATCGTAGGGGGGGGGGGGTGGGATTATATAGGCGAGTCGGTGATGAATTGACGGATACGATTAATCTGATCGGACGGTTAGAAAGGAGTACTTATCCTTGTCGGTTACGAATATTAGTATTTTATTATTCCTTTTTTAATTATTTGCCATCTATTAAGGCCACCTGCGCTGACCACACGTTTATTGTTTCCACACGTTTCCAGAATTTCACGCGCCCACTTGTTTGGTACTTTTGACTTTTTGACTTTTTCAGAATTATTTTGGGCTCTCTTGGTGGGCTATGTACAATATATATTGAACGTTGGGCTTGGACTATTATTGAGTACAATTAAAGTTTGCTAAAATAAGTTATTAATTAAACAATGTAATTTATTTGATTTTGATTAATTTTAATAAATTTTATGATCGATTTGATGAGAAAAAATTGAGTTAGTTTCTTAATTCTTTGAGTAATTGTGAATTAGACACACAAAAAAATTAACCTACCTCCATTGTATTATTTCGAAAAAATAAATTTGAGCCTCTATAAAACTGACTGAGATCTGCACGCGCTTCCACCTATTTTATTTAAACATAACAAATTAAAATGTGAGGATTTTGGGTCCATGATGAGTTCCGTATGAGTAACCCCAAATCCACTTATGTCCGAAGTGTAGCCCAATTTTACTTATGTTCGAAGTGTAGTCCAACACTAGATTCAACCCAAACTCAAAAAAGTCAGCTCGAATTGATCTTTGCCGCCCATTCTTTTTTACTTATCCTCGCCACATCCAGTCATCTAAAAGGTTTTCTCAACCATAATCTCTCTCACATTTCTTCCGATGCTTCTCTTTTCTCTCTTTCTCTTTCTGTAGTACCTTCATCACCCATTGTCCTGGCGACACTTTACAATCTATGTTGTACAATGGGAGCATTGACTCTCGAGCACATGCAATGCTTCCGACCGTTGCTTTGGTTGTTATATATACTGGCGTTTTAGAGAGGGATAAGAGTCACTAGTAGACAACAGGCCACAAGCGACGAAATTAGGTATTTTGCGATGAAATTAGGACGATTGCGACGATTAACGTTTCGTCGTAATGGGGGTCCAAAATCGACGCCAATGTACCCGTCGCAAAGGCCGCAGATTTCGTCGCCAGAGGAACAACGAATTTAGATTTCGTCGCCAAAAGTCGATTTTATCTAATAAATTAGATTTTTTGTTTGCGACGTTTATCTACACAATTGTCGCCGTTTTTGGCGACGTTCTTATGTATTTGTCGCAAAATAAAATAATATTATATTAGCGACGAAACTGATATATCGTCACATGATTTGCGACGTATTTCTCAGTTCGTCGCCAATATTGGCGACGCTTTCGTACTATTCGTCGCAAAATCTAATTCTACGAAAACAAGATTTACGACGAAATATAGTACATCGACGTATTTTATTTGCGACGAAAATTATTATATTCGTCGCAAATGTTACTGCACAGTTATATATATATATATATATATATATATATATATATATATATATATATATATATATATATATATATATAT